TGTCCCATCTGTTGAGTTTTTGAGGTTCATTCGTTGTCGAGAAACAGTCGAGAATACATACATACATACATACATATGTACATATGTTTAAAGGGGAATTTAAATAAACTTTATAAAGAAAATCAGATAATCACAGCTCATCTGATTTAATCGAAACCAAATGCAGACATGGAGAATGCCATGCAGACTTACAGATGCTCTTCTCGAATGGGAAATAATTAAGATAATGGCCATGCTAGCGAGTTGTATAATTATGTATTTATTTTTCAGAGTTTAAGCAATGAGCACCCCCGTTTGGACTATGTTCTATTCTACGAATGTTCAAGAAGATTTTGTAGAAATTAGAATCCTAGTGTAAGAAAGAAAAAGCGGAGAGACTCTTGTTTTGGTGCAGTGTATGCCATAGATGTGTATTAAAAATATATATTCCCACGCGTCTAGCCAATACTAAAAGCAAAAAAAAAAAAAACAAGACACAATCGAATGGGTAGAGCAAGCCGAACAGGTAACTTTACTTTCATTTTAAGGCACGCTCCCGCCTTGGCTCCACTTTGACAGCGTCGCAACATAACCAATAAGCAATGCAACAAATTAACTAAATCAATTAAATAAATATTTTGATAATATTAATGAGAGAGAGAGAGAGGAACTTTTGAAGTCGAGGGACAATTAACTTAACCCACACCCAATACCCCGCGATTCTTTAAAATGTATACATATGTACATACATATGTTGTGGACGATTGCCAATCTAACGGGCCATGCAAAATGTACAGTTACAGATACAGATACAGATGTACAAATGTACAGATGGATGCAAAAGGGCTTCGGTATCTCATTTGGTGGTTCATCTCTTTGGTTGGCGGCGTACGCGTGCCGGCCAGCAAGAGAATGAACATCCACACATTTGACATCATCATCTACACTTATACCGAACCAAGATCTTTGACTATATCCCTCGTGTCCCCATCCGTACAACAACATAAATATTCGCTGCTCCTCTATGCTGCTGCTGCTGCCTCTCCGACTGAATTTGCGTCCAAAACGGAGTTATATGCATGGATAAAAAAAACAACAACAACAAATACAAAAGAATTAAATAAAATTGTACTACGAGACGCACGTTTAGTGTTGTGTGGATAGATACATTCAGGTGTGTGTGTGTGTGTTTTTTTTTAAATTCTTTTATTTACTCTAGTGTATATTTATGTATGTACATACTTAAATGTGTGTGTGTGTGTCTGTGTTTTTGTTGTTGCAAGTACAACAACGACAACGAAAACGATCAAAAAGTACGAAAGTATCTCGGGGTCGGGTCTCGGGCATATCTGATTCCGCGACGCCACTCAGCACGTTCATTATGGTTCATTTTGTCAGATACAAAATTTCAGAGTCGCTCTCGCCCTGTACCCTGTGGCTGCTTATGTATCTATATCTGTATCTATATCTTTGTGTGTGTGTGTGTGTGTGTGTGTGTGTGTGTTTGTGTGCTTGTGTGACTGGTGTTGTGGCTGCGCGATAAGAATACGGATATGTCAGTTAATTATTTGTTTATATTTCGTATTTCATCGTTCTTCTAATGTACAAAATGTAAATATGTAAATGTAAATATGTATGCACATTGTACATAGGGTATATGTTCATATAAAGAGCTAACATACATACATACATATGCACAGACATTTTGTACATTTCGCGCAAGATTTCTTGCTGATTAAAGCATTAAAAAAAATCTCACTCGATTCACATGTTGATGGAGCCAGCCAAGCAGACTGGCTGTTAGATATGTACATATGTATGTATGCCCCACAGCCTTCGCTTTGCATTCATTCGGATATGGAATTTGGGCCCTGTTGTTGCTTGTTCTCGAATTACATTCGTGTACATTTGGATCACTCGTTTGGTATTAGGGCATTTCTGTGGTCTGCAAGGCATAAGGCAGAAGAGTCTGCAGCTGCCACCTCCAAAGCTGCTGCAATCGTCATGGCACAGCAACAGCAGCAACAGCAGCAGCAAGATGTGGCAGCACCGAAACAGGCGATAAGGAAGAAAGCACAAGCAAACGGTAAGGTGCGGGGGCATGCGACTGAGACTGGGGACTGGGACTCCCTCCTTCGCTTGGAAAACCGGTGCAGAAATCGCTGTTGCCAGCGTTTCTTGTTGTGTCTGTGTGTGTCTGCTTCTCGCCACCGTTTTCGCGACTGTTTGTGGTGCATGCAACACTTGCAGCACAATAAACTGCACGGCAATCGAATGCAGCCTGGCGGCCACAGCTGAGCGCCTGATACCTTGCGCCGGCTGAACACCTGGAATGGGGCACAAAATACAAAATTCGGGATAGGCTGGGCCCCAAATCTACGCCTGGCTATCCCGATCCAATGGAGACACACTCCTCAGAAGGCATGCCATGGAGATTGGGGGCCATAGGGGGTGGTGAGAGACGAGTACACACTGTCTCAGGGGCGGTTTTTGGCGTAATGTGTTGTGTCTGGGTGTCGGAAGGGATGTTCGAAACGTCCTGTGTCCGTAGAGAGGGTTGCGATTGCGATTGGCATTAACGAGGAGTGACTGGGACTGGGACTGTGACTGTGGGTGAGGTGGCGATGGCGATGGCGATGGCGGTGGCGTTGTCTTCGTCACCAGTCATCGAACGCTGCACAGATAAAACGCGAATATGTATTCGAATTCCGACCTGAAACAGCAAAGTCTTTTCCCCCATACCCTTCTCAAACGCGGTACATATCTACATATATGTACATATATATATTTTAATCAGCATTTTGTAAAGCATTTGATCATGAAACTTGAAAGGAAATTCGATTTATGTGAACCGACTCACATCTCAATGGGCTGAAGTAAAATGTTGATTAAATTTCAGAAGCAACATTTTGACTATATCTTAAAGGGTATGCGGATCATCGGCCTGCTGGATGGTGGGAGGTAGTCAACCTTTCTTGTTGGAAACCTGTTTGCCCAGCCAGCCAGTTAGCCAGTTAGCCAGTAAGTGAGTGAGTTGAGTGAGCAAAGAGCAGCATTGACCCCAACTGAGTCAACAACAAAATATGCCAGTGCCAGTGCCAGAGACAGAGACAGGAACAGGGACTGCGTCAGATCCGCTGGGACTTCCAGGGTCTTCTCTTGGGCCTTCTCTGTCCTGAAGGGATCTCTCGAATCGAAATAATGCAGAAAATGGTGCAAAATATTTAATACAAAAATGCTAAAAAGAAGTTTGGCCTGACAAACAAAAATATATACATACATATAAAAGAAGAATACTGCAGGCAGGCAGCAGAGACAGCAGACACACACAGCAGCAGATACTGTGGCAGCAGCAGGGGGAAGAGACCCAAACCAAACCTGTTTACAGTTCAAACTTCACATTCGATAGTATATTCGATGTGAACTCTTTTTTTATTTTTCGTTTGTAGTTGTCTGGCCCCGGCTGGTTCTGCCTCAGCCTATAGGTTGGTCGGCCACCTCCACCTATAATGCGGCAAAGTCGGTGTGTGGTGTGTGGCTAAGCTTCGGTTTAGGCTCGGGTTATCTCAGCTTAATTGGGTCATTCACACGCGCCACTTGCTCCAACACAGAGAGAGATATAGAGAAAGAGAGGGCTATACACACTAGTGGATGAACACCGAATGACAGAGAGAGAGAGAGAGAGAGAGATTTGAAGAGCTTTGTAAAAAAATATATGTACATACATACATATATTTAACTTATTCCGAGATCTACTGCTAAGATTTCAATATCCCATCTAGATTAGTTAGGTTTAAGATCTGCAGATAGAAGGTTTTTATTTATGTCAACTAGAATTTACCTTTGTTACTAGCTGCCACAACTTCCGGTGTGGTGGAAGAGATGACGAAGAAGCAAGTAGCTGGGGCATTACACACTCGGTGATACTATTTTATATTTTACATGTCTGCTGTTAGCCCACTCAATACACTAGAAGACACGAAGAAGAAGTAAACGAAGATTGGAGACAAACAGAGAAAGAGTTAGAGTGAGAGAGAAAGAGACAATAAGTGACATTTGTTGGGATTAACATACATATGTACATGTACATATGTACACATTTTGATGGGAAAGCGTAAAGAAAACTATTGGAAATGTATGGAACGTGTGCGAGCGTAAGGGAAGCTTTTTCTGCACAAAATTTCCCAAAGTAGAAGGTATAATATGTAGAGGAAGGGACATGGGCTTTAATGGTTTGAATGTTAATGCTGATCAACAGCTATCGTAAAATAGATGCTTACAAAGCAGTTCAAACCCCTAAAATATCAAAATCGCATTGTTTTTATAGAAGATTCGAGAGGCTGCCACTTTCCACCACTCTCTCTCTCTCTATCACACTCATTCTCGCTGGTACCTACAGAAGCGCAAAGGATCTGGGGATCAGGAATGGTTCTGCATCGAGTGATCAGGGAAGGGGAAGAGACAGAACCGCAAACACAAACGCAAACGCAAACCCAAGGCAAATTCAACAGCCCAGCAACAGAGCAAAACAAACGCAAAGAGCGACCGAGTAAAAACCAATCCGACAACTTCTGAGAAACAGAAACTGGAGAGAGAATGAATGCTCTCTCCCCGAAGCAGAAACAGCAGCAGCAGCAGCGGTACCTTGTACATCCATCATTTTTTCTAGTCATTGCAACAACAAGAATGCAGTCTTAGCCACATTTATTTGGCAATTCTTCAGTTTCTCACACACACATACACATACAAAAACTGGTCTTGATCTATTTTTAAGTCCAAGCTTTGGTTTGAAAGCTTTTGCTCAAGCTTTAGGCAACACACAAAAAAAGTACATGAAGCATAAAAACATTAATCAAACGAAGTTCTAGCAGCGCGAATGGCTCAAGGTCTGATCAAAACTAAGCCCCGAAACTGGTTTTACCACCACACCACCCACCACCCACAGCAAGAGCAAAGCAAATGCTGACAGGAAAGAATCAAAAACATTTTGCAGGGAACGAGCGATAAGAGATGCAACTTACCCCAGCAGCTGGGCGATAATCCAATTTGATTTGTTTTATTGATTATAGTATTCCATTTGTTAGTACATTATCTCGTAGTATTTCCACACAGATAATTTTTGTTCACTTTTTGTTTTTATTTGATTTTTTAACTGCAACATTTGCTACATTTGTAAGCAAAAACACCGAGAGAGAGAGAGAGAGAGAATTAGATCAAGTCAGTTCTTGTTCTCTCTTTAATGTGTGTGCGTGTTTGTGAAAATCAAAACAAAACAATACAAAAAACATTGCAAGACAGATGGAGAGAGCGAAAATTTTGTTGGATTTTTCGTTTGCTTTTGCTGTTAGTGGCTTTTACTGCAACATGTTGCATCTGTTTCCTTTGCCGTAACGGTAAAGGCGTTTTGCCTGTAAACACAGCACTTCGGGAGAGAAAAAGCAATAGAATGAAAACAAAAAAAATACACACACACACATTCATGGACCAGGGACGCTCTCGCGGGGGTTGGTTTAAATTACTTGTAAATAATTTTAAACGCACTATAATCACTTGAGTAACTTTAGCTTTAAAATATTTCCAGCAAACCGCACAGTCCGAATGAAAAATTAAGAATCCGAAACGTAATAAATATTGTTATTTATTTATTTTATTATTTATTTATTTCTGGCGGTATTTTCTGGCCGGCTGGGGTAAACGGTAAACAGAAACTGCGCACAGTGTGGCCTGTGGGTCAGGTACACAAAAACGGATCTATCGACAAAAAATACCGTCTGACCCTCAAAAATAAACCGAAATATATCTTGGCATTATCAAAATATACCGTAAATATACTGACGGGCACGACACGCATTCATATTCATTGAAATTCAGCTTAAAATTAATAGCACACAAAGACTCTCAGCGCTGATCATACATTTTTCTACGATTAATTAATCAATTTCCGAAAATATTGATAAGTACTCATTTTCATTTGAATTATATATTAATGTGTACGTTTCAGAAAAAATTTGGCCGAATAACGCGTCCTCACAAATACGGGAAATAAGAAAATACTCAAAAATACTAGGCACTAATATAGTCGATATAAATAAATATTATTTTTTCGTGGTTTTCACACTATTGTTCATGTTCAAACGCAAATTCCGAGATGTATTCGAACTGCAAATAACAAAAAGTTCACAGAAACAAATATGTAAAATATTCGATTAGCGTAAAATATTCATGTAAAATATTCGATTGAAAAACCAAATGCTGCCAGATGTGCACATACAGTGACCATACAATTTTATTGGACAATCCTTAAAAATTCTTGAATGAAAACTGACAATTTTTTAGCGGACCGCTTAAATGAAACCATTTAAATTAAACCTATTTTTCATAGGAGCCCCATGGAAGTGACAGTGTGGAAAGCGGCATTTTAAATAAATTGAGATTTGCCAAACGATCTGGAAGTCGATGCTGATCACGAATTATTATTCGATGTCGCCTTGGACATGACATGGCTCTAAACGGCATTTTTACATATGTGGATTGGAGTCCATAACGCGCCCTAAAAAATACTGAAAAGTACTAAAAATATACGGAAAATACTAAACAAATTATAAAAATATGCAAGGAGTGTGTCCTAAACATGGTCGTCAAAGAGAAACAGAATCAAGCGGCATTTTTTACGTTTGTTTTGAAATGGATCCCATGGATCCAAGGCTGAAAAAGCAGACAAAAGAGATAGTATGTAGATCCTCCAGTTACCTACCCGCGCGCCACCAGGCGTTTCAAACACGCTCCAGGACTATTGTCTATAGACATCTTAAACCTCTCTAACTCAATGAGCGGGCCTAAGGCTGCGACTGCCTTATATAGTACATATTGCAACCAAAATAATGCAGTTTGGGAGAGTACTTGCAATGTGCACATGTACATATATACGTATATAGGTACTCGTATCGAAAGATACATATACAGATTGCACAAAGTGCAAGATCGATGATCGACACTTACCCTTATTCATAGACTCCAAGGTTCTGAAAATCTGGATTCCCACGTGTTGCTGCCATAAGGTATATATTACCTTTTACGGCGCATTCCAAAAATTCCACAAGTTGTGTAATTTTAGGATGAACATTGTGGCAACTGTCAAATTCTCTTAAGTGATCCTTTCTACTTAAATCAATTTTTCTAAATTTGAAGGCCTTACGGTAGTGATGTTTTATCTCCCATGGATAGGTGTCAAATACACCAAATATGGTCGTCCTGCGTAGACACACCGTGGCAATATTCTTCTCATCGGGATAGTAGTCTACGATGGGGGACGACGCCAAGTGGATTCGGGGCACTCGGCTCAGGAAATGGGCAGCGAGTCGCGTGTCCTGCCACACATCGCCGTAGGTGACGGTCCAGGGGCTTGGAAGTCGCCTGCCCATTTTGTCTACAATTCCGCGAGCTAGTGGTATGGTAAGCTCCTTCGGCCATGTCTTCGTTACCCCCGTCCCGAAACGAGCAAAACGATCTTTATAGCTCGACCCTGACGTTGCTTAACGCCGGCCTTTTGCTTCTCACTGACACTGTCATTGTCAACTGTCGGTGAATTTTTCACAATTTTCGAAGTGAATTTGCGGCTCAGTCCCGTAGGCAGTGCCATGTTCGATTCGGATACGGATACCAATTCTTGTGTCTGTCCAGGGTCCATGATAGCCTCGTCTATCTTCGGGCCCTGAATCGCAGAGTTGCTTTCCTGGAGCGATGACTCGGTCGAGCCGCCAGAACCATGCGTACTGTGGATGGGAGCTGCTTGTATGTCGCCATGTCGTCGATGGATCATCTGGGATCGTTCGGGGTGGACAGTGTTAAGTTTCATGGAGAAAAAAAATGATAACATCGAGTCCCGGCACTTACGACAAATAGAAGGCAGCTAACGCACAGCACAGAGTACAAATTCATCGCCCACATTTTACACGAAATTTAGTTGAACTGAGAATTTTAAATAATAAATTAATTTGGATTTCAAACAGAAATATTTATAACGAATTAATGCTCCTGCTTATACTACTACAATACTACTATTTAAACTCATAGAACATACTATGGAGTAAATTGCTCGGCATGCTGAGCAAAGTGACAAAAATCAGTTCATTTCGTATTTTGACTGGTTGTCATTCCTGTTTTTCCTCAATGGACTTCGAAAAAAATGTGCTGCGGTATCTATGTATGTATGGTATGATGACTATCATACATATCATACTATCATTCCCGGGTGTCATCCATCCATCCAAAATGTCCGCCTCCAACAGCCTCAAGGTAGTGCCCAAGCTATGAAATTCAAATGCGTGGCCAACATCCTGGATGTACTTACAGATACAAAATCCTCAAGGCATTGGTATTATTGGCACATAATCAGCAAATAATCTCAGGAGCAGGTGCTTCCATGCTGACCAAGCATTTCTTGGAGCTTCATTTAAAGCAATAGATGGCGGGAAATGATAGAGAGAAACCATGGTCCAGGATTGCAACTAAATAATACAATTAGAATAGCAATCCATCGCAATCGTCTCTGGAGCACACAATCCACGCTCCGATCCACGCGAGTCTGCGGCAATGCAGACAATGGCATCCAACAAAAATAAATCGCATTAGTTGACGGCTCGTAGCATTGGGCAATGGATAAATGGATATGCGCAATCCAACGCCACGAAACTCTAAATGGGACACAAATATTTATTAGATTTATTAAAGCTATTCAATTATGTGCAATTACAAGCTTTTTCCGTTTGGAGGAGCAACGGGTTTCTGGGCGGCAGTGGCACGACAATCGACCTTGAACGCCGCCACCCATTGGGACAGCTCAAAAGAGAAAACTGCTTCCCACCCACCTTTGGCTGAAACAAGACAAGCGTTGCTATTGTAAGGGGTAGAGGTAGGTGTACTGGCAGGTGGAGACCTGGTTATGTTTTACTGGTTGTGGCCTATTTGGTGGAGTGCCACAAATGGCACACAATTCCGCATCACCCATTCCACCGTTCGCACAGCCCAGCCCAGGAGGCCATAATTTGTACATTAAAAACATTAAACTATGGCTGCCACTCGAATGGCCCAACGTCTACGTTGCACGTTGATTGTGGCGCGTTGCGCGAATCTCTGTTGAGATGAGATGGCTGGACGGGCGGCGGCGGTGACATTGGTAGCGCGAATTTGTGTCATTGATTCCGTGACTTTGGCCAATAATTATTGACTGTCGATTGATTGATTGACTTAGCCTCTCACATACCCATATCTCTTGCCATGAACTCGGTATCTCTTTACTTCAATGTTTAAACCACGGTGGAGTGTGTGTGTGTGTGTGTGTGTGTGTGTGGGGGTTTTTCCTGCAGCAATTTTGTTTCGGAAATTGTTGGTTTTGCTAAGCACTCGAATTAGTTCCACAGGAAAACTTGACTTCCTCTTTGCGTTAACATTTTTTTGTGTGTTGTATGTAGTTGTGTGTGTGTGTGTGTATGTGTATGTGTATGTTTGTGGGCCTAGGGAGGACAGTGGGGCTAACTAGTCAGTGACTAGCGATTAGCCACAGTAATAGCCGCAGCAGCAGGCAACCAACAGCAACATGCGATTGCCACACTGACAAAAAAAAATATATTAATAATAGGAAAATACTCTCAGATGCAAAATGGCATAAAATATTCGGTTTTTAAGTGATTTAAAAAAGAATTCAATTTGTTTTGAAACATAAATTAAATGCATTTAACTAATTTGTAATCAACATATTAAACTTAAAGCATTTAATTAAATGTAATTGTACAACTCATATAATTTTTCGGAAATACATATTAAATATATTTTGAAATACAGAATCTATTTTTGAATCGAATATTTGACATATGTACATATAAATGTCAAAATGTTCGGTGAAGGATGAAATAGTAAGGATGGTTGGATGATCTTGGGAGCGCTCAGACTGAAGACTGAGCCTTACAAGCCATTCCATTGAACAGTTAAATTGGTTTTTAAATTCCAACATTTGTTAAATATTATATTTCGTGTGAAGTATGTATTAATGTATTCCGATTATTCAGATTATTGGTATGCTTGAAAAATGCAATCCTCAATATAATTTTCCTCTGTGCAGTTGGAGCGACAAAACTTGTTACCTTTTGCCGTCTGCTCTTCTTCTTTTCACTTTCGTTTTCAATGCGCCTCTCTCACTCTCTCACTGTCTCTGCCTCTCTGCCACTCTGTTTCTCTCTTTGCTGCCTATTACTCAATAGCCGCTCGACGGAGCCCCAGCCACAGCCACAGCCACAGTCGCAGCCCCAAGCCCCAAGCCCCCAGCCCCAGTTCCAGCTCCAGTGTTGATGGCATTTTGATTTTGAATTTGTCAGCCAACTGTTTATTAAGTGTTTTGACTCGAAGCCAAACTGTTCGCGAACGGCGGCTTGCTGCATGCATCGGTCGCAAAATCCACACACAAATAACTGTAAAAGGTGTATAAAATAAAATAAAATATATTTATGAAAATACTCACTGAAAGTGCGTACAAGTTCTCAGATATGCTTCCCAAGAGCCTGGCTAAAATCGCCGGAGCAATCCCCCTGCCATTGCTGGTTCACCTTGACCACATCGAGTGCTTTCTGCAGGGGTTCCTCGAACTGTTTCAGATCCTTCAATTGCTTGCTCCTGAGTCTGTCCGAATCTTCAGGTCTGTGTAGATTTTCAGCCAAAGTCAGCAGGGGAGGCGCGTCAGCTGGCGTTTCTTGAACTTTTCGCTGCGAAAAAGTCAATCAATTATTTGGGTCGAATTACTTTTTGGGCTAAATTTTCCACCAACTTACTTGAGTCTCTTGGCGTGGGACAGGACGTGGTTGGCAGCCTCCACGACCAAATGCTCACGTGTCAGTGCAGTCTCCACCGCCAGCAAGTAGCAATCGGTGGTTTCCTTCGTCTCCGACTGAAGCGTGTAGTCCAGGAACTCCGCCAGCAGACTGATGTTACGGCTGCATCCGAGCGCCGATGCCCAGACTTCCTGCTGGGAGACGTTCGTCGTGTTTCTAAATAGCTGCAGCAATTGCTGGAACTCCGCTTCGCCGCCCTGCTCGATGGCGATGCAGTTGGCCACCTCCTGGATGTCGACTGGCAGCTCCAGCGTATTCAAATGTCGCATAACTAGCTGCTTTGCCTGATCGATGCAGTCATCCACGCGATAGCGACAGGCTTGGGTGTATGTGAGCCGCATTAGGGACATGTCCCTGCCGGTCACAGACCTACTCGTGATGGCTCCCAGCTTCGGCAGGCGCCTGTACAGCAGACTTAGTAGCTTCGCCATGTAAGCCTAGAGGAGCTGCTGATGTAATAAAGAGGACTTGAGAGGACCATCCTAGAACCCACCTTTAACTCTTTTGCCTGCCGCCCACTCAATAACATTCCGATGCGATTCAAGAGGGTTATACCCCTTTCCCAGGGCAGCAGCTCCTCCTCCCTGTGCAGATACTCGAAGAGGTCGAAGGCCCAGTCATAGCTGAGTAGCTTTACGGCGCCCAGGGCCATAAGATCATCCATTAGCTGGACTCTGTTGTACACGTGTATGCCCCCAAAGTTTGGATCATTCTGCAGACTGCTGATGATCATCCTCCAGTTGTGCTCGTCATAGTTCACCCGGTAAATGGCGCTGACTTGCACATTCAGAATGAACCACTCATTGCGCGCTGGCCTATAGGGTAGCTCCAGCGTCTGTAGCGCGGTGGCGGGACACTCCAGCCAAGAATGGGGACGAGTTTGCTCAAAGTCGGGATGGCTTTGATGGACAAAGCTGAGCGGCACCCACCAGCAGTGGTCTGTGTCGGCGACTTGCCTCAGGCCCTTCTCCAGGTAAAATCTCGTTTGATTGAGGCTCACCCAACCCGTTTCGTAGTCCCGCACAGCGGTGACCAGTGGATAGCCACCCTGCAGCGTCCACGTGTCCATGGCTCGGCCCAGATTGAAGTTGGATGATAGCAGCACCTTCTGCTGCACGGCTGCCTCCTGCATGGACTGCCACAGATCAGCCTGCTCCACAGTCCCAAAGGAGTGTTTGGAGAGATAGGAGCGAATGGCCAGGAAGAAGGCCTCCCCGCCGAGCAGCTTGTGCAGCATGCGCATGATCAGCGCCCCCTTATCATAGACGTACTTTGTGAAATGCCCGAGGATCTGTTCTGGATCCTGCACCTCACGCGAAATGGCGCGCACCGATCTGGCCGAGTCCCGGTCAAAGAAATGTTCCAAATCCTTGCCAATGAATCGCTCGCCGCGACCCAAATCGGGCCGCAGGGCATCCAATGCCAGATAGGCGAAGTACGTGGATGGACCCTCCTTCAGCCAGAGATCGTTCCACCATTTCATGGTCACGCTGTTGCCGAACCACTGGTGGGCATACTCGTGGGCCAGCGCCTTGGCCTTTAGATCCTTTGTCTCCTCCTGCTCCACCCCCTCGATGTGCACGAAGTAGCTCTCTCTGAAGATGACCAAGCCCCAGTTTTCCATGGCGATGAACCTGTGAGTGGGCGCCGCAAGCTGATCGATCTTTCTCAGGGGAAAGTCCAGCCGAAAAAGATCCTCAAAGTAGCCGAGCACCTTTGGGCCCATTTCGACGGATGCGTTGCCCTGTTGCAACGCCATGGGCTGCAACCAATTGCGGAAGATCACCCTGTTCTTCGTGTCGCTCTGCACGGTGGCCGCATTGGGCAGATCGTGAACCGCATAGGCCACCAGGTAGGTGGATGTCCTCAAGAGCTGCTCGTGCTCGCACCAGATATAGTCGGGGAGGCTTTCGCTGAAACGATTGACGCGAAATGATTGGTAGTTGATCGGATGAGATCGGATAGATCGCATAGATTACTTACTGCTTGTGGCACTTGTGGATCGGCATATTGCTGAGACCCGTGTAGCTTTTGTGGTAGCCCAGGGTCACATTAACGGTGGCCTTCCACGTGGGTTCATCGAAGCAGGGAAACGCCTGGCGGGCAAACGTGGGCGAGAACTGTGTGACTGACATGTAACTAATGAATGGCGGGATAAGGGTTAGCGTCATCGTCTGCGTCTGCGTCTGCCAAAGAGCCACAATACTCACTGTTTCTCCTTGGTTGCCGCATCCGTGTAGGAGCTGTTGTAGTAGCCCGATTCTGTGGCATTCAGCGATGACTCAAAGTGCATCGTCAGCTGGTAGCTCTGACCCAACTTCAGTTCCCGGCACAGATGCAGCGTGTAGTAGTCGTACACCTCATTCAGCTCGATCTCGATGTCGCTGTCGGAGGGGCAATGCCTCTCCCCTCTGGCTGTGGAGCCACCGGTAAGTGAAATGCGCGACTTGTCTATCCGTAAATTCCTCGCGTGCAATGTAATGTTTCTGGTCGATTGAAGGACACGCAGATCGATGCGCACCGCACCCTCGAAGCGCCGGTCGGTGGCATTCAGATGGGTGAGAATGCGTATGTCATAGTGCTGTGGTTCCAGCGAGCTGGGCAGGCGATAATGATCGTAGACAGCCAGGCTGGCCGAAGGCAACAGCAGGATCAGAACGAGGCAGTAAATGGCTGTAGATCCCAAAATGCTGGGGCAATGAAACAGAGAGAACATAAGTCCGTCTATCCACTTGGCAAACATTTTTTTAAATATTCTGCGTGCTCCTGAATCCAAAATTATTCGTGCAAGGAAGCAGCTGCCCACATGTCCTATGCCCGGCCCAAACGGTAAGGGTCCCGAGGATAAGGCTTGGCTCTTTAACTCCTTCAAGTCTCTCGACATGGCTCTGCTGGACGTCTGTGCCAAAAGTCACGAATGCTGTATCGTTCGGGACTTAAAACCGTATTAGACATTCGATTTGTGTCTCTGCAGTGGATCGATTTGCTCCGGTTACCTGTTTATTTTGTTATTGTTGCTACTAAGCAACTGCAGTCACGTGCCAGTTCAACGTGCCGATCACCGTCGTCAGCGATTTTAAATAATCAAAATTAGCCGCTCGAAATTGTACCAGTAATCACGTATAGTCTCAACTCTTCACTGAACTGAACCGAATGTCCTCTGATCTTCGCTCTCAAATGATCTCAACCGAACTGAACGCTCACGGGGCCAAGCGGGCTTTATTTATGGCATTCGGTCAGGTGAAATACTCTCAGACGAGATCAGTAAACAGAAAGAAATATCTGAAATTTTTGTACATTTTTTGATCGTAAAACCACCTGAACTTATGAAGATATGATGCCTTATATGTATGATTTATGGCTCTGGCACTGTGGACTTAGTGCCAGAGCCATTGCAGGCGTACCAATTGTAATACAAACTTTGCCTTAGATTTTAGATAGATTTTAGTAAGCTAGAAACTAAAATCAGACTTGCATGAAAGTTTTATTCTTTAATTGTCTTCGTACAACAGCAAAAAAAAAATATTTAAAAAAGAGACCGAAAGAGAGGAGAGCCCAGCGAGACTCTCTTAATTAAGGCCTCTCCTTCAGTGTGAAATTTTGTCAAATTTGTCAAGCTCTCTCTCTCTCCCATTGCACTCTCGCACATTAACAATCCAGATTCTGTTGCACTTTGGAAAAGTAATCCTCCGGCTGCTGCTGCTCCACTGCCAGGAATGGGGAATAGTGAATAGGTGGGGGGGCTGCGGATGAATCACGGCATGTCGCTTTCGAATGGAACATAAAAAATTGAGGGCTTAATCAAAAAACAAAAATGTGCTGCGATTTTCCGCTTTTTTAACGCCAACAGCAGCAGAAACTTCGCTACGAGTCCATCCTCCAAAAAAGAAAACCCCTTGTTGATGTCCAGGGACGTGACACACACACACACACAAAGGACACACCAAAAAGAAAAAAAGGAAAGTTAAACTACTTGGTGGCGACTTTTTGTGCACTCCTTGGAAGCTCCACTGCTTCTCTTTTGTTCCTCCGCTTTCATTGTTCACAACTTAAGGTTTTTCTCCATCGGGTTTAGTTCTCCGTTTGTGCTCCATGACTTTTGTTGTTAATTAAATTTAGGCTAAAAAGGAGCACTCTCTCTCCCGTGTGCTCATTAAAATTGAAATGCGATTGCAGCCAGGGAATGGTCTTCAGGTTCAGGTGGGCTTGCTCCTGCAGATCCTGCCACCAGATGGAGAAAGTTGAAGGGACTTTCTATTTGTTAACAATTCGATTGGTAGCGGTATTTGCTAGGCATACACTTGGAGACCTTTGTTTGCCATCAAATTGAATTTATAATTCATTTATTTCTTTTATTATTTATTTACTTCTCCAGCCAAAGTGTTTCCGCAACATTTCTTTCCAACTTCAATCCCTGTGGCATTTTATGCAATTTCCGAACTATTTGAATATTTTATTAAGAAAAAGAAAAGGCAAAAAAAAAGTTTATTCATGTATTTCAATACGGTAGGAATATTTAATAAAAAATAAAAATAAAAAATTTAGCCGTTAAGTGAACAGAATTTGTATCTAAAACGCAGTTTAAGTTCGATTTGGGATCATTATGAGCATTTGGACGACCAAAAGGCCAAGTGTAACATCTGCAAATAGCCATATGACATTAGACTTGCTAACTGACTAGCTGAAAAAATAAAGATGGCCTTATGGGAAATGCCTTCAGTCAGAGCGAGAGAACTATATGCGTCAAGCTGGCTGTCCAGTTGAGCTGGGAGAAGCGCTGCGGCAGAATTTATCGAAAATTTTACTTTGCGGATACAATTATGCTGGCTTGGTGTCTGTGTTCTGCTGGAAAACATCATTGTGTGTCAAGTAGTGCCTTAGTTGTTCTACTAAAAGCCATTAGACGTTTCTAGAGACTGCTACGAACAATAATGTTGCATTTTGTCTCTAGTGCTATCCCTCTCTGCGCAGCAAAATTGTCTAAGTCTAATGTCATATGGCTAAAAGTAATTTTGTCTTGTGTATCGCAGAGTAATCTTGAACAGGGAACAACTGAACAAGTGAACAACTGAGTGAGCAACTGAACAAAAATTGAGTGAACATGTTCAGTTCACTCAGTGAAGTGAACAGCTCATTTTTGTTCACTCACTCATGAGCAACCCAACTCTAATATGTACATATAAATGTCAAAATGCTCAGTGAAGGAGGAAATAGTAAGGATGGTTGGATGATCTTTGGAGCGCTCAGACTGAAGACTGAGCCTTACAAGCCATTCCATTGAACAGTTAAATTGGTTTTTAAATTCCAACATTTGTTAAATATTATATTTCGTGTGAAGTATGTATTAATGTATTCCGATTATTCAGATTATTGGTATGCTTGAAAAATGCAATCCTCAATATAATTTTCCTCTGTGCAGTTGGAGCGACAAAACTTGTTACCTTTTGCCGTCTGCTCTTCTTCTTTTCACTTTCGTTTTCAATGCGCCTCTCTCACTCTCTCACTGTCTCTGCCTCTCTGCCACTCTGTTTCTCTCTTTGCTGCCTATTACTCAATAGCCGCTCGACGGAGCCCCAGCCACAGCCACAGCAACAGTCGCAAGCCCCCAGCCCCAGTTCCAGCTCCAGTGTTGATGGCATTTTGATTTTGAATTTGTCAGCCAACTGTTTATTAAGTGTTTTGACTCGAAGCCAAACTGTTCGCGAACGGCGGCTTGCTGCATGCATCGGTCGCAAAATCCACACACAAATAACTGTAAAAGGTGTATAAAATAAAATATATTTATGAAAATACTCACTGAAAGGGAGAGTGTGAGCGAGTGAGAGCAACAGCATATACACGTGGTAAAAATCACGATTAATCATTCAAGTTACTGTGCCACTTCGATCCACTTCTGGCACGGGACGAATCGGAACGTAGCGGAACGTAACGGAACGTAACGGGATCCGGGCTATGCAAACGAGACGCGATTATTCAATCAAAAAAACTCGCGCTGCTACGTGAATTAAGTGAAATACAATTGCAGAAATCAGTAAGAGAAACAAAAAAAAAACCAAAAAATTCAAAAAACCAACAACGAAAGTATTGCAAAATGCGCCTGTGCCTGTGCCTGTGCATGCACCTGCCCCTGTTGCCCATGCTGCTGCTGCTGCTGCTCGAGAGTGTGGCAGCTGCCCAAAGCAGCTACAATTCCGTTTACAATGAGGTAATTCCGCCAGAGCTAAAGCAGGCCATTGACAAGGAGCTGCCAAAGCAGGCCAAGTTCTTCGATGAGCTGGACCGTAAGTTATCTTACTTACTGCCAATACCAGGCCCATATACGATCGTTATTGTCAAGTCAAATCGGGTTCGTTGCCTAAGTCTTTCGTCTTGCCTTGCACAATTTGCATATTGGTTAACACACGATGCGACACGATGCCCTGGCCACGATCCGGGCCGGTGTAACCTTGATCTTCGCTGCTACGCTTACCACATCTGCATCTACATCTACATCTACACCCACCACCGCTATCGATATTATGTCAAGTTCGGGCGCTGACTCAGCGACACAGAGTGACAGAGAGCCATTGGGGCCCAAGGGTCCCAGCGAAAGTGCAGACATTCCGTTCTTGGCGATGGCACCCAGCACCAGCACCAGCACCCAATTAAACCAAAAACTGACTGACCTGACTATTATTCATCTCACCTAATTGGACTTTCCAAAAGACAGACACAAAAACCAATTAGCCGCGACACGGCTGGAAGTGATTACACATTAACATACGAGCAAGAAGAGTACAAGTGTGTACAAAAGTACACACTATGAGACACAGAGAAGGAAGAGAGAGAGAGAGAGAGAGAGAAAGAAAGCACCGCTTTTTGGAAAATTGTGAATGGCCGTCATGGTAAAATATATTATAAATAACAATCGCACACAGAGAGCTCCATATGCATTTAAATATACATATGTATGTATGCGCGAGTATAGATATATGTATACATATGTACATATATAATGACAGATGCAAGATACCTGATTGCTGCACAAGTTCAATGGCAGCTGCATTGGATCGAAACGAAACGAATCGAAACGAATTGAATCGAATCGACTTGCCTCGGATATGTAATACATATGAGCAAAAGCAAAAGCAAAAGCAAAAGTGTTTCCAGATGCCAAGCCGATATACCCGCAGAGACAGGAAAATCAACTGCAATTAACTTCACTTCAATTGCACACACGCCGCCGCATTCGCCGCTTTCGAAAGTGTTTCTGCCACTAACAACCATCACCACAGTCGTCGGTGGCATGAGTCGGCCAGTTTTCCACACAACAAACACCAAACACCAAACACCAAAGATTATAGATTATTTTGGCTGACTTTTTATGTAAGCGAAAACCTTGGCCAAAGCCAAAAAGCCAGCAACATGTTGTTAGCTTCAAAAACCAAAAACCAAAAACCAAAATAAAAAAAAAATGTTGCACTGCTGCTTCACTCTCTCTTTCCCACTTCATTGCCAGAGCCGAGTGAAATGCCGAAATGTTTTGATGATGGTTGGTTCGGCTTCTGGTTGGACTTCGGCTCGACAGCTGGCAGCTGGCAGCTGGCAGCAGCCTCGTGCTTTGGCCGCCGCAAAAGCTTGGCTTAGTTCTGAGCTGATTTTCCCGACGCGCGGTCGCCTTTTGTCTGCTGCATTATCGCTGTGCAGTGTAGAGTAGAGTAGAGCGGAGCGGAGTGCAGTGGAGTGGAGTGTGTGCGCATGCGTAAAGCCAAAAAGCAAGACGATTCGGTTGCGTTGGAAAAGCCAAGCAGGCGCAGATAGTTTTCGAGTCGAGAGTTTTCTTTTTTCGTGCGGCGTCGCTGCGCATGCGTGGACGCCAAGAAAGCGCCATTTAATGAATGAATGTTCAATGAAAACAAAAGTGAAATCCTTAGCCATCGCAACGGGAAACAGTGGCCAGGACCGCAACGCAAACGGGCTCGGATCGCATCGATCCAGGGACAGCAGCTCCAATTCATAATTATTGAGGCAAAAGCGAAAGTGCAAGAGTGAAAGTCCAACCATCCAACCATCTATATCACTGCCATGTCACTGCCCAGACACTCAAAGGACACCTGGCTGCGGCTTGTGTTCGGTGTGGTCTGTGCGGGCTGTGCCCTGGCCGGAGTCTCCGGCCTCGGCTATCCGAGTGCCCAGCAGGAGCACGACATGCTCATACTGGACGCCCTCTCACGCCGCAGCGGCACCGGATATTATGGCGAGAACAGCGTAATGGAGATGCTATCCCGAAGTACTTGCCCAACAGACAATTTGATTTGACTTGACATACGATTAGACCCTCGCCTGTGACATCCTCCTGTCAGAGACTAATTTTCTTCTCTCTCTCCCTCTCTATCTCTCTTTTTTCCCCCTCTCTTTCTCGTTCTCGTTGCCAAACGATTTGTCTCTGTAGTGATACCGCAATCGTGCCGCTTTCGTGGCCACAAGTTCGAGTGCGGCCTGTCCATCTCATGTGTCTTGGGCGGCGGCAAGCCCCTGGATCTGTGCTCTGGCGGCATGATCTGGTCATGTTGCGTGGACAAAGATCTCGATGCCGAGGAGAGTCCACATGCCGCTCCAGTAAACAATACAAGTAAGTAGAGAGAGAGAGATACATACATACCTACCTACGAGACACTTCCCGCAGGCTGCCCAAGCAGGGCAAACAGTTTTCTTTTTTGTTTTTTGTATTCTGAAAGACATTGTGGCCTCCTCCTGCTTTCCCCACTCCGCCCTCTGCCATGCACTGCAATCGGCCAGATTGCCAGAGTTTGCAAATTGTTGCGCTTCGAGAAGTTATGCAATTCGGATTCGGATTCGGATTCGTATAATGGTGCTATAAATTAGCTTGCATTTCGAAAATGACAACAAATTGCTCGACGCGCACAAGCACAGGGCACGGGCACAGGGCACTGGACACACGCAAACAGATCACACAGATGCCACAAGTGTGCGCCCATGGGGCACGGCATCTCAGGAAAGCCTCCATTAGGCAGGGAATTATTTTAGGAAATTCAACGAAATTACATACATCTGTGGCAAGCATTTACTTATGTTTTTACACTGTACAGTGTACACAAAATAGAACGGAAATGCTCATTAACAGATTGCAGCGCACAAGTGAATGTTTTCAAAAAGGTAATGAATACCTTACTATACGAAGAATATTTTCATCAGAAAGTAGCAAAGAATTGACTGAAAATGTTCTCGTTAAATAATTCGATTTTGAAATTAATCGAAGGATATTTTTATTTGATATTAGGGTATGTTTTCGAACCGATAGATTTGAATTTTAATGATTAATAATCGTTTGTTAATGGATCAGTTGGTGCATCCATCCATCGTCAAGTGCATTGGTTACTTATATCGTAATCGTAATTGTAAACGTATTGAAAGCAATTACCAATGCAGCAATAGCCACAGCCACAGCCACAGCCGCAAACAGTAAGAAGAATAATAGTTATTTATGTACAAAGTACATGCATATACATATTATGCCACACACACGCATACAGCTAACAAAAATTCGTTGCTTCTCCGCTGCTGCCATTTTGTTGTGCTCTGTTTAATTTTCTAGTTTACTAACTGCTTTGCTTCTTGTTTTTTGTTTGTTTTGTAGTATTCATACTCTTTAAGGTATTATTGCTATTATTATTTTTGGGCAAAAGGAGCAATCAGCTTGATCACGATCAAGTCGATATAGTCGTATGGTCGGACAGGTGCTTTGTCGGTCTCCCAAATCCAATTCCAATTCCAATTCCTTTCCATTGTAGAAGAGAAACTCAGTTATGGGCCAAAATAATCTTATGAAAATCCCTGCAATGGGGTATACGAAATTCGGTTTGCAGCAGTTGGATTTCGTTAACTTTTTAATTTTTTGTGTGTGTGTGTTTTATGGCGGCAAATCAGCCCAGACAGCAACAGCAACAGCAACAGAAACAACATTACAACACGGTTATAAATAATTCTTAGTGGAAAATTTTTGGTTGTTTTGTGTTTCCCTCCCCATCAATCTCTTGGTTTCCACCTTTTACTTTTACCGCAATTTAAACTAAAAATTGCTGGCCTGTAATTCCCCCGAAGCCCATAAAGATGCGGGTTCTGTTTGACTTTCTTTAATGTCTGTGGGGGGCTTTGTGGTTGGTCGCTGGCCAAGTGTAAAGTTTTCCCAAGACGCCAGGCGACAATGATAAAGCCAAAAACAAAAACCCCCAAAGAAACAAAAAAAAAAAAAAGGGAAAAATCCAAACCCGAAATGGGCAAAAGTCACTTGCGGAAATAAACGAAGGTGAACGTTTTCGCATTTAAAAGTGAAATTTTTTCGGTTTTCTTTCTTTGTTTCAATTTTGTTCAGACCCTCCCCCCACTACCCCCCTTTTGAAGTTCAGTTTTATTATTTGTTTGCTTTCAAATGTGGGAAAAATCACAGCGCAAATGTTACGGCATAGACGAGTCCAAAAACCAGCCCCCAGCCCCAGCCCCAAGAAAGTGTTAATCAAGTCATGACGATGCGACGACGTTCTGTCGCTGGGCCGAAATGACTTTTGCATTTTGTGTGTGTGAATTACGTGCGAAGCAACCAAAACTCACAACAGTCGCAGCCACTAAGTGTCCGACTTTGTCTTTGTCTGTGTCTCTGATTTTGGTCAGAGGAGTCGCCGCCGCCGCCGCTGCCTCTTGTGGCCATCTTCTTGGTGGCCAAGTGACATAATCGGTGTCGTGGTTTTATGATGATTTGATTGCATGGCCTGACTTGGTGACTGTCACCGCACCAAGCAATTGGGGGGAAAGTCTTGCTGCGACTTTGACCCACACACACACACACACACACACACACACACGAAGACATTTGCACAACTCGAGTATGAGACAGCCTCATCATTGTCCTGCATCATGATTCTCACACACAGGTGACATAATACACTTGCATGACATTTACCCCGATCTGTCGCCGAACGCAAACAAGCCACAGCCGCAACAGCAGGCGCAGCAGCACCATCACCCGCACCACCACAGCAGCAGTGGCAACGGCCTGTCAACGGCCTCATCCACATCCACATCCTCCTCCGCATCCGCTGGCCGGCCATCCTACCCCAGCAGCAGCAGCAGCAGCAGCAATAATTACTACAGCACCAAGCGCCCAACGCTGTACAGCGGCTCCAATCCCTACAAGCCTGGCAGTGGATCCAGCCATCGTCCCCCGCCAACACTGAATAACTGGGAGCAGGAGACAGGCCCTTTGGGTTCCATCAATGGCATCACCAATCATCTGGACAGCTTCTTTGATGCCGATGGGCCAACACCCTTGGACTTGGCGACAGGACCGCAGCAGCAGGCGCCGACACCAGCCCACGAGCTGTTGCCCAATGCCCAGGCCTTTGCGGTGGGCAATGTACTGGATCTGAATGGGGGCGAGGCGGCTGATGAGTATCAGAGTGGTGGAGGATATCACGAGTCCAGCTATCGACCAGTGCCGGGTACCAATGCATCACGTACCACTCTCTCTCTCTCTCTCTCTCTCTCTCTCTTCCTCTTTTTCCCTCTTGTCTGTAGCACCAATGCAAATGATTTTCCTTTAAGCAGCACCAATACATCACAGCACAGCACTCTCTCACTCTCACTCTCACCACAGCAGCACCCACAGCCACTCACTCTGTTGTAGATTTTGTTGTACTCTATCTGAATATTTCCCACTCTCTTTTAACGAAAAGAAACTCTCCCAAGCTTGCCCCACTAATGGATCTATATTTCTGTCTCTCGCAGGCTGTGGAGAGGTGTACACACGCTCCAATCGCATTGTGGGCGGCCATTCGACGGGATTCGGTTCGCATCCCTGGCAGGTGGCACTGATCAAGAGTGGTTTCCTCACCCGCAAGCTCAGCTGCGGCGGCGCACTGATCTCAAACCGTTGGGTGGTCACCGCCGCCCACTGTGTGGCTACGTAAGTACAGTCATAATACCAGCTTTGGCTTTTTGGATGTCTAATTTCAATGGCAATTTCTGATGGCAATATGCAGCACCACCAACTCGAACATGAAGATACGCCTGGGCGAGTGGGATGTGCGTGCGCAGGAGGAGCGACTGAATCACGAGGAGTACGGCATTGAGCGCAAGGAGGTGCATCCCCACTACAATCCGGCAGACTTCAAGAACGACGTGGCCCTGATACGGCTGGACCATAACGTGATCTACAAGCAGCACATTATTCCCGTCTGCCTGCCGCCCGCATCGACCAAGTTGACGGGCAAAATGGCCACCGTGGCGGGTTGGGGTCGGACGCGGCACGGCCAGAGTACGGTGCCGTCGGTGCTGCAGGAAGTGGATGTGGAGGTCATCTCCAATGATCGCTGTCAGCGATGGTTTCGCGCTGCCGGACGCCGCGAGGCCATTCACGATGTGAGTATTGGGAATCCGTTATTCCTATGGGAATTCTAACGTCTAACTTTTGAGCCGCTTGCAGGTCTTTCTCTGCGCCGGCTACAAGGAGGGTGGCCGCGACTCCTGCCAAGGCGACTCGGGTGGACCGCTCACCCTCACCATGGACGGCCGCAAGACACTGATTGGCCTGGTCTCGTGGGGAATCGGCTGCGGCCGGGAGCATCTGCCGGGCGTCTACACGAACATCCAGCGCTTTGTGCCGTGGATCAACAAGGTGATGGCCAACGATAATGCGTAGTGCAGGGACGCGTCTCGCCCCTGCATCCGGGGAACAAACTGAATCGGAAGACTGCCTGCCCACCTGTCCGCGGCGTAGTTCTGCGGCTGTGTGTGAATGGAGAAGGAGCGCGGCCCCAGCGGACGCATTAAGGGGAGCCCAGGCCATGTGATTCCTCTACGACTCGGGGTTGCTAGTGTGTAAGACGAAGGTCGTCACAGTCGCGGCCCTTGTATCTATTTTACTCATATTACAGTTTCCTTTCCCTCCCTAATCGAAGCCCTGTACCCTGTACCTGCATTCCATTCGTTTATTGTTCGGCTTAAGCTTTCCATATTTATTACACTCTGCTCGACGAACGCGATTCCTACAATTGAAATTCATTTACAAGCATATTTATAGTGTTAGTTATTTAAATAAACATTAAAAGTATTAAACAAAAAAGAATTAAAATGTGTATGTGAGTTTCATTTGCCGATAACCAGCACTTGTCCTGGCCTATCACTCTTACTGTTGACTGTTATACTATACTAATAATAATAATAATAATAATAATATTGGTATGGATTATTGCTCGTAAATATTAAAAATATTTGCTTAAATCTAGTGCCAGTTTGGTGGTAATCAGTGCTAGAAATATGGTATGATATATATTATAACCAAGAAATAGGAGAATAATCTTGAAATTTTATGCTGTTCTGCCATTTTTAAGACTCTGCTGTTGTCAGAATATATCCAAATCCCATTGCTATTGCCTGCAGATTCGGGCTAATATCCATTTAAATACATTTTCTACGTTTCTTCCACTTTAATAAGAATATTTATTTCAATCTATTCGATGAAATTGAAATTAAATCAAAATTTAAAATTATTTAACTATTTATTCTGTCGCTAAAGAATAATTGCATGCTTCAATTTAATACAGGAAAATTCAGAAAATTATTTACAGTTGGTTGGGAGGGGGGGATTGGGATTTCTTTACTAGAAATTTTTTAAAACCAAAATTTAAAAATAAAAGTAAAAGTAAATAAAAATATATAAAGGCCTTGGCAGCTATTGCTTATAACGTCCTAGTTTTTACACACCATAAACCAGCTGTAAATAAATAACAAAAATATATAAAAAATGAAGTTTTTAGCCAAATAAAGTTTTGTATAGTTTTTGGGGCTTGTTGCTCGCGTAATATACACGCACTTGACAGTCGTTTTAGTTCTTTTTTACATTTACTTTACACTTTAGCGCCAGCAAAATGTGGAGCTAGCACCAGCTGATAGCCAAGCTCCACACCATTGAGTACAGCCAGAGGCAAAGCAAGAAAACAAACAGCAAAACAGAAAAACAGAAAAACATTAAAAAAATATGTAAAATAAACAGTGATAAAGTAGCAAGAAGTGTTGGGATTAAGTCAATGTCCCAAAACTCATTTATACATACATACATACATATTCCCCCGGCCCCCTGGAGCGGAGTTGTGGCAGTGCAACAGGTGCCACAGACAGTGCGTGGACTGAATGCCTAATGAGTACAACTTCCGCCAAGACATTCAGGGGGGATCAAGACTCTGCTTGTTATCAGCGGGCATCGTGTGGATGCCGAGATGCTCAAATAACAGTGGGAGAAACTGAAGATCATCATCGTCTTTGGCCGTGTCAAGGGGGAGCCCAATGAAAGAGCTTATCAGCCAGATAGCTAACGCAAACTCTCCCTCAAACTCTCGCTCTCTCTCTCTGTTCTCTCTCTCTCTCTCTCTCTCTCTGTTTCTCTGTGTATGGGATGGACTCGCTCTTAGGATCCACATTGGCATCCACTACATTTGGCCCAAAAGAACTGGCCCACAAGCAAGAGCACTGCTTGTCGATTTGCCTTTCAGTTGCTGTGGAGCAGCTGTCAAGGTCTCACAAGTTCAAGAAACGGCCGAATCCTCTCCGACATCGACATCGCCATCGACATCGCCATCGCCATCGCCCTCGCTTTGGCCAGTTCAGTTAATTGTGCGTTTTTTTGTTCATTAAAGAAAGACAACAAAGAAAAAAGACGGCAAATCTGTTATGAACCGCGTCTTCGTCTAACCAATTATTCCATTTTGTGTGACTGGTGCCCAAAATGTTGTTTGATACCTTGATTGGTTTCCATTTGAAGCTTAATGATCGTTGGGCGGCTGGCTCTACTTTGGCCCAGGCTAGTGTGAAGTGTTTTGTGGCCCCAATGCAATTCTTATCAGCAAATAGCTGCTCGGTGGCTAGTTGGCTTAAGCCACACACACAAGTGTACGCAAAGCTGGACTTTCTTAACCTGAGGACGTGCATAAATTATGGCAAACACACACTCACTCACCTCCCCTCACCTCACCTTACCTCACCTCACCACCTGTATGGATGGATGGGATGGTGACAAAGAATGGCAAGAAGCGCGCCAGCAGCAGCAACAACAACAACAACAACGAGAAATATGAAAAGAACCAGAAAGAAAGGCAAACTTTGGCATAAACTAGCGAATGGATTGAACGATCGAAAGCTGAGTTATTGGGCTGAGTTATGCTCGTAGCTATATATATATATATATATAAATATATATATATATGTATCTGCAGAATATCTATCAGTTTTAGTTGTCTTGATGCTCGTAAATCCTTAAACAAGAGCACTTTGGATAATCGTGTGTAGAAAGCCTCGAAAATGCTTTCATGTGTGTGTGTGTGTGTGTTTGTTTGTTGCCTCTCTGTTGTGTGTGCCGCTTCTTGCTACATATTTTAATGTGAAAGCGCTGTTAAGCCCAAACTGTGGTAGAAGAAGCGCCGTACCTCTGCCCCACCCCACCCTGCCAAACAGCATTTGCCGCCAATCAGCTGTGCCGTCTTCTACAGAGAGTGGCAGAAAGAGAGAGAGAGAGAGAGAGACTCAGCACAGTGTGTGTGTTTGATGTGTGTGTGTGTGTGATGCTCATTTGAATAAGAAACAGACGCCTAGCATTTGGCTGTTCTCGCTGCTGGCCTTAATGGAAACCGTTATGCGCGTAGCAGTCGACGTCGCTGCCCAAGCTCTAACAGCGGCACGCATGCGCGCGCACATGTTGCCCTGAGCCAACACACAGCAAGCAGAAGAGCGAGCGAGCGAGCGAGCGAGCGAACGCTTCAATTTCGCTTTGTCGTTCTTCAGCTCTGCCAACGTCTCAGCTCCAAATCTCAGTCAACGTCAGCAGAAGCAGAAGCAGCAGCAGCAGCAGAAGCAGCAGCAGCAGCAGCAGCAGCGTCTCTTGGCCTGGTCTGGGGCCTGGTGTGTGGATCTTTTGTGTGCGCACTCCTCCTCAGACGTGCGCAACTTGTCGCGGTCTGACCACGTCCACGTCCGCGTTTCGCTTTGGTCGCTCTGGTCGCTCTGGTCTTTGTCGCGGTATCTTCCTCCAGACACCACTCCACCACCGTTCCGTACTGCACAATCTGCGCTCCCAGCGAGTGCCTCAGCCTCAGCCACTGCGTTCGTGCGTGTTTGTTTTGTGCAGTTAAATAATTGGCCTGACCCAAGTCCGAGGCAAGTTCAAGTTCGTGAAGCAGGAGCAGATCTGCGAGGCCTACCCTTGCTTCCCCCTTGCCACTTGCCACTTGCCAACAATAACCAGCAATTATCCGGGACTAACAGTGTTTTGTGTGTGATTTTTTTTGTTCGGCTCTGGCCTGAAACAAAAGGCCAGTCGCTGGGAATAAAAGAAAAGCAAAAGAAACACAGAGACAGAGAGAGAGAGAGAGAGAGACGGAGAGTCAAAAAGCGAGTGTCAAACAAAAGCCAAATGTGAAGAAACTCATAAAACGGACAGACAGACCAAGAAGTTAAGCAAACATCAAAGCCACGAAAAAAACAAAAAAACACACACACACACAACAACAACAAAAACCCCAAAGAATATAATAACAATAATACAGTAACAGCAAATTAAAAGAAATGACCCAAAAATAGTCGACAGCAGTGAGGAAGTTAGACCGAAACGACACGAGAGCCGCCGCCACTGCCACTGCCACAGCTACCAAAAGTTTGAAGTTGGAACCAAGTTGGATGCCAACGCAAGTAAATGCAAACGATGCGAGTCTGATGAGATACGCATCTGTCAGATATGCCGGCCCTAGAAATCTTTACTTCTCTCTCTGTGTGTGTGTTTGTGTGCCTTTGGTAGCCGCGCTGCACTTTCTACCGCGTACAAGTCAATTAAGCGCCAACTCACAGCACTCTTTGGATACAACAGCCCACACAGATGCAGCTACAGCTACAGCTACAGATACAAGCGCACACGATAGATGCGCATAACTGCAACTAACTGCACAACCATCGGAGGCAGAGGGAACAGGGGCAACAACAACAGCAGCAGCAACAGCAGCAACAGCAACCGCAAAAACAAGAGCAACAAGTTCAAGCGCCGCAAACACGGCCAAAGCTCAAAAACAAGTCCAAAGCAAAAGTTGCAGTTGGCTCGCTCCAATCTGATCTGTTCTGTTCTGTTCTGCTCTGTTCTGCTCTCAACTTATCTGCTCCTGCTGCAAAAATTTATTGAAATTCCTGCAAGGTACAGATCCAAAGAAAGAGCCACAAGAGTGCCAGTGCCGCTTAGTACAAGTGTTTCAATTGCGCCTGCTGCTGCTGCTGCTGCTGCTGCTGCGGCAAGAGCTCTTGCGGCAGCCAAGAAGATCAGACAAGAGCAGAGGCTCTTGCTGCTGCTGTTGGCTGCACCAAAAGATTTTTGCTTTTCGGTTTAAAGAACTGGTCTGATAGTTGTTTCAAGCGATGCATACGAGAGGGTACGGGCCATGGCCTCGGGTATGAAGGGTTTGCCCCACGCTGTGGGGGCAGTACTCCGGCCAGCGAAGACTTACATGAATGGATAGTCTATTACCAAATGGAACCTATTTATAGTGAAGGAGAATTCATCTTTGCCAGTGTCTGGCACTGCATAGAAATTGTTCTATTAAATTATCGTTTATCGTTTCGTTTCGATTCGCTGGGTATCAATCGATCGACTCGTCTCTGTTCACATTCATGATTCTTCCTTCATGTTTGGTGGGGGCCTGCCGCCCCTCCGACTGGCTTTGGTCTAAACTGCAGTGAGCAGCAGTGAAGAGGCAGCAGGCAAACGGAGAGGCAGGAAGAGGAGGCACAGATGCGCCTGTGCCCCATACTCGTACCTCGGTGTTTATTTGCATTTCATGTTCCTGGCTTGCGCTCTGGTTTTATACAGGTTTGGCACAGAGTAGCCCCCCCCCCCCCACACTCCTCTTCTTGCCAGGTGGATGCTGCATGGATGCGGCTGCTGCTGCTGCTGGCAGGGTCGGTAGCACAAAATGATTCACAATAATTATTGTAATTTGCATTTGGCATATGCAATTGAGAGATTGCCACCAATACCAAATCGAATTTGAGTTCGAATTCCCATTGCAATTAGCTGACCCTCAGGGCGGGCGAGAGGCGATGCGCACGCATGCCCATCAGGTTCGTGCCTTGAAGTCTTTTGGTTCTTTTTGGTATACTAATGAATGATGGCAACAGGTAGTACCTGATCCATGGCAGCAACCCGCAGCTAAGCAACAGCAAACCAGCAACAGAAACAGAAACGAAAAAAAAAAAAGTAAAACAAACAAAAATTTCTCTCAGCTCTTTTCCGTTTTTGGTAAGCAGAAATGAAAGCAGAATCAACGGAAAGCGGAAAGCGGGTAGCGGGTAGCGGCCAGCAGCGAGTTTTACTTCTTATTTGATTATACCAGATATGTACATATACAATACATATAGCTGCTACATATACATATCTTTTGATGGACTGCTGCGCGTTCCGCAGCAAATGGCATCATTCTTTTGTTCGCCATTTGAAACTACCAGCGACATTTCACTTTTCTTTTAAGTAAAGAAATTTTTTGCTGGCTTTCGCTTTTTAGCCAGGGGTAGGGGGTAAGGGTAGCCAGCTGACAAAATGTATTTTTAATAACAAATAACGCGGCAACAATTGTAATTTCACTTTTAACGAGCAGCCAGCCCAACGAAACTGTCACTCGTATTGGCTGTGCGAGTGTGGAAATTACTTAATTGCCCTGCCCATAAAGGCATGGCATGGGCAAGGCAGGGGCAGGGGCAGGGCGGAGCAGGGTATGATGATATCTGTTGAGCGAGAGAATCATGCAAATCATTTTCTGGCTCTGACCCAGTTACGGCCAGTATTCGCCATCTCATCTCCCACTTCCCAGGCATCTTCATTGCGGTGCCGTAGCCGGTGCCCCGATTCTGGTTATCGCTGCTCTCCCGCAGTAGCGTGGCACCAAAATTCATGTTAATTTGCAACACAACACAACGCCAACGCCAATTATACAGATATTCAATCGCAGGCTGTGAACGTGACCCAAATACACAAATAGCTGGCCAGCATTTTTTGAGGCCGGGCTCTGTGAGCTGGAGAGTCCGACCAGATCATATGAGAGAGGAGCCAGCAATTAGTTTGATTATCTGTTATGGCGATTGTAGCATACATACATATACATATGTATGTTTTATGGCTTCCGTTCTCCATTTCCCCCCAGAGATATATATCCCTTAGATAATCGTACACTTACGGATGCCAACACGAAGGCTGATAGATGATAGATGCAGATTAGTTGGGATTAGTTATTTGCGTTTAATTAAAGGTGTTTGCCTTTAAGCACACAGTTCACACAGTCTTAAACGGAGCAGCCGCTGGATGCTGAATGCTGAATGCTGGATGCTGTTTTCCGGTGGGGTTCAATGACCGTATTACGCAACACACACAGACCAACACACACAGTCACTCGTAGAACAGCAGCCAACAATGAGAGTTACTCTCCCCGCTAACGGTTGCCACAGACCCACACCACCCCAGCCCCAGTCCCAGTCACAGTCACAGAGCCGCTCTAAACGCAGCTAATTTCTCAACGCTGCAGAATCGTGACTCAAAGAAAGAACAAAAACCAAGCAGCAGAGAACAGAGAGCCGAGAACAGAACCGATACGAGAAGTAGGAAGGCTCGATCAATGAATACTCTGGTACGAGTGCGAGTTGTGTCACCGCAAAAGATGCCTCTGCTGGTGGTATGTGTGTGGGTATGGGAGAGTTATAGACGCGCATTGTCATCCATTCCCGGAGCAGGTCCAGTTAACTTTAGCCAACTCATCATTGGCTGGTTGGTTGTGGCTGCTTCTCGGCTGCTCGGCTGCTCGGCTGCTAGGCTGCTCGGTTGCGCTTTCTTTGATTGCCACAGTTTATGTCATCGTTTCTGTAACTGAACTTTCTTTGCCGATCGAACTCTGTAGCTCAATTAGCCGTCTGTTGAACTCTGTGCCAAGCGATCGATGCCTGAGAACTAGTTATGGGCATGGCCATGGGCATGGGAATCGAGTTTAAAGATGGGAACTGGCAACCGGGAACTGGGAGATGGAAGCTGGGAGCTGGGCAAATGCATTTCCAAACAGTTATATAAACGATATGTTGTTTAAGGGCAGCAGCCCATTGATTATACAATCTCTAAGTTGATTCCCGTTTGGATCGCTTTCTTTGCTAGCACACACACACACACATACACCCACTTTTGCTTTCCATTTTGGGGGCATTTTAGGCATGACTGAGACGCGTCACATATTACACATACGCCCTAGGTGCCGCATGTCAATAATTTGCTCCATTTGTTGCCCTAACAAGGGGCATGTTGGGCTGGAGCGGGTTTGAGTGGAGTGCACTGGCTGGCAACGTTGCCATAGAATAATCCAAGCAATAAAACTAAAGGGTATTCAAAGCTTCGGCCTGCGAGCATTGCCTTTCTAGCTGGCTTGTGTTTTTTTGTTTGTTTGTCGTTTTTGCATATGCAAGTCACTGAGAAAAGAGAGAGAGAAAGAGAGAGAGAGAGAGAGACTTTCACCTACTTGAGTCACTGGCATATTGCTTCTACGCACTTGCTCGACTCTGCTCGACTCTGCCTTCCGCCGGCTTGGGCCGTGCCGTGCCGTGCCCTGCCCTGCCCTGCCCATAGCTTGCTGTAGAAATGCCATGGCTGCGTTTAGTGATTAATTTGAATAATGCCGTAAAAGCGTTTCACATTTCACATGACTCATGACGGCTGAAAACGAAGAAGAATAATATTAATTTATGTTTCATTTTTACAGATGGGTGCACAATACACCTCCACAGATACAGATACAGATACAGGTGCAGATACAGCTACAGCTACAGACACCTATACATACAGAGCCACGAGGAGCACAGATCTAGCACCCAAAAGTGGAACAACAACATCCAAGCACAAGATGCCACTGCCACTGCCAAGTCTCGTTATCAGCCTAATCCTATCGATGGCCAGCCTGAGTCCGGTGCTGCTGCCAACGACGAACGCCAGTCCCGTCTTTGTGGATAATCCCAGCTTAGCACAGTGTAAGTATTCAGCCCCCAACACCCCACTCCCACTCCCAACTCTCAATCACCTGAGCCATCAGCAAAAGCTACTGTCGATCTTCGTTTAGCTGGAATTACTCAGCAGAGATACACAGATGCAGATGCAGATACAGCTACAGCATATGCCTGGTCCACCTATACATTAAGTACATTGTTTTCCCAAGAACTGCTGCCACTTTCTCTCACGTAGCCCCATTAAAAGTTTCTTTTGGGCAAAGGGTCCAGCTCCAGAGTCGGGGAATATGTAGGCATAATAATGGCAGGCAGGGAGGGAGCCTGTAATAAGCACGCTCCAAAATAAATGATGAGTAAAAATGTGCACAGAAGTAACACAAATAATGGCTACAAAAGGGAAGCTAAAATTAAGCAGAACTTATAACAAATAGTACGAGAAGTTAAAGAGAAAACAAAACACTGAAAATAATAATAATAATAAGTCAATAAATTACAGCAGAATTTACAGGAATTAACTTTTGTAGCTGACAGGAAAAAACTCTAAAAAAAACTTAACTGAAAAATTAAAAAAAAAAACCAATGTAATTTGATTTTAATGGGGAAAACCATCAATTAGTTTTTCCATAGGTTCTGCCGCAAATCTGTAGGATTTGATGGCCTGCGCTCGCTTAAAGCACTGAGAGATCGGGTTCCTTTGGCAGTACAAACATCTGGCCACTAAAAACATTTAATGGCAAAAAATAAAATGGCATTTCAGCAAAAAAAAAACAAAAACAAAAACTAATACAAAAGACTGAAGCGACAAACTAGTTTGGGACTGAGACCAAATTGAGAACAGAGGTACGAGCAGCCAGAGCCATTTCTAATGAAAGTAATCAAAATTAATGACGATGGAGACAGGCGTTGCCCGGGCAGCAGTCCGAAGATTAATTGGGTCATAGCCATTAAGAGCCAAATTTATACGCTATTAGCACTTCCTCTCGGGCCCCACACAGCTGCCAATTTGTCTGCGAGCGACAACACAACACAACACAACACAACAAAGAGCAGTCATTCAGCCAAGAGCCGGAGAGAGAGATGATAAATAAAAATAAAAAAAAAAACTATACAACTTTCATATACTCGCAAGAGCCGAGCCAGATCCCCATAGCCAGGCAAAGAGCCAAACGGGGCAAACGGGGCAAACGGGGCAAACGTCAGCGAGCAAAAGCAATTGAGGTCAACCATCAAAGAATGTTGCCATAAAATGACCGCCACCGCTTCCAACACTACCACCACCATGGGCTGCCAGTCGGACTGGCAGCAAGTCCGACTCGGACACTGGCCGGGAATCTCAATCTGAATCTCAATCTCTATCGGAATCGAGCTCGGCTCGGCTCGGCTCGGACTGGAGTGTGGCAGACTCTCCGCCAGAAAGCGTGTGCCGGCGCGCATTTCATGTGTATGACTGAATGCTGGTCCAGCAGCAGCAGCAGCAGCAGCCAACAGAGAAAATATAAGAGAAATAATATACCTACTCGTACATGGCCAAAGAAGTGGAAAAGAGGCGGCCACAGAAAGCGGAAAGTAAATTTGATGGCAAGTGAAAGGGAAATAAAACAAAACAGACACAAAGTGGGAGGGGCCCAGATCGAAGTGAACCTTCGGCTGTTTGGCTCGTTGGTTCGTTGGTTCTCTTCGGTTATTCCGATTCTGAGGCTCTTGTGTTCCCCAGGCAGCAAACCCAGCTGACCCACTTAGCCACTGCGCGCCACTCACCCACAATCGTGCCACGAAAATGTTGCCGCATTCGCATGCCAAAAACGAATTTCCTACATTGCAATGCGGGCCAGGTCTGGTTCTGGCTGTTGTCTCTGTCGTCCGACTCTGACTGTGGCTGTGGGGCGGGCTGTTTGGTAGGCTGGCTGGCTGGCTGGCTGGCTGGCGAAACATATGCTAAGCCGTTGACCCAAAAAGCCACAAAACGAAATGCAAACAGAAGTGGAGAAACAGAGATACAGAGAACGCTGCCGCTGCCGCTGCTGCTGCTGCTGCTGCCAGCGTCTCAGTCAACGTTGACTGCTCAGTCGCGGTCTAGGAAACGTGACCATCGATCGCCGACTGACCACTGCCTTGGGTACAAATTTTTGGTGGATTGAATCCACCATCCATGTCTGCCCCAGCCGCTGCATGGCAGTGGTTCGTGTCTTGAGTCATTCGTTTGGGCCTTGCAAATGTTGGCGAATGTCCACTGATGCCGGGAATTTCGTGCTAATTGCATAAAAAATGCGACGACACTTTACGGGCTTAAGTTCAACAAACGCAAAACACCAACAAGACAGCAGGCAATATTTCTTAGGATACCCTTCAGACGGCATTGAGCCACAGCGACTTGTGCTGTATTTTGTGTGTACTTAAGGGGAATACTTGTGGCTCAGAAAGTTGGCCAAGTTGCAGCAGACCTTAGACTGAATAATATTCCGAATAATTGATTCAGCTTGGTTCAAGTTTTGTTCATATTTAAGCATCCCATTCCGTTTTCAAAGAGCATCGCGGGGCCCAGCGTTTTTCCTGTTTTATTTGCTTTTGATTTAGCACGAAAGTAAGGCAAGGGTACGGCCCGAAAAGGAGGCTAACAAAGTGCGTTATTTATTTGCGAGTATTTTAGGAAATGCCTTGTCCTGTCCGGTCCTCTCCTGTCCTGTCTTGTTATGTTTATTTATGGCCAAAAGCAGCAGAGTATCGAGAACTGAGGGAACTTTCTTCTGCGGTGCCAGTTTCGTGCCTGTCCCTTGGCCGCATTCGTGCAACAATTAGTCACATTGGCCTCATCTGTAATTACATAAGTTCAAAGCTCTCGTTTGGATAATGCCCGGCTCGATTACACAATGTGATCCATGCCACAGCTACTGTCGCTGTTGCTGCCACTGCCACTGCCACTGCTACTTCTACTGCTGTTCTTGTTGATGATGATGATGATGGTGGCGATTCTCGAAGAAGCTGAAATCATAAATAAATAACAATAATGCGGATGGGGGGGGGGCTACTGGCTACTGTTGCCTCATCGGGCGGTCTGTGTCTGTGTGTCTGGTTCTGGGTACGATGACGCCCTACAGTGGCCATCGTTTGCGGCTTTTATGGGGTCGGTGCTTCGTGCTTCGTGCCTTTGCTTCGTTTTCGGCCTGTTGCCACTTCATTTTCACTTGTGTTAACTGTTGTTTGCCTAACGGTGAAACGCCAGACACAAATTGGCGTACAAATTCGAAGGCGTTAATCGGCCCCGGCAAACGGAAATGGTGTGGAGCATTTGGAATTGATGGAACCAGGAAAGGCATCGTGCTGGGTCCCCCCCCCGCCCACTCATCATCATCATCATCGTCATGGCTATTATTAGTACTCATTATTATGCTGATTGTATTTATTATTATTATCTTGACAGTCCAATCGGGTCGGAATATTCGACATCTGCCCTGCATCGTACGGAAGTCCGGTCGCTCGGGAGTCTGCATGTTCGCCATCGACTGCATCAAGCAGAACGGCACGCATCTGGGCACCTGCATCGATCGCTTCTACTTTGGCTCCTGCTGTGCGATGAAGGTGAGTCAACCCCCCCTCCCTGCCATAATCCATCCATGCGCAGCTTGTAATGTAATCCTGTAATCATTCCAGGAGGAAGCTTCACTGTTCGCACCGGAGCTCAACGACAACAGCATCGATCAGAATACCATCTCCCATTTCGTCCACGAGTCCACCACGACGCTGCCCACCAGCTCCCTCTTCAAGCTGACCACCGAAAGCAGCGGCAGCAGTGGCAGCAGCAGCGGCGGCACCACCCACAAGGCATCGCTGCACACGAGCAACGAGCTGCTCAAGAATGTCACCCAATCGTATCTGAGCACCGCCAAGCCCGTGCGCACCACCACCACCACCACCAGCAGCACCACCACCACCAGCTCGACCCGCCGCCCGGCGCTGGACCACTCCACGCACAAGAACTCGCACTTTGTGGTGCGGACAACGGCGAAGCCATCGACAACGGTAAGGCCGCCGCCGCGTCGGCGCACAACCAGTGCCCGGCCAGTGCTGACCACAGCCCCCGCCGTGGTGGTGGAGCAGCGCATTGAGACGACCACGATGCCCACCAAATTTGTGACTTTCCAAATTGTGGAGACAACCACGCCGCCGGCCACAGAACCCACCCATCTGCTGGAGACGACTACGATAGCCACCAGGCGGCACACAAGGCCGACAACGAGCAGCAGCAGCAGTGGCAGCTCAACATCTTACAAAACAACAACCACCGTTGCCACCACCAGCAGCAGCAGCAGTAGCAGCACCACGACAAGGGCACCGGAAACCACAGCAAAATCCACTACTCAGCGTCCGACACCGCCTCTACGCACCACCACCACCCCCAAGCCACACAAAACACATTCAAGTAGGCGGCCAACAAAGCCAATTGGTTCGACAACAACAACCACCGCAGCAGCCGCGGCGGCCGCAGCTAGTGGCACACGAAAGCCAGCGGATAGCCTGAGCAGCAGCACCACCGCGAATGCAACCACGGCAACAACCTCACCCGGCCGCAGGCCTGTGATTCAAACCAGCAGCTCGATCACATCGACGACAACAACCACGAGCACATCGTTCAAGGACGAGCTGAACAACAATCGGGCAACGGCAACGGGCACAAAGCTGCCAGAGCGCACCACACAGGCGCCCAGGCCAAGGCCGAAACCCACTGGGGAGTTCGTAAAGGTGCCCGTCATGCTGGCAGAGCCAGTGGGCCCCACAGCAACAACAACAACCACTAGCAGCAGCAGCAGCAGCAGCACCGCCTCAAAGTTACCCACAACAACAAGCACAATGACAACCACTGGGCCAAGTAAAACAAAGCCAAGCAGCTCCACTACAACAACAACAACACCCACAGCAACAACAACAACAACAACTACGCCAAAGCCCACGCGTCGTCACACCACCAAAGCCCCAATTACAACACCAAACACCACTAAAGCAACAACAACCACCGCCAAACCAACGACAAGAAAACAACAACAGCAGCAACACCAACAGCATCCAGCAAACCAGCCACAACAGTCACAGAGAGAGTCACATTGCAGAGCTCGACGACAGCTAAAACAGAAACAACAACCACTAAGAAACCCGGCCTGATAACCTGGACAGACGTGGAGGCTGAGCCACAGACCAACGCAAGCATTTCCAATGATTGGCAGCCGGCATCGGCACCGGCACCACCCGCATCCACAGATCTGCCCACCCAGCAGCCGGAGACATTGAACAAAACAACGGCGAGCACAGGTGAGTGTGTTGTGTTTTCCTTAGGCCAAGTTTTCCTATTTTCTAATGCAGATTTTACAGCCCAATCTGCAGCACCACCCACGGCCACGGACAAAGTGGTCATCTCTGTGGCGACTAGTGTCAGTACCAGCGAGTCGAAGACCACAGAAAAGCCACACAGGACCACGAAACCACCGAAAGCCACAAGCACCGTCAGACCAACTATCAAAACCACAGAGGCACCAGAGAGCAGCAGCACCAGCAGCAGCAGCAGCAGCAGCAGCGTTGCATTGGCCTCATCCACAGCAACTTCCATTGAGCTAAGCTCGGAGATGGGATCAAGCAGCAGCAGCAGCAGCACCACCACCGCAGCAGAGACAGCAACGACAGAAGCCGCAGCAGCGGCAACCACTGATTACAGCGGCGAGGAAGTAAATCTGACGACGACCAACGAACCGACAGCTGGGAGCACAACCTTAGCGCCTGCAAATGCATTGGAGGGCGTCGATTACAAAGAAGGTGAGTCCCATTCTCAGTCCCACTCTCAGTCGCAGTCCCAGTCCAAGAGCGAGCATATGGGTCCATGGTCCATGGTCCATGGTCCATGGGCCATGGTGTCGCTGTATCTCAGTCAAGTCAGTCAGAATACAAAAACTTGTTTCCTTCGAGGAGAAATCTATTAATATACCTGACTTTGGTCATAAGACAAAGCCAAGCCGAGCCAAGCATGCGTGGCCATTAAATTCAATTTGAAGGCTAAACGTTGGCCTTGAGCCCAGAGTAAGACCACGAAGAGTTGTAGCTGGATGCTGTCTTGGCTCATAAATGCATCCAAGAAAGCTCCTAAGCTCCTGGTTCCTGGCTGCTGGCTGCTGCTAGACACATCGAATCCATACCTGTGATGTCCGATGTTGGCAGCAATTTTTACAGCAATCATTTACAATAATGATCCTCCCGCTCCGCTACCCACTACCTCGTTCTTCGGTCATTGTGCCGCTTGGGTCACGTTGCCTTCTTCCGTCTGCCGAGCCACACCAAACCAAAAACCAAACTGAAACCAAACCAATTCCTGGACCCTTGCAGCAGCGGCAGCCCCCCTGACCGATTTGCGACTGCAAAAACAATCTTGATGCACGAAACGAGTCGGCCCGAGTCGGAGACAAGTTGCGGAGACCATAAAGTAGGCCGTTGACTGCTTGCCTTGTGGCCGGCCAAAGTCAAGGACTGCAGTCCGCCTCCTTGCCTCCACGCCTTGCCTTGCCTTGCCTTGCTTTTCGTTCTTGTCCAAAGCATATTACATTGGCCGGGACTGGAGCTGGGACTGGGCCTGGGATGACTGAGTGCCTGGCAAAGTGATTAAAATGTTTAGGGTCTTTTGGGGCCCATTATTTTAATTGTGACCTGGCACAGTGCCTATTAGCAGAGATCTCCTTACTCACTCTGTGGCCTACCCCACTCCCCACTCCCCACTCACCACCACTCTTCTGCTTTTAGTGTGCGGACGTCGCATGTTCCCCGAGCCACGCATCGTTGGTGGAGCGAATGCCGCCTTCGGCCGCTGGCCCTGGCAGATATCGCTGCGCCAGTGGCGCACCTCCACCTACCTGCACAAGTGTGGAGCGGCTCTGCTCAACGAGAACTGGGCAATCACCGCCGCCCATTGTGTGGACAAGTAAGTAGATGCAATGCGATGCGATTCCGTCTCCGCCCAGCGGGAGAAATTCACGAGTGATTTGCTTTCAGTGTGCCGCCCTCCGATCTGCTGCTGCGCCTCGGCGAGTACGACCTGGCCGAGGAAGAGGAGCCCTACGGCTACCAGGAGAGACGTGTGCAGATTGTCGCCTCCCATCCGCAGTTCGATCCCCGCACCTTCGAGTACGATCTGGCCCTGCTCAGGTGAGTGCGCGCTCTCCCCCTCTCGCTCTCTGCATCTCGTGGGCTCGTAATTTATGTCGATTTCCGTTTCCTGATCAGGTTCTACGAGCCCGTGGTCTTTCAGCCCAACATCATACCCGTTTGCGTGCCCGACAACGATGAGAACTTCATTGGCCAAACGGCCTTTGTCACCGGCTGGGGACGCCTCTACGAGGACGGGCCACTGCCCAGCGTGCTGCAGGAGGTGGCCGTGCCGGTGATCAATAATACCATCTGCGAGTCCATGTACCGCACCGCGGGCTACATTGAGCACATACCGCACATATTCATCTGTGCCGGCTGGAAGAAGGGCGGCTACGACTCCTGTGAAGGTGCGTAATCCACACACACCTGCCGAATGCACTCAATAATCCTCATATTTTGTACACCTTTCAGGCGATTCCGGCGGGCCCATGGTGCTGCAGCGGGAGGCGGACAAACGTTTCCAGCTGGGCGGCGTCATCTCGTGGGGCATTGGGTGTGCTGAGGCCAATCAGCCGGGCGTCTACACGCGCATCTCCGAGTTCCGGGACTGGATCAATCAGATTCTGCAGTTCTAGTTGCATCGACCTCGCCTGCCTGTGTATTAATATGCTTAATACTTAGTGAATGCCTAGCACGTCTTCCACCCACCACCCCCCCACTCATGACTCATGACTCATGACTCATGAGTCGAGAGCGAGATCGGACTCGGCCCTGGAACCCAACTCAAACTCAAAACTCGGACTCGTGCTCCGGTTATGGCACTCGGAGATGGCCCCGAGCATAATCCGAGCAACGATTTCGGTTGCTACCATACCACCTCCTCCACCTGCCTGCCTGCCCCCACGCAGCTCCAAAATGTTACCAATACCACACTCTGCCGAGACCGACCACACACCCATTGTCATAATCATAATCATAATCTTAGCGTTGCCTAGCCTAACCCTAAACTTAGTTAGTGAATGTGATTAACCAGCACTTTAAACGAGAGAGCGACGACTAAGCATCACTGTCGCAGTCGCAGTTAGCAGTCGCAGTAGCAGTAGCAGTCGCAGTCACAGTCGCAGTCACAGTCACAGCTCTATTATTTGTATTAATCGATTTGAGCCCCCGTCCCTAATTTATTTCCATTTGCTGTAAATAATTTTCTAAATTATTGCATAACATTTACACTTAGCTTTAGGCCCCCCTACGCGTACTGCATTACTTACTAGCATATACATATACATATACATATATATATGTAGACATTCGAAAACTGTTCGATCCTTCGGTAGGGTTAGGGCATTATCACATAAGTCGCTTCTCCTCGAATCGAATCGACTCGAACGAACCATGCGGAAGAAGCTATTGTAATTTTATCTTATAAAAAACGTAATGTAATTTATTTATTTATAGCAGATCCTGCTCGACAAAATTAATTCAATTAAAATGTTTAAAACAAACCACCATTGCCTCTGTGTACCTACTTACTTAAGTCGTTATTATTAATTCGGAGGGTGAGCGCTAAGCAGGCGCAGGATGCAATGGAAGCGCCTCCAAACGAAACGCAGCAGAAAGTTTGCACAATTTCAGTCGATTACTTGGGCGCGAATTTTACAATATTTTTTAAGCAGAAAACCAATTAAGCAGAAAATTAACTGATATCTGTTTTATGCAAAATTTAATACATCTTCTTCTATATTTATAAAAATCTAGTGTCACGCTGTTTGTGGCTGAACTGCTCCTCCGACTCGACAGATTCATATACAACATTTTTTTTGTATATATTAACTAAGTCTGCAATTGGATGGTAAAGTATTTTTAAACTTTATTTCATTTGGATTCCTTTTAGTTTTATTTTCGGTTTTATGTCGCTTTATTTTTCGAATTTAATATGGAACTCTACTGGCAACTCTATTTTACTAACACTTATACACATCTTATACAGCACAGTATAAGTATACGGATACATATACATAAAATCAACGCTAGGTGTCGCCACGAAGATATGTATGTAGTTAAGCTGTAGATGTCATGTAAGGAACAAAATGTCATGCAACTAAATTTAATCAAACACTGTAATTTAAATCCAGTTAAACTGTACAACTAAAACAAAAAGTGAACTGATTTTTAGTTTTATATTATTAGGAATGTATTTCACATTATACATCTGTTCGATGACCGTATCCTCCATTTGATATTCTTTCATCCATTGCTCTAATATTTCCCAGTTCTGCTGGGAGAACTGGTCGCACAGAACACCATTGTCCTTCCTGGCTCCTGCTCTACCAGCGACGGATTATCTTTTTTTCCAATAAACTAATTATATTTCCTTCACAGAATTAATATCGAGAGCTACCTTTATCGGCGCCCATCGATCAGACCCGCAACAATCCAAAGGGAAAAGAAAACAAATCTGAAAAAAATAAATGGTTAAAAACCCTATTAAATTTTAATCTTGTTGGGCTTTGACAGCTCCTGCTCCTTTGTGTTCTCCTCTTGCTGATCCAATCGAAAATTCCACCCAACACTTTTAGCGACACATCCGCGTAGAAGCCCCTCGTTAAACACTTAGCCGCCATTGGAATTCCGAATGCATGAGGCGATTCACACATTATTTGGCAGGTGCCACAGCCACTGCCCCGGACGCCAAACACAAAACTTTCTTTGCTGGCCAACGATAGAGAGTAAATAGAAAAATGTACAACATTTTGCTTTGCATATGTAAACTCAACAGACGAAAGTGATTAGGTATGCCAAACATGTAGTGTAGTGTAGCCAACGATCAGCAAAGCAAACCAAAGCAAAAGTCAATGCAAACGAAAAATATTGTATCGCAATTTTTCTAACAAGTACATAAATTGGTCAGTTTTTCATTGCAGGCATGGAATATTTTTGTAAAGGTTCTGCACACAGTAGCTGCTTGCGTGTTGGTCAAATATTTCACTAGTTTGGATCATATATGATGTGACTGCTCTACTTTTTGAATCTCCAAACATCACCAACCGAAATCCAACTTGACAGAGATTTTATTTATAAGAATTTAAGGTGTTTCTTCGAGCGACCCTGTAGATCCAGCATGGCAATCCAATCCTCGGAATATTTTAATTATGAAATCTGTTAAAATATGTTGTATTGATTCCTGATCAGAACGCAACAAGATGAATCAGACAGTCATATGGACTGTATAGTTTCGGCTGTTAATATACCAGATACTTTATGGCTTTTGCAGATGTTTCCCTCTGCGCGTAATTCCCTTCTCTGTTCTATAGACACCCAAAAATAAATAGCTACCCATTATAATATTTGCCAGTTTGCTGATCGTGATCCCTAATATTAAACGTACGCGTATTGTATGTAGAAATGCTCGTATCTGGTATCTGGTGTTTCGTTGATCGTGCCCTGCAATTACTGACTCTTGTCGTGGAACTTTCGCTGTCGGTGGTTGGCATGGCTGATAGTTGTGGGTCATTTGCATATGACAAGCCAAGTGAACTGACCAACGGCTGTCCCTCCCCCAGTCATAGTTAATGGCTTGTGGGAGCCACAGTGCGTTGCAAGTGCATGCTGAGTGGAGGGAAGGAGGCAGGGCCGCAACTGGACATCTCTTGCGGCAGGCAGGCATATTTATTATAATTTGTAGCGGCCTCGCGTACCACGAAGGGGTCGTCATGCGTCCAGATTATCAACGGCTGCGGCACGACCACTCGGTCCTTAGTCGCTTATGGATAATAGTATATGTTGCATGAACTTTCTTTCACATGCGATTCGTGCTCGTAATGGCCTGCGAGATTGGGGATTAAGGGAATTTGTCAGGCGATGATCCTCTGCAGCGATTAGCTAACTGAATCTAATACACTTGTAAGCCATAAAGCTGCCCAACTCGAGAGAAAGTGCAATGTTGTGGCGCAGATTTAATCTGCTTTTTGGGCAGGCTTCATTTAGTTTGACAACTTAAATTAATTCGTCAACAAATTGGCAATTGATGACGCTTATGGGCACCGCTCAATGCATTGTGTTTTATTTTATGCAAGACGCCTACCCAAAATCAAAATCAAAGTGAAATTTTGACGGACTGACATAATGGACATTGGCAAAATTATGCGATTTTGTTACTGATGTGGCACAGCACATTTGGGCACCCTGTTGCGGGCCACAGCCAAATCCAGAGCATTCCCATGGAAAACGAAAGCGATGTGGTAACGGATGTCCAGTTCCCAGGCGAGTCTTGCACTTAATTTCTATAGAAACGTTGCACAATTAAAACGCTTGAAGCATCATCAAAAGCCGCGCACACACACACAGCGAATGAGGGGGCGGGTGTCAGTCAGAGATCAGCATGGGGGCATAAAAGATGACCACCAACTACCAGCCAGCCACCTACCTGTGCCGAATGCACAATGACGATTTTAAGACTTTCCCAACGTGTACCATAAGTACAATGGAAATTTCTTATTTTTCTGGCCAAAAGATTTATAGGAACAGTCGCACTCGCAGTCGCAGTCGCTGTCGCGGTCGAGGCAGCGCAGCCACTTGAGAAGCAAACAAAAAACGAAAGTCCAAGTGCGGTGCGGTGCCCCAAGATCAACGGCAACAATGATCATAAAAATCTTTCTCCAAATAAAAATCTATGGAAACAATTGAAAAGTACTTTTGGACACTGTGTTTTCCTTTTGTGTAATCAGGGGTGGGAGGGAGGTGGGTGGGGTGTGAGTGGATGCCACCGTTCTGGTAGCACAGGAAAACTTTTGGCTCCCAGAAGACACAATAACAACCACAACAACAACAACAAACACTCTCTCACCTCTTTCTCTCTCCCTCTCTCGATATCGCCCATTGGAATCGCACTACAAACAAAACAAAACAAAACTCTTCTCGGGCTGATCATTAATTTGATGGCTGGGCGAGAGACCATTTGAAACGTAACCCCTTAGGAAATTACTCCTCATCCGGTAATTATTGGTTTTGGTTTTGGTTTTGGGTCTGCTTCAACTCTTGATAGATCGATCGATAGACAAAAAGATCTATTTGGCTCTTCAATGTTTTTCGGATGTAACCAGCGTCTTCAGACTTCAGGCTACCGGTCCCCAAATTGCTCTATGCCGGCATTCCTTAATCTTTATAAAACAGTCGAATGCTTATAGTATATGGGCGTCAAAATGATGATTCAGTTGGTTGATGATCCGGCAGGGTGCATAGCTAGCCGCTGGCCCTAACTTGAACCCACAAGCCCCAGCAAGCCCAGCACTTCCATTCTCCCTTTCCATCTTTGGTTGCCCAAGTCGCAGTCCATTTACCCATCAACTCAGTACCTTTCCAAAGATTAAACAATTTACGGCCTTTGGCCTTTCGGACTTCATTGGCAAGCACCGAATCCCACCATAAACAAAAAAAAAAAAAAGGGAAGGCAAAGCTTGTGGATTGAAAAAAAAAAGAGAAGTCATATTTTAATTTCCAGGCCAACATTTATCAAAGCCAAAAAAAAATTATGAATTTTCCCCCCTGTTTCTGCGAGTCTCTCCGCAGCTTCCTCCAGCTTCTAAATGAATTTTTTAGTTTCGCTTTCTAATTAATTGCATTAGCCTCGGGGCGACGCCTACACAAAGTGTTTTCGATGCAAGACCGTTTTCCCTTTTTAATTTTCGCCAATTAAACGGACGCACCACAATCAAACTTTGATTACCAGCCAAATAAATACAACAAAAAAATGAATAAATATTAAAAAAAAAAAAGAAATAAAAGAAAATAAAAAAAAATAATAAACGATGACGGAAGTCAAGCGGTAATACCGCAATGAACAAAATTCTGTGAAAGGTGCAAAAGTTTTGTTGGAGAGCGGCCAAACAAACAATAAAGTGGTGAAAAAAAGCCCACCTAATGAAGACGAAAGTCGTTGCGCAAATGGAATTAAATTAAAATGGCATCAAAATGAAATAATTGTGCAATTAGCCTGAAGCACAGGCTGGCTGGCCATCGACCATCGACCACCAACAAAGCCATCGCCAAATGAAATGCCAAAGGGGCGAATAATTTTTTTAATGGCCACTCTACGAATGCTCTTTCACTTCGACCTGCAGTGTGGATGCAGCTGGAGAGTGTCTGAATGTGCCACAAGATGAAGGGAAATATTTCTGCACATGTTTCTTGTATTGCGCCAGAATACTTGCCAAGTTTTATGCATATAAATTTATGTAAAAGTGAAATTATATTATCTTTTTATGCAAATTACTCGACTGTACTTTTGGTGTTCATTCCGACGAAGTTAACCCTTTGTTGTATGGTTTGTGATTAAAATCCTTGCTGAAACGCAGATCAAATCCCTCTCCTTAGAACATTTAGCACATCAAGTCACAGAGGATCTAGCCAAGCCAAATGTCATAGCTAAGAGACGTCTGCTGATCCGCTGATCCGCAAAACAACAGCGTGCCAAAAAGTTTCGCCCATTTCTCTAATCGCGGACTTGTCTGCGACTTTATTGAATAACATTTGCGTAATTAAAAGTGTGCGAAAAGAAACCCAAATTAAATCATAGGTGTTCCAGAGGGGGCTTGCCTGCGAGCGGTGACTGGAGGAGACAACGACGTCCGAACCTTCTGTGGCGGCCATTGACACGCGTTAATTGAAAGCGCAAGTTGTCCGCGGCGTATGCGTGATTTTGTTAGACTGCTTTTGGTGGGGGGAAACAACACACACAGTGGCATGGAGGAAGGGGAGGCTACTCCTGCTGACTGTTAACGTGTCATACATTTTGCCCCAAAACACACAGAAATTGCCAGTGTGTGAGTGTCATTTGTACTTGCTGCTGTTCGCCGCTACTCACTTTCATTTGTTATGCTGAAATTTCTTTTCGTTGCTGTCTTGTCTTGTCGTTTGTTAGTGGGCAAACAGGGCCGGCGACTTGCTAAAAGTGAAATTATTGCCTTTTCAATTAGTCACAGATCCCGAAATACCAAACGATCAGTGTGCAACATCCGCCGCTCTTAGGCCCAACAAAATAAAAGGAAAGTACCTTCAATCCAGCCCCAAACGATGATTGGGCCCTGTCAAGGGGTCATGTGCTCAATTTTGCGGCACAATAAATCATCAATTCGGGTCGACGCCTCATTTTGATTAATTAGGTCTTAATCCAGCAACGATGCCCAACGATCACAGACAGACCGGAGACTAAGGCTGAAGCCTGAAGACCGAAGACCGAAGACCGAAGACTCATTGACCATTGAGCACCTCACAACAGGCCGCCTTTATAGACTTGATGGCTTTCGCTTTCAATCGCCGCCGCTGAAAACAAATTAATGGCAGTTAATAAGCTGTGGGCCAACAGCAAATTGGCAATACGGTAGGCGTGTTGACAGACGTTTTGGGTTTGGCCCTTAGGCCACCCCCCAAGTTGGTGCCTTCACTTTTCAGTGGTGCCCCCCGATCGTTTCTTGGGAATTCGATTTCTCACACTTGTCGATCGATGGCCGATCAATGATGTTTTCATCGATTGGTTCAGCGCACGCCCCCCTGCTGATGGATATTTTAATGGCTAATCATCGGAAGATATGCAAAACTGAAATCTAGTGCCAAAGCAATTCGAGGGAGAAGTTTTTATTGATTGGATTTTTCTTTCGCATGGTTAGAGACACTCTGAATTTTCGGGGTTAGTTATATAACCCCCCTCCCAAAGCTAACCAGCAGATTGTTGGCGGCGGCATCTTAAACAAATATTGGCGGAGAATGAATGTTAGTGAATATATCATCAGTTTGTGCGAATCGTTTGCACAGCTCTTGCCGTTTGCTCAAAGTTCGACCCGGGTCTTTGTTATTCTTTGTTTTGGCACCTTCTTTTGCGAGTTTTATTGTCTGAAAATGGAGCTAGGACTGCGACGGCAACTGCGACGGCGACTGCGAATGGGACTGAGTCTTGTCTGCCCCGAGTGGAGTGGAGTGAAAGTGTTGGACGATGGTCGTCATCGCTTTGGAGCGTCTGGTCTTTGTCTTAGATATCATACCGTTGATTATGCTAAAATCATTTAAAATCGTTCATAATATACGGCATTCGTGTGTCCGTGAGTTCCAGAGAGTGTCGTAATATGCATTTGAATTAATCATGGCCCACAAGACATTCTCTTCTCCCCATGAGAAAGCCATCGCATTCAACCCCCCCAACTGGTTCTGGCCACGCCACCCACGCCCACGTGCCCGGCATGCCCGATCGTAGCACTCGTTGGAAACGTTTTCCATTTCAATGGGCTTGACCACAAGAAAATAAACAAAAAACTGAACATAAAAAAAACCAAAAAAAAAAGTACAGAAAAGTGTACAGAAAAAACACTAAAAACAAAAACGACGACGAAAAAAAACTGCCAAGAGCGACAACAATAACGAAAGTGAAATTCTACAGACAGAAAAAAAAAATAAAAAAGATCGTGATGGTGGAGCCGTGTCCACGCTTGGCCAGCCAAGTGCCAGCCTTTTGCCCGACCATTATAGTGCCCCGGCCTAGCCATGGCATAGCCAGGCCCAGCCACGAGCAGCGATGGATTTTCCAGCTGTGTTGCATGCAGCACAAGTACATGTGTTGACAAAGGCCGAGACGAGTGAAATTTGGGTCAAGGAAATGCCAAACGACAGGTTGGACCTCCTGGCAGGTTGGCACATGGTCAGATCACCGTTATTAGCAGTTAACTCGTTGCCGGTTATTTCGCAAAGCGCTAATTGGCAGGCTCGGCTCTAGCACAGGCTCGCGTCGGGGGCCGATAACCCTGCTCTGCTGCCAGTGTCGCCGTATCACATATCATCTCATCGGTCAGGCGAAAGCTTCTTCCAGAGGTGCGATAACAGCGAGCGACACTGTTAGCGCTCTGTTAGCGGAGCGCTCTTAACCGCAAGGCCGCGCTGTAAACCGTTTCAGTTGAGTTCGAAACGCGCACGCGTGCAGACGAGAGAGAGAGACCTGCCTGCCTGCCTGCCTGACTGCCTGAGCAAAGAAAGAAAGAAAGCAAGCGAAGAAAACAGGAATCGGTAGCAACAGCAGCAGACGCCGAATTAGAAATGTTTACCATTTAAGCGTCGCTTAATAGAAATACTCTCACGTACGCGTCGTCGCTCTCTCGGTCTCTCGCGATATTTCGCTCGCTCTTTCTCTTCCTGCTCTGCTCTGCGGCTGAGTTAAAGTGAAAGTTTTCCACACAAAAGTGGCGAAGGTCCGTTATCTTGGCCGCTGCACGGCGACGGCCGCACAAACTCCCAATCAGACACACGCGGAGCGTTCAGTTGACCGGACGCACACGGCTGGCCATGGTCGAGAAACGACTGTGAAAGATATTCCGATTTCCCCCCCTTCGCAAAGAAGAGACTATAGAGACCATAGAGTCGTGTTGTGTGTGCTATTGCTTTGAGTTTTCTTTCGTTTGGCCCGAGCAACTGTAAATTCGCCCCGAGTCCGAGTAGAATCCAACAGAAAGCTTTATTCAAGCAAAGAGTGCGGTCAAATTAAAATATTATAAAATTCTCGATTCGCGATTCGGTTCGGAAAACGTCGAAGTTCGTTGCCTAAGTTATTTGTTTAGCTTAGCGGTTCATTGAGGGCGCGCTGTTACGACACGACACCCCCTTGTGTGTCAGTGTGTGTGCGTGTGTGTGTTCTTTTCGCACTCCCATTTCGAAATAATATACTATACTATAATAAGCCAGATACGTTCTAGGCCAGAACTCACCGACAGTGTCCAGCGAGCCACCCAGCAAACATGTTTAAGTGGGTTACGCCGGCCACAGCGGCGACATTGTCCCGCACAACAACAGCAACAGCAACGTTGACGGCGACGGCGACAACCAGAACAGCGTCAGCCACAACCACAACCACAAGAACAACAAAACCACAACTACTTTCCATCGCTTTAACAAGTTTAATAATAATAGTCGCATCATTTGTGCCGACAACAAGTGGATTTAGATCAATTGAAACGAATGGCGGTAAGTGACAGACAATTTACTTTATTGAATGGCATCGAAAGAAAGAAAGAAAGAAAGTTTAGCACACAATAAAAATGTAGAATTATGGCAAAAGAAAATCAATTTGCCAAATTGCAAGCTCATGTTGCCTCGCTGTGTGGCTGTGGCTGTGGCTGCCACTGTGGCTGCCGCTGACAAATCGAATCGTGTCAGTGGCTTCCACATCCATCCATTGAGTGAAAGCCTGGCCTCGGCATGGCCCCGGCCTGGTCGAGTTGACAATGCACAGCACAACATAAACTATGCCTTTGTGCCAATAAATGAATCAGAAAAACTTTGGCACAGAAAACTCTATTGCTCTTTCGAATGGCTTTCCACACTCCACGCACTTGGTTCCACAATTATTTGGTTCGTTTTATGCTACATTACGGTCACAAAGCAGCCCCAACCTAGGCACAAAAGACCTACAGATGAGCCCCACACCACACACCAGCTCATATAGATAGATAGACAAACAGACAGACCGACTTTCCTTATGACAGTTTTTAGTGTGTGTTTGCTTTTGAGCGCGCTGCTCTTCAGCTGCTCTTCAGCTGCTCTTCGTGTTAATTGCTCAAGTCATTTTGTCGATTTAAAAAGTGAAACAAATTTCTAGAGTGTCAGGCCATTAGCTTAAATCGAAGGCACTGGCACAGACCCAACCCAATCAGATGCGGATTGAGCTCAAGTAAAAAAAACACTCTAAAGACTTGGCAAACAAAAATCTTATTGTCATAATAAGGAAGGAAGCACTGATCTTCGCCCCAAACAGAAACAAATAAAATCTGTGAGCATTCTGCTGCTCTTACAAGTTAAATTGGACACCACATCATTACCATTTCTTGGGCATCGTAAAAGAGAATCAAAGAAAATCTTTATGAGGTGAAATCAAAACAATATACAATCATTATCATTGGATGGAACAAACACTTTGGCATAGATGAAAGGCACCGAAGTAATACTTGTGGAAATGGTTATGGTAAAATAGCTAAACAAATACTCGTATTTAGTAGACTGAAATCAGTTGAGTTCATCCGCTAATTCCACACAGACTTTAATATTATTTAAATACCGATTATAATTGCAAGCAATTCTCGATTATTTTTACCTGACTTCACTCGTAGTTCGATCCTTTCTATGGGCATGGGAACTACTGTATAGAATGATCCAAACATTATACAATCTATGGCTGTAGTTTATTTTCTCTATGCTGGAGGGTTCTACAGAAAAAGTCAAGAAAAGAAAATCAATGCTTCCGTTTGCCACATCCAAGAACTCTGCTGCGTCAGTTTGGTGAGGAAGTGAGGCGAATGGCAATCAACAGAGGTACTCACACACACAGATGCACAGACAGACAGACATCGAGTAGATCGCCCGGTGTAAAACAATAGAAAAACAATTTTCAATTTCTATTTGAAGCAAAGTCTCTGAAAAAAAGCAGTTGGATCGATAAAAGAAAACGCGTGCGAAATGAAAATGTCTTGGCCAGCAGCCAGCAGCCTCAGCAACAGTCACAGATTCTGATTGAAGCGTGTGCCAGTTTGTGGCTGTTGCTGTGGTTTCTGACGCACTTGTCGGCCTGCAGTTGCCTGCAGTTGCCTGCAGTTGACTTTGCGGTAGTTTGAGACTTGGCCTGGCCCGGACCGGACCGGATCGGCATTGGTCGAACTGGCCTGGGGGCAGGAAGCTGTTGTGAATGGAAGAGTTGATGTGTCTTGCAGTGGCAGTTGCTCTCTGGCTGCGGGCAGCATTCAGTCTGCCAGTGATCTGTGCGATGTGCGATGGACAGTGTTCGGCTAGCCAGTCAGAGTCAGATAATTTCAGGAGCACGTTTTTACCGCTGTCCAATGCATCAACTTGGCCAATTTCTGCTCCACATATATGGCACGATGGCTCTGGTCCAGCATATCGAAACCAACACCCACAGGAATTCTGAGTTTATGCAAATTACGGATTCCATAATTTCACATCTCTCTCTCTCTCTCTCTCTCTCTTGCTTACTTGCAATTAATGTGAAAGCGACATTTGGACTTTCTTCCGTGCTTTCGAGAGGGCTGCCGCTGCCGCTGTCGCTGTACCTGTGCCCCCCTTCCCCCAGCCGTTGTGGAAATGATTTTCCCACAGCCATTTTACACATCATAAAACTTAAGACAATCGCATTAAAACTGTGACAGATCACAGATCACGAGCATCGAGTGGCAAGAGAGCACTTCACCTTACATATAGATTGCACTTCCTACCCCCTCCAGTCGCAGTCCCAGTCACAGTCCCAGTCACCAATGAAACTATTAGTGCATGTGAACAAAACACAAACAGAAGTGGAAAACAGAGACAGACAGAGACTCACACGGACACACACACATTTGTTGTCTTCTGGTTTATCTTTTAAGCTCATCAGCATTGTTTCAAGTGCCTACTACTCGTATTCGTATTCGTATTATTGCGGAGGGGAGCCCATCCATGCCCAATGCCCAATGCTGATGATGCTGTGCCACCGTTTGGTCGCCTTACTACCATCGACACAGAGCAGTTACAAATTATCGGGCCTGTCAGCAGAGACACACACAGCAAATAGAGAGAGACAAACGGACAGGCAGACAGACCAACTTCGAGTGGTATGTTATGGATGCGTTGTCTAACAGGAAATACAGAGACGAGAGACGGCAGACATCAAATTTGTTTTGACATGTTTGGCGGTGAAAGTGAAATTCTCTACGAGCTTGCTTCGCCTCTGCCTCTCCTCGCTGCCCGACTGCCACTTGCCACTGTGTGGTGCTTCCGCCGCATGAAAGCACAAATTCTTTGGGTTTTTTATTTGGGGCTTTTCCATTCGCATGGAAATCAAGAAAATGCATTAAATTCTCTATACTGTACATCTAGAAAATCGTTCATGTCATTGCGATGCTGCAGGGATTTTCCCAGGCCTGTCTGTGCTGTTCTCATGGCTTTGGGTATCGATTGGAAATGCTTTTGCCAAAATCAAAAAAAAAAAAAATCAAAATGATGTCACTTATTGTGAGCAACCGCAACTTTCACTGCTCATTCACACCGTTTTTGTATTTCCCGCTCATCGCAATAAAAAATATGATGAAATTCAGCAAATTGGTTGCCAAAACGTTTCCATTTTATGGCCACCTAATTTGATTTATCATCTAAGATTTCACGAGTATATATATTGTGATGAATTTTCACCAAATTGAATTTTATTTACCTTCCCGCCCCACCCCTTTGTTGCATTGCATTGTTGTCTGCCTGCCAACGGAAATCCGAGCCAAGAGCCCAGAGCCCAAAGCCCAGAGCATGACCTGGCAAAAAGTGACCACGGAAGAATAATAATGGTAATGAAAACAAAACGAAATTCGTTTTGTGCATAACAGCAGACAGCAGGCAGCAGAGACTACTACTACCAACAAATGAAACTGTCTCGGAGCGACATCCAAACATTGTACAAGTTTCCCAAGTATCCCAAAGCACGGCTCTGTTCTTTCCTAATGCCAGAAGACTAATGCCTGAGACAACCTGTTGGTGTTGGCTGACACCGTGTGATTATCGTTCCTATTACCGCTGACAGTCGGAACAGTCATGGAGATGCTCACGTGAGAAATGGAAGTTCATATTTGCACAACTCAACTGAAAATATTCATACTCGATCATCGCGCTACTCTTAGCCTTTTATGGTGCACGTCCTCTGCTTTTGCTTAACCACATTTGACCACTTGGTTTAACAAACAAAATGTTTAACTTGTTAGTTGAGCGCCAAACCGCAGTCGAACACAAAATCCAACAAAGTGGAAGCTATAATTAAATGCTGATTATGCAAAGAGTTTAAAATTCTACAAATCGAAACACTGAATAAATGAAATAATTAAATAATGATGGCCTTGAATGCAAATTTCAACTTCTCTCCCTTGTATTTCCTTTCAAGAGAAAAGGTTGCTCTACAATGAGTTATTTTTTGATCGATTGTTTAGTCAATATATACTGAAATCTTCTAAGAATATATCACTAAATGCCAATGATTTTATAAGTGCTTTATCTGCATCAGCCTTTGAGATTTGGCATTGAAAAAGCCAGCTAAAAGAGTGTGCAAAAATCATAAATTAACACGTGCTCTAATTATTATTTTCACACTATTTAATATGGTTTCTGCAAGCGATATCTTATCACTTGCTCATCCCTGATTTTCGTTGGCTTGTGTTGAGTTCTGGTTTGGCCACGAGCGGCCGGAAAATTATAGTTGCTATTAGAAATGGATGCGTAAAATGCATTCCCCCTTCTGCATTCAGCTAAATATGTACTACACATAAGAGTATAATGTACGTATTGTGTATGTATGCAGGTGAGTATGTACTGTACGGGCAGGCTGCTTGGCAGCCGCTGGGGGCATTTACTTGCACCATTCACTGTTAACTTACCGGTCTTTTCGGTCGCACCAGTCGCTGTCGCTGTCGTCGTCGTTGCCTTGCCGCATTTTATTTGGGTCACTGTTACAATTTACACCGCTTGTCGGGTACGGGACGGGACGAGAGGCCAGGTGTAGATGCGATGACCAGTTGGAAGAGGCTGTGCCCGAGATGCTGTGCTGTGCCAAATTCAAGAGCGACACCCAATGCCGCCGACCCACAAGTCGGAGCAGAGGCAGAGGCAGAAACTATAGACGGTCATCTGGGTATGGGTATGTGTAGTGTAGGTGTAGCGTGTAGTGTGTGTATCGAGCAGTTTGCGACTTTCAAATCAAATTTTATGTAATTGTAATTCAAGGTGGGCCATCGCAATCATCCCCAGTTCCTCGGCGCTCCAAGCTCGCGTGCAAATCGCTTATAGCTGGAGTTGGAGTTGGAGTTGGTTATATAGTGCATGCCACAGTCCAATTCGCAGTGAGACTAGCAGACTAGTAGAGCATGGAGCGGGTTATGTTTATGCTGATGATATGCCGTGTGCTGCTGCTGCTGGTGCAGCTACTGAATTGATGCTGCTGTTGTTGTTGTTCAACAATTCAATTACAATGTGATTAATAGAAATGTTTTGTTGCGGATCAGCTGTCATGTGGAGTGGAGTGCCAGGCGCTTTATCGGATACATCAAAACAGCAAAAACTTAGCCAAACATTCCGCCCGCAATATCCCCCTTAAAGGTCAAGCAAAGAGCCCAAAACTTTCCATTTCTCACACGCAAAATGGGAAAACTTCTTGCGTGATGACACCGCAGATTGACCATGAGAAAGATCCACACTAACGCACATACAGTATCCGCACGTAAAAGCCATTAAAATTAATAAAAGAAAAAAAAATGAGCATAATAAAATACAGCAAAAATGAACAAAAAACAATACAAATCTCTGTTATGTGGTCCGAGAAACTGCACTCTCGCCATAGCCATAGCCATAGCTATAGCTATAGCTGGTGTGGCTTTGGGGTCTGAGACTCCTCTCTGCCTCTACCTCCACCGATCCGACGATAATTAGTAGCCCAAATCAAGCGATTCATGAAAAGTAAACAGTTTTTCCTTGGCTTTTGTCTAAGAAAAGTGAAATTAGCCTGCGCTGAATGCCGAGAGATGTTTTATGTTAATTCCATGAAAAGTGACATTTGGTTATGTTTTTCTCCCTCTGTCCAGCCATTCGTTGGCCATTAAGGTGGCATATTTCTATAGTCAATAAGTCGTTAGAGGAGGTATTTTTTTTGTTCCCCCCATCACACAGTAAGTTTCTCTGTTGAATTATTGGATGGGAAATGACTTATACTTATAGGCGTACTATGAAGGAATGTTAGTGCCAAACACATTGATTTCCCCTCCCCTACTTAACGAACTATTCGATTTCACTTGACCCAGTTCTGTGCCACGATCCTGAATCGGTTAATAATTCGTGTAAACTTAGCCCCGAGAATATTTAACACTTTCACAACGCAATTAGAGCAAGATTAAAATATACGTTAAATGCAAAACTACCCAAGATCCCAGATCTCAGTCGATGTCGATACACAACAACAAAAACAACAACAACACGTGGTGTTGCATGTTTACTCTGTGTACGAAAGTTTTTTTTCTGTTCTGTTTTTTTTTCTTTACTTCTTTTTTATGTAGTTTTTTTTTGCAGTCTTTTGGGCTAATTGATCGATAATAATTTTCCATTTTACCGTTGAAGCGCCTCGTTCGTTTACATTCTTGGAGTGCTTCGGCATTTCGAATGCTTCGGCAACAAAACAAGTTCTACGAAATCTCAGAGCAGAGCAGAGCAGATCGGATACGATCTGATCCGAGCGGAGCTCTCTTTTCTTCTTTGGTTTATGCTTCAGTCTTCAGTCTTCTCTTCTCTTCCCTACCCCTCTCTTGCCTTGTCATTTGTGTGCAGCAAAACATATTCATGATTTAATTAATTTCCATTTGGCCGTGTGCATAAATTTCAGTGGTGCACCCCAAAACAGTGAACGGACGACGGACGACGAACTGTTCCGTTGGTCCATGGCCCCAGGGCACCCGGTGACACACTGAGCCAAGTGCCTCTTCCTCACCTGATGCATGCAACCAAAAATTTTCGGCTATTGAGCCAATTTCCTTGCATGATTAATGACATTGCCACCAAGCTGGGTCTCTGGTATTCTCTTCTCTTTTCGTGTTTCCCGGCGCTGACGCTGGCGATGGGAAGACAAACTTGTTATCTCATTTTGCAGCTGCTTCCTTCATTCGCTTTTAAGCATCGAAAAAATGTTTTAAAGCGACGCAAAATTATTCAGGCGTTTGACACACTTTCGTTCCCCCGGCCAACAGCAGTCTGTGTGTGTCTGTGTGTGTGTGTGCCGGCTTTTTTTGTATCTGGCTCTCAGGTGTATCAGCCGGGGGGCATCGATGCTGTAACCTATTTTGCATGCATCACCCGCGATTATTACGTTTGACTCGCATGCATCTTGATCCATCAATTAGGGTCAGAGGCACTCCACCAGGGAGATCTATCCCTCAGCCTACAAAGGCGTTAAGTAGCGTCTGAGTCCAGCATAGCACGTACATTCTTGGGCCACAGGGTAACAAGTGCGCGGGGCCCCGCCCTCATGTGTGTTTCGGGAGTCGTGACTGGGTAGCCATTAACATTCTTTGCATATATTTGAGTTGAACTGTTTGTTGAACATGCCTCCCCATAACTGATAATGTTCTTTCTTATTTAAAGTATCTATCCATCTATACACTTAGAGAAATATGGCATTGTAAAAAGAAATACACCCATTATTAAATTTAAAAATTCGGGTTTTAATGCGGCTCATATTTAATTTCAATATAAAACACTTTAAACTTGTAGAAAATATATTTAAATTAAATATTTTCATATTAATGTACAAAAATTTAAAAGAAAAAACTTTCTTTTTAAAATTTTCACTCTCCTCTAAAATCTATTTCTATTAAAGTTTCATCCTCAGGGCCCATTTCTCTGCGTGTACATTTTCAATTTGTTTCAGTTACGAGCATATCAAATAAATTATGCTAAACTGCATAATTATCGCTGTTTTATCGTGGCTGTGTTCACATCCATTCATCCTTCATTAAATCAGATATATAATTAAGTCAGCTCTGCGGCTCTGCTAGCTCCAACGGTTTCGTGGCTCTCTCTCTCTCTCTTTATGTTAACTCTGCCTCTGTATAGTTACAGATCACTGTTAATAGGCGTTGAAGAGCTTTTGTCTGTTCCCGCCCGTGGCTGTTTCCCACGTCTCTTCGCTTCTCTTCTCTTCTGCCTAGCCCTGTGCCTGTGCCTCTCGTGTTTAATACTTAAGAGCACTTGAGTGTCTAATCATAAAAAATGCGAAATGGTCTGCAAATAATAAAGCTGCAAGAAAGATGATTATTATTTTATTAGTAGACGCCGCCGCGCTCGCGCCAGGAGAAGAAAAACGAAATCGTTTTCAGAGATGAATGAACAGAATTAAAGTAAAAAGGAAACGAAAAAGAAAAAGCCCAAAAAAGAAACGGAATAGACACAGAAACAGAAACACTATCACTTTTTTTTCCCAATTATGTATGTATGTACATATTTTGACTGTTATTCTAATGGAGGTTTTTTGCACTACTTTTTGCCCAAAATACACTTGTCTTTACTTTCACTCGGATTCGACGATGGCGCTGCTGCTGCTGCTGTACGTGCCCCGCATTCTCGTATTCGCCATGATTCATGGCCTGGCCCGAAGACCCTATACGAGTAGTACGGCTGCTGCTTCCTGTGATTTCGATTTCGTTACTTGCTGATTTTCATTTAATTAGCACAGAACTAATTGCTGCCATAGCCCCAGAACCTATACATATATGTACATATGTATATACCGCTACTTGTGTGCGTTTGCATTGAGGACTTTGCTCCAGTTTAACGACCAAACATTGACACAGTCCGCGGCGCAGATTGGGGCCACCAACAGCCGCAAGTGGAGCGCGCGTCTGCGAGGTGTTAATTTGTCAGCATAAAACCCGTCACAAGTGGACGACTGCTCGGCTGCTAGGCGGCTCGGCTGCTTTTCCACTTTTGGTTTAATTGCTGTCAAAATCAATTTCGGCCCAAATGTCAAGAGCCTGGGCAGTAGAGCAACTACTGAAAATACCCTCTCCATTGTGCTGGCGTTTAGCTGGGAGATACTCAATCGCTTGCATTCTGTGTGGGAAAGGGTATTCAAAGCTTCGAACAGCCACAGCAAGCCCTTTGCTCTTCTGCACACTCCTCATTTTGCAAATGAGCTGGAAATAAAACTCTCAAGTGCATTGCACCTGGGCCAGGGCCTGAACTTTGACTGGCAAGTGGATGATGGCGTTGGCTGGCACGGCACGGCAAGGCACTCCAACTCCACCTCCACCTCCACTCGCGGTTTGGTTACCAGTTGGCACTCGTAACTTGGTACCTGCACTGGCGGCCACTTTCACTTGGCTTTGCACCGTTCCGTGTGGTTACTAGTTACTGGTTTGGGGTTTCGGGTTGCCTTTGGCAGCCCACAGAACAGGGAAATTGCTGTCGCTGTTAATTGAGTTTATTATTAGTTTTTTTCTGCCCGAGGCAGCTGTTCGTCATAATTGGCACTGAAAGAAGCAGTTATGCTATAAACCAATAGAAAATATTTAAGATTGTCACTTTCATTGAGGAAATTCCACATGCGCATCATTTTCACTATGGCCGGCAGTTATAATCCAATCAAGTACAGTTGAGTGGCCAGCAAGAGAGAGAGAGAGAGAGATGGAGAGAGAGAAAGAGAGACTTGAACTGAGCTGAGCTGAGTGACATCTTAATTAAGCTTTGGCCACGGGCCACGGCTTGAAAATTATTGGCAACACAAAATCTGGATGAAAATTTGCTAAACTTTCGAATATTTGTATTTATTTATATTCGTTCAAAGCAAATGCATTTCTCTTTATATTTGGATTCCCTTGCTTATCCTTGTCACCTTTTTGCCTCTTTGCAGCTGGACGCAAGCTGTTTGGTGGCTACCGCATCACCCCCAAGCACTGCCGTGCCACAAAGACGCTGCCCAGCTCCGATCCTCGAGCGAATGGCCCCACCATCTGCATGTTCAATCACGAGTGCGCGCAGCGCGGCGGCGAGGTGGTGGGTGCCTGCATGGATGGCTTCCTGTTTGGGGCCTGCTGCCAGATACCGCCCACACACGAGCTGGCCAGCACGCTGATCAATGAGGCACAAAACGCCTACTTCCAGCAGCACCAACACCAGCAGCAGCAGCAGCACCAGCACCAGAAGTTGCAGCAGGCGGCAGAATCCTCCTATGAGCAGCACCAGCAGACGCTGAACAGCGCCGAGCAGACGGCGTCGCAGCCATCTCAGCATATCTACGATGAGCAGAACCTAAACAAGGTCTATCAGCAGTTGGGCAGCAGCAGCAGCACCACCAGCACCACCAGTACCAGCACCAGCCCGAGCAGCCTCCCCAGCAACAACTACAGCGTGGAGCAGGAGCCAGAGTCCGTGCCAGAGCCAGAGCATCCCAAGAACGAGCTTGTCTATGGCAGCAGCACGTCCACAGAGGTATCCACACAGTCGCAGTCATCGTCCTCCAGCATAGAGTTCGAGCAGGAGCCACCTGTTCAGCAGTCGATAGCCAACGAGGAGGTGATCATCTCCAACGATCTCAATGTCCAGAAGGTGCAGCAGCAGCAGCAGCAACAGCAGCAGCCACCCGTTCTGCCGCCCACTGTCCATGTGCACAAGCACTCGGTGACCATTAACTCGCCCTCGTCGCCGCCCCAAAACGATGACTTTGTGATGCAGGTACTCAGCACGTTGCCCCCAGAGCATGCCGACGATCACCGCATCTTCTTCACGACGGAGGTGCCCATGAAGATTGTCAGCGGCCTGCAGGAGCAGACCAGCTCCGAGTCCAACTCATTTGAGGAGACACCAGCAACGCCGCCAGCCACAAGGAAACCCACAGAGAAGCCAAAGCAGAAGCCCAAGCCGAAACCTGTGCCTCAGTTGGCGGAGACCATGAAGCGACCCATTCAGCAGCAACAGGCCCAGCAGCAACAGGCACAGCAGCAGCAACTGCAACAGCAGCAGCAACAGGCCCAGCAGCAGCTGCAACAGCAGCAGCAAGAGGCCCAGCAGCAACTGCAACAGCAGCAGGCCCAGCAGCAACAGCAACAGGCACAGCAGCAACTGCAACAGCAGCAGCAACTGCAACAGCAACAGGCCCAGCAGCACCAGCAACTGCAACACCAGCAACAGACAGCGAATCCTCAATCGAAGCCAAAGCCGAAACCTGCGAATGTGCATCACCACAATCATTTGATCCTGGACGGCGGAGAGTTCACACACAGCGACATCACCCATCCGGGAGCCGATGCCGATCTCGTCGAGGATCTGCAGTTCTCCACCGGCTACGGACCACAGCCTGTATACGCAGACCCGCCACAGCAGGTGCAGCAACAGCAACAGCAGCAGCAGCAGCCGGCAGAGCAGAGTTACATCTCCAAGCGGCCAGCAGCAGCGGGTCAGGGTCAGGGCCAGGGCCAGGGCACCACCGTTTCCTCGATCACCACACACGTGGACTCCATCGAGTCGATCATCCTGCAGCTGAACAACACCAGCCATGGACCCAGCTACAATGTGGTCAGCCAGCAGACGCCCTCGTACGGCTATGCCGAGCAGACTGCGGCTGCGGCTGCCCAAAGCGAAGCTTCAGCCGAGGCAATCACTGCCCAGCCGCCGCCCCCTCAGTACTATCAGGAGAGCGATGCGGAGAAGGGCCAGGACTACGGCTACACGAGCACAGCCAACTACGATGCCACCTACGACAAGGTGTCCGACGAGCAGGATGCCTCCGCCGCTGCCAGCCAGTCTGCCGAGTCGCCCACAGCGCGTCCCGTCTCCGGAGAGGACACCTCCGCGGTGTTTGAGGACCACACCATGCCCGCCAATGGCTACCACGATGCAATGGCCGATGCTGCGCCCCACACCTCGGAGTTCAACAAGATGCCCGTGCCGGTCGTGGGCATTGCCTATCCCTTGGACATGTCCTACTTGGAGGAGGAGGAGAACGATGCGGCGGCAGGCTACGGCCAGCTGAGCAGCGGCTCCTACGAGGCCAACACCGAGTCCAACTACCAGAAGCTCTCCACTGTCGAGACGGAGCAGCCACAGCAGCAGCAGCAGCCGCAGCAGCAGCCGCTGCCCGTTCCCACCTACGTGCGCCCCACGACAAACGCCAACAAGCCGAACCGTCCCGTTGCCTCGTACATCGGCATGGTGACCATGCAGCACTACAACCAGCAGCAGCAGCCATCGATCGGTGACCAATACCAATCCCAATCCCAGTCGCAGTCCCAATCCCAATCCCAGCTGCCCGCCGAGGTGTCTGTGTCCTCGCACACCACCAAGGTGCAGGAGCAGTACGACGAGAGCTCGCAGACGACCACTCCTGGAGCACAGCAGCGACCTCAGTACGATAGTGTGCTGGAGGATGCATCCTCGGAGCGACCCGTGCTGATCACGGCCAGTCCCAGACCCCGCCCCAAGCCAAGCACAAAGCGGCCCATCGTGAAGCGACCCATCAGCCAGGAGAACACCAAAAAGAAGCCTCATCCCCAGGCTAGCAGCAGCAGCAGCAGCTACGATGCCGGTGAGTCGCCCATCACGCACATTCAGATCAAGAAGCCCTCGCCCAGCTACAACCAGGAGCAGGAGACGGAACAGTCCGGCCAGTCCAGGCCAGCAGTGGGAGGCAGCACCGCCGCGGCGGCAGTGACCAGCTACGATCAGCAGCCAACGCGTCCGGCCAACAACTATGATCAGCCAGATCCACCCTCGGCTCCAGCCTCCAGCTCCAGCTACGATCAGCCCGAGGCACCCACCTCCAGCTACGGCCAAGGCCGACCAGAGGCTCCACTCGCACAATTTGATCAGCCGGCACCGCAGCCACAGCCGCAGCCGCAGCCATCCCTGAACTACAATGAGCAGTCGGTGGCCAGCTCGCCGGGTCGCCAGCCATCCACATCGAGGCCCAGTGCCACCAGCTATGTGACCGGACCCAGCACACCCCGTCCGCCGGCCACCGTCGACTACCATTACGACAATGTGCCGCCGCTGTTCATGGCCGACGACAAGCTGGACGCCTTCATCCAGAGCACGGCGGAGAACATTGTGGGCTCCACGCCGGGCAACTATCAGCCCCCACTGGTGGCCACTGCATCGACGCCTGCCTACGCACAGCGACCCACCAGCAGCGGCAGTGGCGGCCCCCACGGAGGCCACAAGAAGCCCACCTTCGTGCAGATCAATGGCACACCGAGACCGCCACGGCCAACGGTGCTGATCACGCCCAAGCCGACGGCCATCAACAGTTTGCCATCCACCACGGGATCGTTTGTGTACAATCAGCTGGTGACGCGACGACCAGGCGGTGCACCGGTCAGCTCCAACGACTTTGAGGATCCCGGCTACTTTGGAGGCAGTCCCGCGCACGTGTCCTTCACGCAGTCCACCACGGACTCGGCCTATCCGGCGCCGTCCGACGATAAGCCCGCCTTTCCCGGTTACTTTGGGCCAACGCCCTCGTATCCGGCCTTCTCGGTGCCCGGCGAGAAGGTGGGCCAGAATGTGATGGAGGAGACGTACACGTCGCCGAATGACTTTGTCAACTTCCCGCCGGTGCGCAATCCGAATCTGAACATGTCCGCCGCCTCCAGTGCGGTGACCAGCGACGTGGATCTCTCCACGCCCGCCTTCGTCGAGGATGTGGTGCTGAAGGACAAGATGCACACGCTGGTCCACAAGCTGGTGGCCTCGCTGCAGGGCAACTTTGAGGCTCTGGCCGACATGATCGATGAGCCGACGGGCAACAATTCGGCAGCCACCTATCAGGCGGGAGCTGGAGCTGGAGCTGGCGGAGCAACCACTGCCACGCGCAAGCCCACGCGTAAGCCCGTGCGAGTGGCCTCCACGGCGAAGCCGAAGGCCACCACCAAGAAGCCCGTGACACGCGTCTCCACCAAGGCGCCCAACAAGAAGGCCTCGGCCAGCAGCACCACCCGCAGGCCCGGCACACGGCGCACCACTCTGGCACCCAAGACCACCGTTAGCACCAGAAAGCCGACCGCAGCCACCAAGAAGCCCACACGACGCGTCAGCAGCACCGTGAAGACGACGACGGAGAGCTCCGCTCGGCCCGTCGACGATGAGATTGTGGACGAGGAGGATGAGGAGGATGTCAATCCGAATCCCAGCGACAACGAAATCGATCAGGGATCGACGCTCAGCAGCTACGGCGGAACGAATGGCCGCAAGATCCGTGAGTGTTGAGTGAATGTAGCATGGACCCGAAACAACTGTCTCTTTCTCTCTCTCTCTCTTTCTCTCTCTCTTGTTTACTCTCGCTCATGCCTGTAACCAATCCAAATCCAAAACCGATCCTCCCCACCTCCCCCCACATGGCATTTACAAATTGTTTCCAAACCTTTTTAGCGCGTCGCAAGAACAAAAGAAGAAACCCAAAACCCGCTTAAATCCCCACCCACCCAACCCCCTACCCTAGTTCTAGTTGCATCCCACCTCCCACCAGCCACCCCCTCCCACTCCCAACCATTCCCGATCCATGTAATTTTCCCATATAGCAATAAACGTCGTTCGATGCTTTCTTCCTTAATGATCCTCCTTTCCTCATCTCTCTCTCAATGTCATCTCTCGATCGCTCCTCTCTCTCTCTCTCTCCATCTCTCTCCATCTCTGGCTCTGTCTTGGTCTGAACACTCCCCACTCCTAACCTCGCATTTCCATCTCCCCATCTACAGAATGCGGCGTCCGACCACACGTCAAGTCCGGCCGCATTGTGGGCGGCAAGGGCTCCTCCTTTGGCGCCTTCCCCTGGCAGGTGCTGGTTCGCGAATCCACCTGGCTGGGCCTGTTCACAAAGAACAAGTGCGGCGGTGTCCTGATCAACAGTCGCTATGTCGTCACCGCTGCCCACTGTCAGCCTGGGTAAGTTTTTACTTTCCACCCATGCCCCATATCCAGCATCATTTCATTGCCTTTATGTTGATCTGTGCAGCTTTCTGGCCTCGCTGGTTGCCGTCATGGGTGAGTTCGATATCTCTGGCGATTTGGAGAGCAAACGTTCCATTACCAAGAACGTGAAGCGCGTCATTGTCCATCGCCAATACGATCCGGCCACGTTCGAGAACGATTTGGCTCTCCTGGAGCTGGACAGTGCCGTGCAGTTCGACACCCACATAGGTGAGTAGTTACTAGGTCAGCTCTGGTACAGGCAAAACCACTTAACCACATTTCCCCCATCTCCTTTTCCAGTGCCCATTTGCATGCCCAAATGATGCGGCGGACTTTACTGGTCGCATGGCCACCGTGACCGGCTGGGGGCGTCTCAAGTATGGCGGCGGTGTGCCCTCCGTTCTGCAGGAAGTGCAGGTGAGTGTTCCCCCTACCCAAGAAACAAACAATGAGCCACATTTTTAATGCATTTTTCAAATGACAACAACAGGTGCCGGTTATCGAGAACAGCGTCTGCCAGGAGATGTTCCACACCGCTGGCCACAACAAGAAGATTCTCAACTCGTTCCTGTGCGCTGGCTATGCCAATGGCCAGAAGGACTCGTGCGAGGTAAGAATGGAGTGGGCGGTACAGTGGGACAACATCCAGAGAGTGTTTCGCTAAAACTTTTTTTTAATTTATCTGACAGGGTGACAGTGGCGGTCCGTTGGTGTTGCAGCGTCCCGACGGGCGCTATGAGCTGGCTGGAACCGTTTCGCATGGCATCAAGTGTGCGGCGCCATATCTGCCCGGTGTGTACATGCGTACGACCTTCTACAAGCCCTGGTTGCGCAGCATAACAGGAGTCAAATAAGGAGCTGCCAGGGGAGCAGCAGCAGCAGCAGCAGCAGCAGCAACATTAGGGGGCAGCGGCAGCATCAGCAAGTGTAAATAGAAAGTAGAGTTTAAAGAGTTGTGGACAAAAACAAAGCAAACAAAAAACAAAACAAAAGGCGTGACCCAGACTGTTAAGCATCCACGTCGCATTCACCATTCTCTCCTCCTCCTCCTTCTCCGTGTCCGTGTCCGTGTCCCTCCACCAAGCATCTATCCTCATTCCATTAGTTTTAAAGTTTAACCGCGAAACGAAAGCGAAATACTCGAGAGTGAGATGCAAAGATTCAGACGAGCTTTGACTTTGACGAGCGTGTTGCAGGCTCTCTCTGTGCCCCTAACACTTGTAGAGTCTGAATGAGAAAATTACTCGTATATGTATTTTAGTAAGCAAATATTTATTCTAGTTCTAAGCCTATTTATTTATTTATTTATTTGTAAACCAATTTGTAAATCGCATTATCGACTTCAGTTTTGATTCAACTAAAAATAAATTGTTAATTTTCATAGGCAAATTGTTGTTATGTTCAAGTGAAAGAAACGAGCGAACAGAGAGAGAGAGATAGAGAGAGGGCAAATGTTTTTAGTTCAATTGAATTTACTAATTTATCTAATTATACGACTAATTTTTTTATCTCTTTACGTTTTATGTTAATTGTTAAGCGAACGAACAAAGCGATGCGAAAAGAAAACCCACAAAATCCAATAATAAAAAATAAAACAAAAATAAATTAAATATTTGTATAAATATTTCGGCGAAACTCTGCCGTGTTTGCCTCCTCTGTGAATGTAATTTTCTTTTCTACTTTGCACTCGAAGGACTGCCAATAAAATTCTGCAACGACAACCCAAAAGCAATCTCCGAACAACAAGTCAACAGAGGGGGAAAGTCCAAATGTCTCAGTATGCTGCAATTTCCGACGGCTCCAAGCTGCAAACTCATTTTAATACAGTCCAAGGCAGCACCAAATGGAAGTGCCATCTGCATTGCCGCCCCCTGTCAGCTGCACCCAGAATATTGAATGCTCTTCGGTCAGGGCAGGTTCCCTCTCTGCTGGGATTCCCCCGTGCACAGTGGCTATTTGTTGGTTGAAATGCCACAGCAGCAGCCAGACCCACAGCCACACAGCAAAAAGCAAACTTTATTCCCCCCCCCCCCAGCAGCAAGTTTTTGCATTAAAATTTCAATAATATTTACAAGTATACTTAAGGAAACTACAGAAACTAAGTACCAGCCACAATTTTAAAGATACTTAAATATCATACAAAAGTCAGAACTAGCTGTTATTTGGATCTTTAAAAACAGAAAAAACAGAGAGACGAAAAACCGGAAAAAAAAACAAATCAAGCCAGTAATATGTGTATTAAAGCTATCCAGTAAAAGCCTAAGGCTATTAGCTTTATATGTCAGAAACGCACTAAGTGATGGAGCGGCAGTTACTTTGCATTTCGTTAATATTGCTATGCCAGTGGCACCACCAACAGCAGCAGGAAATCATTATGCTATTGTACACAATGTCCTGAAGGTCATGCAGCCCCCGAAATGTTCTGAAAGCACTCACAGCAGCCGGCACTTTTCATCTAATTTAACGACACAAAAACAAACGCGTGTGCTTGTGTCTTCTTTGTTGAACAGATTTTGCTGCAGGCAATTTTTGAGCCAGGACAGGACAGGCCTTTGTGGGACCGCATTTACATGCTCATTAAATGTTCAAGGTCGCAAGCAGTTTTGCCATTTGTCAGTGACGTCATTGCCAATATATCAAATTACAAATCCAGATAAGTTGTACATAAATACGTATGTATATTCCACAGGCACAAGATGCACCAATCATCTCCATTGATATTGATTCCTAGACACACACACACACACACACACACACACCCATACGATAAGCGTCAGAGCTTTGGGTCTGCCACCACAAAACACAAACACATTTAATTCATAAATTGCAAGAAAAGCTTGTCGGATGGGAAAAGCTTTTCCGCGGCAGCTAGCCGACAGGTGTTGCCCGTTGCCGTTCGCAGCCATTCAGTTAGTCGCCGAAAGGACGAGCAGCCAGCAGGTATGTGCAGATCCCTCTAATCCTGACTGTGACTGTTCCAGAGCGAAGCAAGCGCCTCCAGGACACGTGTGTGTAGAGTCGGTCTGGTACAACTTGAATTGTTACAATAGGTGAAAGGTGCGGCGCGGCTGTTGATGCAACTAACAGAAATGGAAATGCATTTAAATGCACAATTACATTTTCCCAGTGTGTGTGTGTGTGTGTGTGTGTGTGTGTGACATAATTAACAGTGACCTTCATAAGTAGAAAGTAGGTACAGAAGAATGTGGCACTCTCGACCAATCCGAAACACATTTGCTAAGTAAACATAAGGCAGATTCAAAGTGAGATTATGACTGAAATATGATGCAAATTCTCGGATATCTCTTAGATTATAAGTAAACAAGTGCCCGTAGCTCTTGAGTTCTGAATATCACAGTTTTTTTTTTTTGTAATTTTTCGGCTGCGGCTTAGAATGTGGAAATCATTTCAAGCCACTTGTATTAAATTGCCTCACTGGGATTCCTACATGCCAAGTTTTCCATTAATATAATTTAGAGAATTTAAATCACATGCGTGCAATGTATGTACGTTCCCCTTTTATTCCGCTAAACTTCTTAGACTGAACTTCATCCTACTTCCTTGGCATTTTCTCTCTTCTTGCCATAATATGATTCCCCATGACTCGAACTTAAATCGTTTGCCAAAGTTCATACATATGAAAGAGTTTTCAACAGCTGCAGTCCAATGGACAAACTTTTGTCACCTGCCAAGCACATCAGAACACTTGACCCATTCAACTCATTATTACTTATTGGCAAACTTGGTTCCATGCTGTAAAATACGAGTAGGTAACTGGAAACTTGATAATTGCACAACTTTCAGCCAGCCCCAAAAGCAATTAGCCAGCCAACAGTTTCCCACGCAACCGGAGGGGTGTGGAGGAACATGCCATAAAAAGGGTGATGAAATTGTAATGACAGTTTGTGACTCCTTTGAGCTAGATAAGGAGCCGTTTTGTAAATGCGTCAGCCAACACTTTAGTTAATTAACGAACGGAATACCTAAATAATGACCACAATTAGGGCTTTATAATGGCGCAATACATCAATTAGAATTGCTCGCCAGGGCAACCAACACAGCTCGAGCCTCGCAAAGGTGGAATGCGATTAGCTGAGATTTGATAGCCGGTAATGGAGGATGGTTGATGGCAATTAGAAGACAAGACCCGCTGAAAGACAAACTGAAAGAGAGAGGTATGAGAGTATCCAAGCAACGGTCCCTTCAAGTTAGACAGAAAGTTTTACGAGCACAAGCCCAAGTCGACAAAAGTGGGCAAAAAAGTAATTAATGAAATGCTAAAAGCAGAACAAAAAGGATTTTCACCCAACTTTCTCTGCCTGGAGTGGTCAGGGCAGAATGTGGGCCCAACCATTAATGAAATTGAACATCCACGACCATCTGCCCATGCCACATACATATTTCCACGGCGACAAACTGTGAAAACTGTGTTTGGCTTTGTCTTTGGGCATGAAATGTGACGTCGCCAACTGTGTCAAGACCTTTATATCTAAATTCGGCTGCTTGTTGGCTTATTTATTTATAAAAGCGCGACTACAGCTGTTTTCTATTGGCCATGGAGCAGCTACGGTACTCACATATCAAGTCGAAAAGGTGCCCTAAAAAGTAGGCAACGTTTTTCCTGTGTTCAAATATTTTTTGTCAGCTTTAAAATTCATAAGAAATGTTACACACGTTTATATATATAAAACCTATACTATAAATATTAGATTCTATATATATACATTTCATACTTAAAGTTTCATTTTTTTTGTTTAATTATCCTCCCACCTGAGGCAAAATATTATTGTGAGGGATTCTATTTAAATGTAATAAATTTCTGACGCACACAAAAGGAAACGAGAAGGAACGTGTGAGTCGTTTCTACTTATACCCGTACTCAGTCATTATTTGGCTATATTTTTTATTTAGAAAAAAAAAATCCTATGCTACCGTACCCCTTTTAGTTACCCAACAGTGTAACTGTACCATTTGTCTACTCTCCCCGCTAGGGGTGCCGCGCACTGAACGCGCGTGGCGGCGGGAAATGCGCGTGTCGTGTCGGGGGGGCGGGAGCGCTGAATTATCCTTCTGGCTATGTCCGTCATTCAATCGGCAGTCTGGTAGTGGTCATCCTACGTCTGCGATTTAGCGTATCTTAAAAGTCCGCCCGTTCGTCCTTTGTGTGGGCGGAAGGGGGCGGGGCGAAATTTTGAATACCTGTAGCAGTGTGATATCACATGAGTGCGGAAACCAAATTTGGTTGCCCTATCCTTATAGTCTCAGATCTAGGCGCTCAACAAGCCGGACAGCGCAGACATGGCTATATCGACTCGGCTATTGATGCTGATCAAGAATATATATACTTTATGGGGTCGGAAACGTTTCCTTCTCTGCGTTACACACATCCACTTTTACCACAAATCTATTATACCCCTTAACTCTTTTTTGAGTACGGGTATAAATAATTCTTTGAGGTTTCTAATTGCCTTATGCAGTCTCTAGCCATCCCAAGAAAACAACAAACAAGAAAACATCCCAATTTGAAACAATTCAATTAAAGGTAGTCAGACCTTTGATGTTACGGTGAAGGGTTTCAAAAAGCTGACAGATAGACAATCAGGCAGAGGGAAAATGCCTCTCAAAGTACTTTTCTCTTCACAGAAATGTTCTTCAAACTGAAGTTTATTTGAAGATTAATGGTTTGAGACCACATAACCCATGATTAATAAATATCAAAATGTCCTAGGAGATTTTTTGGGCTTCATTTGAACTCTTTCAATTGCCGCTTTGCCTTTCAAAGTGGCCTAAGCTCGATTGCCCACAATGAGGCGGCATGATGAATTTATTAGCCGAGCAACAAGCGATTTTGCCATACCTACGCATACCAACGAATGTGTATGTACATAGTGTCTTATATATTACGATGTGCACCTTTCATCCAGCAATAAAAACGAGGCTCGGAGGCTGAATGGGTCGGGGAATGCGTTACACATAAATTAAGTCAGAGCCGGCAATAACACTAAAAGCGAGCCGACAATTTTAATGAGCTGCCTGACAAAGGGAGGCAAGTATATTGCCTGGCGCCGTTAAGGGAGCAGCTCATGTTGAATCCTGGGCTCCCGAAGGAGTAGCCTTGTATGCTACACGCCTGATTGAATCTATTTTTGGTAGCAGCTGAAATGTGAAAAGATATGTATGATGAGAAGTTTAAGTTCTTTTAGTTCTCGGCAGGTCAGCAGCAGCAACTAGAAATTCTGGCACGGAAAATGATGTACTAACGTGACCAAAATGAGAAACATTCCGCTGAGGGCAGTCCTTCTGCTGCTCCTCGGCATGTCCATGCAGCTGGACCCCTCGGTTGCCACGTCCACATACGGTGCGGCCTGGCAGCGCGACCTCTTCGGTCGTGATTCGCGCAATTTGATGCGCCGCAGCCCCTCCCTTTCGGGGATGGGCGATGACAGTGCCACCTACGATGGAGGCCACAACATAGGGGGCTACAAGCAAATATTTGGCCCCTATCCCATCGAGCAGGAGCCGCGGGTGGCGCATATGCCACAGCAGCAGCCCCAACAGGTGAGTGTGGGCGGAATGAAAAATGACTACAGCCACGGATGGCGCAGATTGCAGACCAGACAATTGAAGCGCGTGACATGGCATGGCGACAGAGATGGATACTTTCTGTTGTAAAAATAAAAATAAAAAAAAAAATTTCTTGCTCCAACTGCAATACCCAAAAAGTTCGAAGCGCTTAATTCACCCAAGAATTTGTGGCAAAACTTTTTACGTTTCGCTCACTCAATTTCCAGTCTGAACTTTATCCCAATATTCGGGATTGGTGTTTAAATAGCCAGCGAATATTAATTTACCCGTGAACCTGTGCAGCTTAGTCGTTCATCTAACTAAATTTCTATTATAAATTTTGTCTTCTTTGGCATTAATTCCACAGCTTCAGCGATATGGACAGGTTATTGGTAACCTTTAGAAATTGTTTTAAACTCCCCCCCAGCCTGTGTGAAAATCTGCAGCACTGCGAAACGTATTTGCCATAGAATGCCGCAGGACGTCAGAGCTGTGTTGCCAGCAAATTGAAACTGGGGGCCGTGTGTGCTGTTTTGTTTACCGCAATCAAGGGGAAAGTTCAGAGTTCAGCACGATGCTCAAATTAATTAACGGGCCATGGCGAACGCGCGAGAACAAGTGTCACTTGTATTGATAACAGGCGAAGGCAGGGCAGGCCAGGGCATGTTTGGGGGAAATGTTACGCACACGCAACGTGTGACAGGCCAGACAAGTGACTCGCTAATTGCTTCCCCCTTCTGAATCCCACAGAATCTGCGCCAGCAGACCGAGGTCTATGGGATTGTCGAGCCGCTGATTGAGGACACACCCTGCGCCGACCGGCCCTGCCTTGTCAGCGAGGACTGCTGCCCCACCGGGGTCTGTGTCAGCACCAATGGCGGTAAGCGGAAACAGTTGCACATTTGCTCTCTCCTTTTACTCTCCTCCCTGAATCCCCTTGCGGCTTGTCTTGCAGAGGGCAAATGTGTTTATGTATTTGGACACCAGCGCGACCTATGCCAGCGGCACGGGGACTGTGCTTCGGGCAGTGTCTGCATGCTGGTCGCCCAAGAGGGCATCTGGCGCTGCGAGACCGAGGCGGAGTCGAGCGCTGCCCCATCGCTGCTGGAGGAGATGTTCGGGCTGAGGCAGAGGCAGCCGCTGGGCAGCGACTGCAACAGCAGCAACGATTGTCAGGTGGTCAAGTAAGTCCAGAAGAACTTGCCTCAGGACTTTGGATCATTTGATTTGTGTTCATCTTTCAGTGGGATGTGCTGCCAGCAGCAGCGACTGCATCATCGGGCTGGCTCCAAGCGCAGCTGCGGCTACTTTCGGGATGCCTTCGACTGTGTGGACATGGTTGGCACGGAGGTAAGGAATCACCGGAGATCTGGTTAAGGTAAAGTCCCCCTAACTATTTAATATCCAACAGCATCTACAGCATCGCCGCTATTAACGAGCCCAACGAGCTGGAAGAGAAGGTGCAGGTGCACAGCTACACACGGACAGGTAGAGATGGTAATGAAAATGAAAAAGAAGATACAACAAAACCCAACAAGAAGTACCTATATACATACATAAATATATAACTGAAACATATCAAATTGTTAAACAAATACATATCATTATTCCAGTCGGCGTAGCATAGTGAAAATGTCTGCGAATATATGAACAATATATGTATCAATATTTTATTCCCTTAGTACACTTTGAAATTCGGTAACCATATCCAAGTTACTCGCAACGATCTTCGACTTCTAAATGTGTTTTTCGTAGAATCTCCAAATATACTGACTGAGGCATTCAATGTTAATTAACGGCAAAAATTATTATTGCAATACATATTTAAAATAATCAACCAACAATTAAACATTATTTAATTATTTCACATATAAATGTAAATTTAACACAATAAATAAATTACCGCAAAATTTCCAAGAGCATCAACTAAATTGGTCATCCTCTTTCCACAATGTCTGCTGAAAGCTGGAACTAGGCAGAAGTGAAGGGCAAACAATTATCCACAGGTCAGGCACACATTTGAATGAATTTATTTAAACATAGCCAACAGATTTTTTGTAATTGATTTCCCAATACGAAACACAGCAGCTGCCAATAGTGTTCCAGGTAGAAATTTTTGTCAGGTTTGCCAGGGACTTGGTAGCTAACTAGATTTTAGTGTACAGAAAAAATTTATTCCTTTTGCCTGTTTTTATTCACCCCGACCCGACTCTTAGACAGCACTCAACGTTAAGCCACCATTAATTCCCGTTTCATGGAATCGCTGCAGGGCGAGAATCCAGGCTGAAATTTAAATAAAATGTTTCCACCCGGTTGGGAAAGTATGTATGAATAATGCAGTCATCGCCCTACAAAAACACGCTTAAGCACATACATTCCCCCTCCCTTTCGTTCCGATATTTTCATATGCAAATCACTCACAGCAACCGACAGCCGAAGGCTCAAAGGGATGGGGCGGCGCCCACACAGAACAATAATTAATTAAATATATTTACACGTACTTTGGGGAAAAATTGAATGAGCGAAAATAAAAACGTTTGGCTGTTCTTTTACAAATATTTTCAGAATTGTTTTATTTATTTTTGTTTGTGTTTGTATTTTATTTAAAGTGCCAGTAAAAACGCAGCTTAAAGCTAAAAGTTAGACTCTGTTTACACTTTCAACGCTTTTGTTTTAAACATTACACCCAAGTAAATCCATCCTCCAATCTCTCAATCTCTTTCTATATCCCTCACGATCCAGTTCAATTACGATAAATACACACACCACAAACGTTTCATCCGCTCATTAATTAATGACTGAGACAATTTTCGCTTACTTGAGCTAATATAAAAAGTCGTACAACGCAAAGGTTTTCAGTAATTAGTTCTCGAAATCGTTCAATCTTTATATACCAAAAATTAATTTTCTTTTTGCAAGCAAAATAGGATATAATTTTTTTTAGTTTTATTTTCTTCATTTTTGTTTCACATTTTTGCGCATTGTTCAAGTCTTTTGTGTAGGTTTCTTTTCGATTTTAATTGAATCTTCAACTCAGTTCAATGGAAATTGTTTTTTTTTTTTTGTTTTTTGGTTTGGATCAAAGGTTGGAGTTAAACGGTAGGCGGTAGACGGTAGGAAGAACCTCCATCGGAGGTTGGTTATCTTATGGATTTGTCTTTTGAAAACAAGTCTCGGCCTAAACTTAGCTTAGAACACAGTTAAACATTTAGCATTTAACACGATCAATTCAATTTTTTTTTCTCGTTTTCTCTTGTTTGACTCTCGCACGCACAGACTCTCCACTCCACGGACTATTTACAGATTATACAATTACAGGAATAGTTTTATAAACTAAATATATGTATGTACTCGTATAATGCGTTTTGTATAAAGGCTAGAAATATATTGTTTAGACTGGTTCGTACAGGAAATTAATATAGGAAATGAAATTTCGCTGGCCAAAACTATAACAATATATATAGTTTAATATTTACGAGTAGTTTCTAAAATAGAATCATAATTCTAGTTACAATCTTGCATGCAAGGCTCGTAAAAATGCTTAGTGGTAGCTTAGCTTATATCGAAATTAATTAATTAATCTTTAAATTAATGATTACGTTAATCTCTCAGCTTGTGTGGGTGTCTTTGTGGATTGTGTGTGGGTGGCTGGGGCTGGCGCAGGGGGTTTCAGGAATCATTTGGTATGTAGAAACTACTATTGCATTCTCGTAGATTTGGTAATGGACTCGTTCAGCTTTATGGCATTTGATGGGGGAGGGGGGGAAATAAAACGCTCGGCTATGTTAAACATATTCTAGAACAGGCCAAACTCTGTTCACACACTTAAGCTATGTGTTTAGGTTTAGGTTTGTTCATTGAAACATCGAGTTTCTTACAATTTACAATTGAAGCAAATATGTATAGTTCACAATTCATATATATGTATGTAAGTATATTGTATACACAAAGTTTACTGTATACTTTTGTAATATTAATATAGTTTTCGTTTTCGTTTTACTTTGCTTTATCTTTATATGACTACAGAAAAATAGGAAGAACAAGCTTTGGTTATAACAGAAAAAGAAATCAAAAATGACTTATAGTTAAAGGATAATGGATCTAGTGTAATTGCGGTGTAGAGATGATGTAACTAAACTAATAACCATGAGGTGTGAATGAAGAAGCAACCCACCCATTGCAATGGTTTGCAGTGATCGCGGAACTGCGAAATTGATGAACAATTTCAGCAAGCGATTTATATGTATGTGGGTGTGATACACAGTTGGCTTGGTAGGCGCACACAGCATAGCAATAGCATTTGGGGCGTGGCAGACTAAGCGTGAGCAGGCGGCGCACCCGATTTGTATATTTAAATTTTACTTTTACTTTAAGATTTCCTGAGTTTAGTCAACGATTCGGTTGGTCTATGCCCAAATTGGTTGATGCCTTATCCCCCCGTCATCAATGTTTCTGTTATCGTTGTTGGTTTTTTTTTGTGTAAATTTATTTGATAAGGTGAAGTCCAAAAGTGCATGCAATTCGGATCTACTGTATTTTTGTTTTAATTCTTTTTCGTTTGTTGATAATATGTATGTATATCTCTCACTGCTTTCCACTGCTGTTCAGTCTTGGCAAAGTCTTTTGCTGTATTTTTTCGTTCGTTTTGTTGTAACGCCTCGTGTCTGAGGCAAGGTTTATAAAAAATATATTTTACGTTGTTTGTATCTTTTGTGGGGTACAGTGGGTATGTATGTCTAACTAGGCCCTAATTGGTGGCACAATGGCAGTGCGGCAGTTTGTTGTGGAGCGCCGCTTTGCTCACGCTGTCCCAAAAATAAGTAAATCTCAGCGGAAATGTCAACGAAGGCTATGTACAAGTGTCGAGGATGGTTTCAAACTGAAAACGAATACAACGAGCTCATTCTAGGCAAAAAAAACAAAGCATAGCAATGAATACACCTTTGGGATCGGTAAGCACTTAATATTTACAGCTTTCTTTGTATTTCTGTTCTCTTAACGGGTTGCTGGATCTGCTTCGCAGGCGCTGCCACGACATTAAAGGTCACGCGGGCCAGGTTACAGGTTACAGGTTACGGTTACTGCTGCATGGAGTAGACATACATACACATACACACACACACACACACACACACACACACGCAAGCATACACGCACGCACTCGTATGTACAGACACTCCTCCCACTGGGCGGTCACTGAAGCAACTGAAACTAGAGCCACAATCAGTTTTTGACCTTGTCCTCCACACTGATGCTGGCGAGGGTCTTCTTGATGCGCAGCGCCGTGAGACGTGCCACGGGATTCGGATACCAGCACTCCTTCATGACCTTGGCCATGTTGTGGAGCACGTCGGAAGCGTGCCAGCGATTCGGTATATTAGGGCGACTTTTCTCAATGCAAACGACCTGCGAGGGGGGGGTGTTAAAATATTCGATGAGGCTTAAATAAACAAATACATTTAAAAGAAATGGCGAGTTCACCTTCTTCATCTCCTCAATACTGGGATCCGGCTGCACGGCATCGTAGTACGGCAACTGATACTCATCGTAGATCATGCCCATGTTGCAGCGCCGTGCAATCTCCCAGAGGATCAGGCCAAAGGCGTACACATCCGCCCGCTTGTACGAATCAAAGTGCTGGGCATTCATGCTCTCGTCCAGCACCTCTGGGGCCATGTAGCGCTTTGTTCCAACCCGATGTGTAGAGGGTATATCCACCGAATCGTCCTTCTCCACGTGGCGTACGGCGAGGCCCAGGTCACCGATGGCGCAGCTTAGATTCGATTTCACCAGTATGTTCTTGGACTTGAGATCGCGATGGGCGATGGCGGGCTTGCCGCGGGTGCCCACAATGTCCATGTGCAGATGGGCCAGGCCAGTGGCAATGCTCAGCGACATGTTCAGCATTGTGTTGGTGTCCACCGTGTGCGTAGTCAGATAGTCGAAGAGCGATCCGTTCTCGTGGTAGTCCGTGACTAGCCACAGCTGGGTCCAAGTGCCGTTGTCTGTGGGGAGAAAATGTGAAAGAAGGATTAGAATTTCCCATGACTCTTGCTCAAAGGCTCACCCTTGTTGTCCGCTGCAATGAAACCCAGAATGTTCTCGTGTCGGAGCATTACCGTCTGATAGATTTCGGCCTCGCGAAACCAGGAGCACTCCTCGCGACTGGAGAAGATCTTAACGGCCACATTCTCACCACGCCAACGTCCCCGCCATACCTCTCCGAAGCGTCCCTTGCCAATCACGTGGCACAGCTGCACCTGGCGTGCGATGGATCGCTGTACCAAAAGCGGCAGACCAGCTGATGGAGGTTCAAGATACAAGGAACATGTAAGTATACAGCGCGATACAGCGTAGATAGCTACATATACTCTCGGAACTCACCCGAACCGGACCCAGATGTGGTCATCTCAATGATGTCGTGTATGGTGGTGTTGCCATTCAGTATGGGATCGTAGACGGAGTCCTCCTTGGTGAACGGTCTGCCGGTGGCCATGCGCTTGCGTCGCTGGCAGTAGAACCAGGAGGTCGTTCCCGTCACACAAATGACGAGGGTCACACCCACAATGATGCCGACCAGTTCCCAGCTGGTCAGAGTGCGTTCCGGCATAAAATCTGATCGGAATCAAATGAAGTCGAGTGTTAGTGGCATCAGACGAAAGTACAGAGCCGTTAAGGTGTGTGAAATCAATGCGAAATAAATACGGATACGGAGATTAGAGTATACATATTAAAGGGGGGAGCGGGGGGGGCATGCAAAAAGCCATTGACCGTTAGATGTGCATGATAAACGTAACAGCAAAACGAGGTGCAAAACGAAACAGAACGAAGGAAACCGAAAACCAAATCGAAGTACAGGCATTGATTAGCGTAACGTTGTTAGTGATTAGTAGGTAGTACTTAATTTAGTCATACGATGTACATAAATACCTGCACATGAATTTCACGAGTTATTTACAAACACCGTGCTCGTTTCGGCGCAGTTTTAATACATATGTACATACATACATATATATATATATGTATACTCCAAATAAATTACCAAACAAAATTTTCCATAAAATAAGCGAAAATAACGCTTCGAATTTTCCGGATTTCCACTAAAAAGAGACTGTCTATAGCTGAACCCGAAGCTAAACCCAAATCGACAGACAAACGCACACACAAAAACCCACGAACATTCACAAAAGTGCAATGAAAATGAAGAAACAACAAAAAAAAAAACAACGAAGAACATGATGATGCACGAGAACAAGAACAGTAATGGAAGTGCATATTCCGCTGCAACGAAACTGAAATACCCTTCAAGAAGTTGTTCAAGGTGGTATATAATAATAATATTATTTAATTTTTTAGTCCACTTCTGTTCTATTCTACCACAGAGTTTCTTACATTCATTTTATTCGTACATATATATTATTCTATCTTTACAAAAGTCACAACAAAGAACACAACTTCTTTAAGGGTATAATTATGAAGATAGAAGACCAAAAAAAAACAGCAGACGAGACAAAAATGCGGCCACCATTAATGAATGAAATGAGCGAGCTTTGACTGAGACGGCGACGGCGACGCAGACTGCAACTGCAGGCTCGGTCGACGCTGCAGTGCACATGAATGAATGAGCAAACTGCATAAACGAAAAGAGAACACCTAGACAGACAGTCGACACACTTGCACACAGACACACACACATCAATACACACAGACACCGACATTGGCACAGACTGGGACTGTTCGTGGGTGGAAGAGAAAGAGGGGGGTGATACAAAAAGCTCGCGACTGCGACGGCTTCTTCAAATTCTTCGTCTCCTTCTTTTACTCTTATGGTTCTGTACTTGCTGTTGCTGTTGGAGCACAGCCCTTGAGACATGTTTGTTTTTGTTGCAGTCTGCTTTTGCTTACTTCCTTTTTGAATGCGTTTTGAGCAAAATGTTTGCAGCGCACCAATGAAAGGCTCAACGATCCAAACAAAAAAAGTGTACATTAATGAATTCCCCAAGACTGAATCAATATGCCACTATGACAATAAAAATATCATACATACCACATCCATAGACACATATAAATGTACATATGTACGATGATTGTGCAAGGGTATGCAAAGCCGCGGCTAACGGCTCCTGTTTGTTGAATGCGTTTTTAGTAAGTCAATATGCATGTTGGTGATTAAAAAGGTCAGCAGACAGCAGAACAAAACGTAGCAAAACATCCCGCAGACACAGTTTGACAGTTGAAAGGTCGCTGTTGCTTCCACAATAGGGTGTGGCGGGGGGAGGACAGTAGCCGGGGCCACAAAACACACAATAAAATAACAAAGTGATTTACATTTACATATATTAAAATGTATGTACTATGTATGTATATGTATGCATTTATGTATGTGTAGACGTGTGGGAGCAAAGAAAGTCAACGAATGAACAAGGACAAACCCACGAATTAAAAACCGAGCGAAATATTTTCTTCACTTTACCTTCTTCCCCTCAAAAGACGAACAACAGTAGGGATATGTGCGGTTGATTGTGTCGAGGGAGGGCAGTGGGGGCTGGCTGGGATACAAGGTAGCTGTGAGCGTGTGTATTTGTGTGTGGGTGCGTACGTGTTAGACAGGTAAACAAATTCGTGAGTGAGTGTATAGCTGTGGTCACAATAATAGGAGTGCTACAAAATAATCATTTAAATTATGGGTACATAGTGAAATCTTTCCTTGTGGATAATTAGAAGAAAATTATGAAGTTTTGGCATGCGATAAATAAATAATAAATAATGCGATAATAAATAAACGTTGCTCAGAATTTTTTCTATTTTAATTTAAATAGCAGCACTCCTATTATTTTAGCCGCAACTAGCCGCATATGTATGCATGTGTAGGTGTGTGTCTGTCCCTGCAAGCTTTTTTAAATAAGTTACAATTTTTGTATATGAAAATATTTGGAAAACAACGCAATGATGTGGTGCAATGGAAACGAACGTGGACTGCTTTAATGGTGGGTGGATGGCGGAGGGTGGAGGGGTCGGCGGTGTATTTAAGACTACATGGGCATGGTCATGGTGATTGTTGTGGTATTGGTTGGACTGGTGGCTGGGTGGGGTGTGGGTGTGGGTGGTGGCTGTGCAACTCTCACCTGGTATCGGCCCACTGTAATTCGCACGCGTATTGCAAAAATCGTCGGGACAACATTGTGAGGAGACATTCGATGTTCGGAATTTACAGGTGGACGGATCTTGGGGTGGTAATTGGTCGGGGGGCAGGCATCTACATACATAATATTTAGTATTCTTGTAGTAATATGTAAGGCTGCTGTGTGTTTTTGTTCAGCTTCAAGTTGTTGCGTTAGTACTTAAACTAATACTAGTACGGGTTTTGTTGGTTAGGTTAGGATAGTTCTAGTTATAGATTAGAATAAGGTAGGGTTTTTGTAGTTGCCGGCTGTAGATGTTGCTTTGTGCAGTTGCGAAGCAGCTTTTGTTGTATTTTGTTGTTTTGTTACCACTTACTAACTAAATTTGTAGCACCTGTTTTTGTTTTGTTTTTGTTTTGTTTTGTATTTGTTGCAGAGCTTCGTTGTGTGCGGCTAAAGGCGGATGGGAGCTGGGGTTTGTTACATACGCCAAGGCCAGGAGCGGGGTTCGGGTTAGAGTGGGGGGTGGGGTACTCAGCGGCAGCGTCAGGCAGGGGGCTGTGTGTTGGGGATAGGGTGCACTGGCAAAAAGCAATATTGGTTTGTCCTCAAAATACTAAGGAAAAAAAAAGCAGCTAGGAGTCTTTATTTATAGGTAAAACGACAAGAGAGCAGGAGGGGGAAACCATTTTAACCATCACAGAACAGTTCTAATTCTGTTATAATTCTCCCAATTATTTTCACAATTCGATTCCCCAATGTGCAGAAGAGTAGACAAAGTTCAAGAACCAAAAGCAAATAAACTAGAAAACGTTCTAGAGGTTTAAAAAAAGCTCTAAACATGCATAACTATTTCATGTTTGTAGACAGTCTGCATAGAAAAGGCAACTGTGTATTTCTCTAGCACCAGCTGAAACCTATCCGAGGACAAGCCAAGCCAGAGAGCTCTACGGGAACCACAATGCGAACCAGTCCCAAGGCATTAGGCTGTACCCAAAATACACATACAAATATTGTAAAATCCCTTCCACAATCTACAAAGAGAGATCCCGTGGAATCGCTGGAAAGTGAAATATCTACAAACTACAAACAAGACTCGAATTTGCATGCAAAAGTTAAGTGTAATTTATTAAGATAAGGTGTAAGCTGGATTCCGTATACGTATTTTATTGTATGTATATTGTGTGTATAGACAAAGGTAGAAAGAGACAGAGTAAAATAATAAGAGAGAGAGAGGGAGGGAGGTAGGTAGGTGCTAAAAACAACATGGGCCCAGAGAACCCGAAAAGCAAACAAAGTGCAAATAGAAAAAAAGGAAAATATTAATAAACTAAATTGCTGTGCAAACCTAAAGAAAATATTATAACAAAAACAAAATCATAATCATAATAATGCTAGACCAAAACAAAAATAATTATTAATAATTATTACGGATTATTAAATGGTTACGTGTTGCATATTTTTGTTTGTTTGGTTGCTTGTGTTGCTATTGTTGTTGTTCTTGTCTTGGTTTTTTTTGTTTGTTTATTGCAGTGCATAATTAGGCAAATAGTAAATAACAGAGCACGAGCGGGAGCAAGAGCAAGGTAAAGAGAGATAGGGAGACAGAGAGAGTGTGTGCAAAAACTAAAGAGAGAAATTGTATTGTATTTGTTTTTGATTGATTGTTTTTGTTTTTGTGGTTACTTTGTGGTTGTTGTTGTTGTTGTGGCTGTACCTGTTTCAAATATCCTCTTCATAATCTCATTCTTATTGCAGAAGTCTTCCCTACAACATTGTATCCTAAACGAATCATATTTGATGCGGCTGGTGAGGCACTCCAGCGGCTCCCGATGCAGTTCGTATTTCAATTCGAGGCAACTAAAGTGTGCCGCCCAGTCAGTGTGCAGAACCGCGTATAGGTATAGGTACAGTTACAGGTACAGTTACACAGTACACAGGTACAGTTATCATGGAAGGAGCGGAAACGAGAGGCGAGCGAGGATGTTCAAAGGCGAGGCGGGGGGGCAAAAACATTCGACAACAGTGGGAACGTTTAAAGAGAAAGAGAGAGAAAATATAACAATTAAAACAAATTAGTTGTGCTTGGCAATTTGTTGTTGTTTTTCTGTTTTCTGTTTTCATTTTTTGTTTGTTTTGTTTTTGCCGATGATGATGATGTAGCGGCGCAGCTTCTGTTTTTGCGGCTGTTGTCTCTTTCGGCGCTTGTTGCTAATGGAAATTTCGGTCTGGTTAGTAGCAATAAAAACATTATAATTATAAGCAAAAACAATTCATATGAATCTCGGGTTGCAGGTTGTTTCTCCCTTCGGCTTCAGCTTCTGTTTTCTCTAAGTATTTGTTTGTTTTGTTTTTTTTTCATAGGTCTTTGTTTATATATATTAGTAGTGCTCTGCATTTTGGGGGTTATGAGATCATTTCAGGAACTTGAACTCAACGAGCATTCGAGGCAAGAAAATACAGTCCAAAGAACGAACGAACGAACGATGGAACTCTTGAACGGCGTGCGAGTGAGACAGAAGGACAGACAGAGAGAGAGAGAAAGAGCGAGAGAGTGAGTGGGATTGGGGCGGGCTTGTGGTAGTGGGAGTTGGGCGGGAAAGAAACACGTGCACACGCGCACGCACCTTCGAAGGTGGCCGGCGGCTGTTGCCGTATGGCACCATCACTGTCATCGTCCTCCCATGTGGGCGTGGCCACCGCATAGTACTTGATGACGGGCCGCAGTTGCCGATTGCAAAAGTCGTGATCGTTGCAACAGGCATGTCCGCCTCTGCGTGCGGCCGGCCGTGCCGTGGGTCCGCCATGGCGACCCTCGTTGCACCAGATGAATCGGCCCGGCGGAAAGCTCTGCGACATATTGAGGCATCTGGACCGGGGATCGGATGCCGCTCGATTATACACACATGTACATTCATATTCGATTATTGGATAGTGCGAGAGCTACGCTACATATGAACTAACAAGTGGGGGCCGCACTGGGCCAGTCTCAAGACTTACCGGAAACTGAAGATGATCTTATTGTCCGCATTTTTCTCCACCGACGTGAAACAGTAGCCGTCCGTCTCGCAGATGTGGTTCGTCTCCTTGCAGATGTCGCAGTGACATTTCACGGTTTCTAGCGGGAGAAAGAGAGGGCGCAAAATCAGCTAGTGCTAGGCTAGATAGAATATTTATAATCTACAAATGTGAAATATAAACTAATTGGAAAATTAATGCTTGGGAGCAGCGCATCATAAATCATATGCTAGGCAATTAGAATCTCTTGGACGATGCTGGCCACAGGGCGTATTGCCCATAACCATGCCAACAAGGCAGCTGGCGAAACTCACGCGAACGCACCGCAGAGGCAAAGGCAAAGGCAGAGGTAGAGGCAGAGGTAGATCGTGATAAAACAAAAACAAAAGCATTTAGCATTAACAAAAGCAGACGATGGGAAGAAGACAAGTGTAAAGTGGAGGGCCAGACAAAGCGACCAGTTTTTTGCCACTCCTACTTCTACCCCCTCCCTGCTTGCTTGCTACGCTACCCGTGCCGCTACCCGGGGGTTTTTCTCTGCCGCTGCCGCTGCCACTGCCACTGCCGCTTCCGAGTCGAGTGCAGGCCGTTGCAAGTGCATGCAATGCAGGCAATGCACTGCAGTGAATGGCAGCAGATGGGGGTGTCTGGTTGCGGAATGCCGTGGGAGTGGGGCACGAGAGTTGTCTGGCTAGCGGCTGCAGCTCATTGACACCGCGCGATGACGTCACGAGGCCAGACAGAGCTGGAGACAGAAACACAAAGTCTGGAGCTGGAGCTGGGAGTTTGAGTTTTCGTAATGGAGACGACCCAGACGGCCGGTGGGCTTTTTTTTAGCTCCATTCAAAGTCTTTGAGGTGTTACAGTCAAGTCACGCGAGGCATGGCTGCTGCCAACTGCCACTGCGACTGCTGCTCTCCATTCATTAAGCGTTTTCGTCTGGCCTGGCCTGGCCTGTCCTGTCCATATCTGATATGATCTGATCCTCTTCTGCCTTTGGACTTACTGTTGTGCTTCTTGCTGCTCTGCTGTTGCGGCACGAAGGGTGGCAACTGCGTGGCGTGCTGCTGTGTGGCAGCGACTGCTCCATCGCCGTCTTGCGGCAGCAGCATAGCCACTGCACTGTTGTTGCTGTAGCTGTGGCCATTGCTATTGTTGAGGCTGCTTTTGTTATTGCTGTGGCTATGGCTGTTGCTGTTGCTGTCATGGTTTCTGCTGTTATCAGCGGACAATGTCGTCGGCGACGGCGATTTTGTTAGATAAGCCTGGCCAGCTGTTTCGTCCGCTTTCACTATTGGCGCCCTTGTCGCCGTCGTTGCTGCTACGGGTGGCACCAACGCCGAGTTGGTGGCTCCAATCGAGGAACTGGTATTCATGCCCAATTCAATTGGGGTGGCTGCAAGGTGAGTCGAAAATTAGGTTAGTTTCGCACCTGAGGCAAGCGCACGAGGGCCGCCCCTAGTTCCATCCTTCCAACCCCACGGGAACCGCCCGACTTACCAAAACTGGAGCTGCTGGAGCTGAGCAGCAGCAGAGCGCCCATGAAGAGCTGCCAGGGCGGGGAGAACATCTTGTCTTTGTGTTGATAATAGCCGGGGCAGGGGCACGGGAACGGGGGCTGTTTTTCGCTTTTTGTTGTCGCTGCTTCCCCTGCGCCTATCACGTTGGGGGCTTTTCTTTTGTTTTCCGTACACACACACGCACACGACACGTACACGCGGTCACACACCCACACAAGTGCAAGTTCAAAGTCTGGACTGGATCGGATTGGATTCGATGCAATTTATTTGTTTCTTCTTCCCCGTATGCCAGGAATAGGTGCAGGTGGCGCGGGAGCGGGAGCGATTGGGCCGTGCCCTTGCGAGTGGGGTGGGCCGGAGGAAGTCCTCTGCAGACGGCCTCTAATGTCCCCTAAACTGCGCATTTATCGCGTAGGACTCGCACTGAGTACGTCCAAACAGGTTCACATTTTGCCGCTGCATGGCTTGTGGGGTGTTCAACTGATCACAACACTGGCGCGGCACTCGATGCAGTCTAATATTTAGCCAATTTCCACCCAATTGGATGAAAAATATATCACATTTCACGGACGAGAGGGCAATTTTCAGGCGTATTTTCATCACGTGATTTCCGCACTATCGCGAGTGGATTTGCAACAATCCGTTATTTACAATTGTGGCCGGCACTTGTAAGCGTATTGTGCACTTGGTTGTTTGTATTAATTCCTGTTATTTTTATGTTAAATGTAGAAAAGTTATGTGCAGCAGAGGTGTCAAACCATCGAGGGCACTATCGATAGTATCGTTGCTTTTCTGCTATCCGCTACTATCGACGGTTTTGCGACTATCATGATAGTATCGAGCTTCAGTTGTTGCGTTTTTGATATGTTTGGATTGGCTGCTCTAAAAATCGAATTTGTAAACAAATCGACAGGTGGCATCTAATTTTTACAATGGACAAGTATCTAAAAGGTTTCAATGGTTTTTTAATAATTATTTGAGCCCGATACTATTACGATAGTATCAATTGTTTTTTTCAAAACATTGAAAACCATCGATGGCTCAACTATCAATCGTTTGACAGCTCTAGTTTCCAAAGGACAGACGGACCAACAAGATTTATCGATAAAATACACCTTCTAAACCGCAGAAATATACCTTCTGACTTTCGTAATATACCGTGTATATACCAAAGAAAATATTTGTCCTCAATTTTAACATTCGATTTAATATTATAAGCTTGAACAAACGAACACATATTTTCTACAATATAATTTTGATAACTGAAGTATTCCAATACACTTCAGGCTAAGACGGACCAAATGGGAAACCAAATGGGAGAGTGAGCGAACGATATATACGATCTAGTGTGTTTTTGTTTTATTGCAGCGTATCGGCAGAGAAACGGTATAATGACAATTTATAACTGTGCTTCTCAATCTAAATTGGTTTTGGAGTCTAGTGGAATACGAGCCTAAAATAATATTATATAAAATGTTTGGCTTGAGCACCCTTATTATTATACTATCGATATTTCCGATGATTAAGCCCGCCAAACTACGAACTTTGAATTATTAAAAAAAAAAAAGTTCTCGAGAAACTAGACGCCAAAGCTGTTTTTAGAACCACAAGCTCCCACCAAATTATGCTGCCCCAAGCTAAATCTCAAACATAATCTCAGATTACATGTAAAACTGAAACTGGCACTCGAGAACATCAAACTTGAAGTTTTCGCAGGTTATAAGAGTACAAGGCAGCAGAAATTTTAAATTGTGCATTTGTTGAATGGCATTTGTGACTAACAAATCCCTTTCCTTCGAGACCACAGAATTCTGATATATTAATATTTTCCGCAGCTCCTGAAAGACGACACAAAAACAAATATTAATATGACGCTTCAGCCATGTGCATAAACAAGATCTCATATAACTCCAAAAACCTAAATATACACATGTATGTATTTACATATAGCTCTTTGTAAAAAGAATCTCCGCCCACCCATCGCTTATGTTATATAGTTTTTCAGGAAATGCATTTAGGCGGAATACTTAAAGACGCTTAACTTTTATAAACAAAAATGTATTTGCGATAGCTTTAGGTAATAGTGAAATGCCAGGAAATCCAATTTGTACTAAAATGATGGCACACAACGCGTTACATATTGGAATTTCCACAGCATGTTTCGGGTTGGAGTGTGCGCTTATCTAGTTTTTACTGCCACAACAGGCTCAGGATGGACAACGGTGGCATGCCGGGCTCGGCTCCCTTGGAGAAACCTGCAATCACATTGAAAAACATTAATACGAAACAATTTACGAGCTGCTTCCAAGGCACCGCGTGCTGGCAAAAAAAAAAAACAAAAACATACCGAGATATAACACCATTGGCACGAATCCCCAGTGGAATGTCGTCTGGACTACACCGACGACAGCTCCCAGACGCTCCTTAACTCCCTCGGATAGCTGCATTATGTATATAATTTAGTTTTTTGGGCAAAGACTCTAACTTTAGTCAGATTTGTAAGATTTTTTAAAGATTATGAAATGCAGTGTGACCGCGGATTTAGCGATAAAATATATCGCCTGACCCTCAGAAATATACCGAAATATACTTTGTCATTATTAAAATATACCGTAAATATACTGAAGGACACGACTTTAAAACGGTTTAATATTACTAGCTAGTTAGAACAAGTTATTTTGGGCCACAGCCTAATTCTAGTGTTGATTAGTGTTATCAGTAATATATCGTTGAAAATTCCGATACATCGATGTTTTAAACCATCTGACCCTTAAAAATATACCCAAGTATACCTTCCCATTTTCTCATTTTGAAATCCGATTTAACATTACAAGCTAGTTATAGCTATATTACATTAGACTTAGCCAATTTCGCTGCGTAGAGAAGGATAGCATGAGAGACAAAATGCAACATTATTGTTCGTAGCCATCTCTAGACACGTCTAATGGCTTTCAGTCGAACAACTGAGGCAATACTTGAGACAAAATGATGTTTTCCAGCACAACATAGCCATAAAGCCAGCTTGACGGCATTTCCCAAAAAGCTATCTCTATTTTTCCATCTATTCAGTTAGCAAATGTCATATACCCATTAGGACTCATCAAAAATATCATTTAATTCGTTTAAAAGTTTCGTTTACAAAATAAATTAAATATGAAATAAAACAGCACGGTAATATACTGTGGAGTGCAACAAAAATTCGTTCACTGCGATGCATCGATGTTTGATCTACAACGTCTCGTTCTTGTCGGTTTTTTTGACCTTTTCTCCAGCAAGCATCTCCTGAATCTCTAATATCGTCTTGCCCTTCGTCTCGGGTACAAAGAACAGTGCATAGAAGAAGGACAGAACGGCAATGACCGTGAAAATCCAAAATGTCGGTCCCGGCCCAATCGAATCCTTCAGGATGGGGAACAGGAGCGTCACCATAAACGCCGAGAGCCAATTGCTGGTACCAGCAATGGAACCGCCCAAACTCTTGATATCCTCCGAGAACAGCTCGGCCATGACCAGCCAGGGCACGGGGCCAAATCCAATGGAGAAGAATACAATAAAGATGCAAATACTGACAATGGGCAGCCAGCCAAGGCCGATTACCGAATCTGGATTGCTTTCACTCATCTGGAAGTAGACGCCCATCAGGCAGGTGGTGATGGCCATAAAGACGCCAGAGATCAGCAGGAGGATGCGCCGACCGGCCTTGTCAATGATGGCAACAGCCACCAGTGTTGAGGTCACTTGAGTGACTCCAATGAGGATTGTGGACATGGTGCCGGTGAGACCGGCGCCCACATCCTCGAATATGGATGTTGAGTAGAAGAGAATGGCGTTGATGCCGGTCCACTGCTGGAAGATCTGCAGCAGAACAGATATGCCCAGACCCTTCCTGGTGATGGGTCGTCGTAGAGCAGTCATTATATTGATCTTGGGCTGATCATTCTGTTTCTGTGACTCATCGAGGATCTCCTTCAGTTCCTGGCTGATGTCGGCATCCTTGCCGCGCAGCCATTGGAGCGCTTTGGCGGTGTCCTCGTTGCGTCCCTTTATGGCCAGGTAAACAGGTGACTCCGGCATGAAGAAGTAAAATGCGGCAAAGATCAGCGGCAGAATGGAGCACAGAATGTTGATCGTAGTCAGCGGGAGAAAGGCACCCACCAAGTAGCCATAGAAGACACCGGATACGATCAGCAGCTGGAAGAAACTGCCAATCGTGCCGCGCAATGCTGTCGTTGAGATCTCCGTGCAGTACATGGGTGCAGTCACGCAGAATGCGCCGCCACACATGCCCAGGATGAAACGGCCAAAATACAGCATAGTCACATTATTGGCAAACAGCATCAGGACCCAGCCGACCATGTAGGGTGGAATCAGGGCCAACATAGTCGGCCTCCGGCCAATCCAGTCGATCATGAAGCCAATGGGTATGCAGATGACGGTGGCGCCTAGTGTCAGCAGCGCGGATATCCAGCCGAACTGACTCGAGGATATGTCAAAGCCGTAGTCCGAGTTTTCCGTGATCATTTTCTCCACCGGCGAGGACCAGCCGATAGAGGCGCCCATACACAAGGCGCCAAAACTGGCCGACAAGCCGGCTATATACTGTGGTAGTACCGATCCCTTGGACATTATGTTCTGTTCTCCGTGATGGAAATAATGGAACTGAATTTGACACGCAGACCGTTATTGGGCTTGACAAATTGTACTGAATGCGATAACCAAAGCGTCGACGCTGGCGCAGATCACAGCGTCGCTTGAGTCGGAGGCGTCACCGCTGGCAGATTGGGAAGCACTCGAAGTTGGAGAGTGTCGTAAATCAGATTCTACACTACAATTGTGGACATTTAGAGCGGAAGCGGGGGGAGGCAGGGATGTGAAAAGCGCAACTTCAACGTAACCAAAAGTGCCCAAAAACCAATTGGAATCTGAAACCGCTAATTAAATGGCTGTTGATATGCATGCACCCCCGCCAAACCACACATACACACACATATATGTATTTGTATTGCTATTGTCGATTGTAAGAACAATCAAGTGCCACTATAACAATCCGTTCAATGCCAGTCCAGCTATCTGGAGCTACTGATTACACTTTTGCGCCAAAGGGATGCTTCTTGACTATATATTTCAATTTGTTACGTTCCGAAATCATGTTTTATTTCATTATTGGAGGAATAATGTGTAGATATATATATTTTTTAAATTTTCCTCCGACATTTCGTTAAGATTTGTTCAATAAAGGATCACTATATCATATAGCTGGCATCGCCCAACAAATGTAGCATTTTATGTGCTTTAACATGACCATCACCTCAGTAAGACTTAGTCCCAGGTGGAACACTATAAAGCTGCCATAGGAAATTCCATTCCAAAAGAGTATTTCTTCTTCGGCGCTTAGCTTCATTTCCTAGGGCAAACCTTTTTCTATTTATTGAGTCGTGTGAAAGTAGATAATAACATTACCCACCAAAATAATTGAATGGCTGGGCGAGCTTAAATCGCTTGGAGTGCATCTAATCTGGCCACTAACACAACTCATCGCCAAGGCATCACGCCGAAAACACATGTAGGAACATTTTGAAAACTGTGACAAATTTCCTATGACAACGGTCACATGGCGGTCAAGTTATCAGGAATGTAGCGCCCTCATTGATGTTGATCGTTTGGATTTGGATTTTGTTTACGCGTATGGAACCCCACAGCAGTGGACCCATTCAAGCAGACCAGGTGGTAGCGGAGAACGTTCGGAGTGCTCGCCAGCTGATAAGCGTCTATCGTTTGATATAGATTGAAAATGGCCATTTGAAGTGTTCCAATGAAGCGAATCCGCTGTGCGGTCGGTGGTTTGGTTCCTTGTTTTGTGTTAATGCACTAGAGATGTTTTTGGCTAGATAATGAGCTGCACAACATTCCGCTTCAAGTAGGGCACCGAAGCCATGCGCCGATGATTTACAGTCAGGTGACAGTGCTTGCGTTGGTGCCTGCTCCACTCATCATATCCCCAGGATGGATGAGTGTTTTCGGGGTGCATTCAAGTCTTTATTACGTCGCATTACAAATGCAATACAAGAGTGTTTACAGTTTCAGTTTACCCGGAGGTACGTGCCCATAGCTGCAGGATGATCGAATTGGTGTTATATAACGAAACTGTGGGTGGGTACATCCAGATCCAGATTTGGATTTCTACTTCTTGCGCTCTGCCTCCTCCATGGCGCGCATCATTTTGGCATCATGTTTCTCGTGATGCTCCCGTATGGCACGCTGCAGCTCCTCGCGATGACTCTTGTGCTCGGGTGGATACAGTTCGCGCTTCTTTTTGGTCACCCATTCCTCGAAATATTCCGGTTGGTTGAAGATGTGAAACAGAGCTACCGGAAATGCCATGTACATGCCCATCTTGGCGACTTCGAGAACCCAGGTTCCCATTATGGAATTACTAGTCGCTATTTACGCAGAAATCTCTTGTAAAACTTAATTTCCAAATAAAATTTGTGTTTCTTTTGATGCGAAATTGTTGTCAACAAATGTCAGCTGTTCGACATGCCAGAAAGTGTTGGGTAAAGTACGGTGGAAATTTAAACCAGTGTTGGGCAAAAAATAAATATGCAGTTAAAAGTTCAAATATTTATTACGAATTAATGGAATTAATATAACGCTAAATAACCACCATAATAACATAGTATGTAATTGGATAGAAAATTACTTTTAATAAATGCAACAGAATAGAGTAATTTTCTGATTATATATTAATATATATGTATTTTTAAAATTATTGTTTTTTTTTTTTGCGTCGGCATGCATTTATAATGTAATATTCTTAGCTTAAAATGTAAAACGCGGTCAGTTACAAGGCGCGAACACGTGTCACACCGCAAATAATTTCACGGAAGCAATATTTTTGATGAGAGATGATTTTTTAAAACCGTACAACGGTTTTAACGTTAGTTTATGCAAAAGCTACACATGTAATATTTAAAGCTACAGGGCTGTTTCGCCTGGATACTCCTCGGGAGAAGTAATAAGCAGCTTTTTGGTGCGCACGTGATCGTCCTGAACATGCATGTTCTCCTTGTTTTCCGCATCATCTGTTATCAGTTGAGATTTTAGTGGTGTGCCGGCCGATCGTTTGCGACCATTTGTGGCGCTGGCACTGGCACTAGCACTGGCATTGCCCAAGGGCGATACCATTGCAGCAGGTTCATTGCCATCCAAGCAGTACAGCAAACTGGGACTCAGCTCGGCCTCATCGAAGTCATCGATGTCTTGGGTGGTGCTGGCTCCACCGAAATCATCCGAGCGACTGGCAAACGACAAATCCGCCGGGCTGGCAGTCAGCACGCTGCGTGTGAGCAGATATTCCCTAAAGATCAAATTAGAATGTGAGATCCATGCGGAATCTGCTATCTGGCTATTGCGACTAACTTGAAATCACTGGACAGAGCGTTCGGAGGCTTGGACTCCTCATTGCTGTTGCTGTTGCTGCTGCTGCACGTTCGCTGTCTGGAGCTGAGCAGGCCATAGCCCTGCTGATGTCTCAATATCTCCGCATAGCCGCCAAGGGAAGTAGCGTCCTCACTGTGCAGAGAGGGTGGTTCGCGCTGCTTTACGGGCGTCCCGGCTAGCGAGTCCTGTTCATCCTGCTCGGATAAGCTCAGGTTTAGCTGCTTGTCGCCATTGCCGCCCAAGGCATTGAGCAGCATTACGGGTTTGCGGGAGCGTGGCGTCATAATAGATTCCTGCAATGAAATCAGGCATCAAAAATGGATCTTTCACATGGGAATCTATTCCTATTGCGCCCACCTGCATGGACTTGGGCATGCGCTGCGTCGATTTAGTGATGGGCGACATTGAACGGCGGCCCATGTGGAGAGATGGTGTGCTCGTTATAAGATCCATGTTGCGACACACGCTGCTCTGCAGGATCTGCTGGTAGCCCACGGTCATGGCAGGCAACTCATTGGAGCTGCCATTTGACTCTGACAATGTATCGTCATCGTCATCGACCCCATCCTCATCGTCATCGTCGTCATCGCTACCGTCCACGTCCTCCAGAAGTGGAGCACCTGCTGCCGACGGGCAATGCTTGCCCTCATCCCCACTGGGACGCCGCTTTAGGGTGGCCGATACACTGCGCACCAATCGTTTGGTGGTTTCCGGGGTGTTGAACGGGAATCTTAGATTGCCCATGCTCACGCCCTTCATCAATTTGCGGGTTATCAACTTGCCCATGTGGTGGCTGCTGCTGCAGCTGGCCGCCATTGAGCTGGACACCTCCACAATGGGGGTGAGTGCTCCGTCGCCGTCGTCGCTTTGCTCTTCGCCTGGAACCTGGGGCAGGATACTTGAGAGGTTAGGCTCCGATTTGTAGCGCGTGGATTGCTGCACGGGCGTACAGGGATTCGAGTACTCCTCGACCTCGATCAGGCGATGCTCGTCCCAGGCCACGCTCTTCTTGTCGATCAGCTGCTTGGCAGCCGCTGACATTATCTTCATTGGCGTCATACAGCAACTGGCATCGATCTCGTCTTCTTCTCGGACAGCAGCCACACCATCAGGCAGCTGATTCGCTTGTTGGCGACTGGCGGAAGCAGAAATGCTGCAGCTGGAGCTGCTGTCCGAGGACGAGGACTCAATTTTGAGCGATGTGGATGAGATGGATTTCTGAAGCTGATGCAAGGGGTTAGTAGCAATGGAGGTGAAGGTGGCGCTTGTGCCCTTCGATGAGGTGGGTGTCGGTGGTGTGGGACTCTGGAACAGCACACGCAGCTTGGGCTGCTTCACATGCGACAAATTGGGCGTCTAGGATACGATGAAGAGACATGCGGTTAGTGACACAAAATGATATAAATGCTTGGCAAAATGTTTCTCTTGCGACTCACCTCCGTGTGAAAGCTGGGGGGAACTCTCTTGGGGGTGCGCGACATGAGGCTCTTGTGGAAGATGTGCTTTTTGATGGAGTCCCCCAAGGACTTGGCACTGCGAGTGGCCTCGTTGTTCTTCAGACGATTCATTACCACAACCTGCAGAGGTGTGCCTTAAACGAGCGAATGGAATCAGTGAGGGCAGTGCCACAATGGAACAGACAGGAGAGTTGAGGCGACAATGGGCTACCTTGTCCGTTTTGCTTGTTGAACTGCTTGATGAGTCGACGCTTCTTGGAGGACTCCGGCAGGCTCTGAATGTGAGCGTACAGCTGCGCCAGCTCAGTGTCCGTGTTATTGCTGTTGTTGGCCGCTGCAGTGGCGGCACGGTCTACAAAAGTGTACATCGTGTTGACCGTCGAGACGTCCGAGATGGATTCGTCGAGCGTTTGCTCCGGTGACATGGTTTTCTTGCGTTTGCGCTCAAGAAAGTACGCCCGAATATCGATGGCCAGCTTGCCGGGCACCTCGAAGATCTCCAGGCCCTGCCGAATCATGTACGACACAATGCTGGACATATTCTTTGCCGTGTAGTGGAGCACCTCGGGCGGCAGTTGCCTGGGGCAGATCAGGTGCGGCGTAAACAAGGTGGCCAGATTCTCTGCGGTCATCTTGTTGCTCTCCTCACGCTCTGCCACCGCATGCAGCATTTCTATAATGTGCTGCAGAAGCTCGCGATGCTCTTCGGGGAGCAGGAGGAGGAGCAGCTGCACCGAATTGAGAAGATGCCGCTGACGCTCTGCGGTAGCCGCCACCTGACCCCCAATCAGTGCCTGGCTAAGCGGCGCTATCTGCAAATGTGCCGGATAGTGGGCGTCTGTGAGCAAAGGCTCTGGCAACTCGGCCAGGAAGCTCTTGAAAACGGTGGCACAGTCGTGTGCCGAGAATCCCGTCAGCTCCAAATCCAGGGGCAGGTCATGCTGGATGTGCATCCTTAGCTCGTTCTGTCGAGAAACGGCTCCTGTCTTGCGGAAGAGTCCCTCCTGGGTGAGATCTGAGAATAGGCCACTCCGCCATTAGAATAACCATGTTTCGCCATCCTCTCTGCCACTTACTCTTCTCCAGCATGAGAAAATCTTTCAGCTCCTCCAGATGCATGAGGAAGCCTGCATCGATCTGCTGCTGCAGCGTTTCCGTGGGACTGTTGCCCGCCGACTTACTGCCTGCCCCAGCCGTGCATCCTGTGGCAGGTCCGCGATTCTTCTTGGACAGGCGATTCCACTTTTTTAGCTTGCCCTTATCTTCGTAGACGATCTCATGGCACGGCAAGTCAAACCTGCAACACATACAAGTGGTAAGTACTATATTTTGGTGGGCGGGGCGAGTCGCTTGTGACGTCTTACTCGTCGGTGTTCAGTTCCAGCTCGAAGGAAAGGTGCATGCGCACCAGAGACTTGTACTTTTCATAATTGCAGCTGCGCATGCGTGTCACCAGGTCGCGGTCGTTGATTTCATTGATGTTAGCGTATTCCATGTCCATTGTTCGATCCGATCCGCTTACACGATACGCGAGGGCGTATACAGGGCGACAGCAACAAAAACAACAACAACGAACGAAAAGGATTTCCGTAGATTCCGTAGACCGAAGCAGAACACTCACTGGCTGGCTGACTTACTTTAACAAATTTACGTTTTCTAGCAGTACAATTGAGAGGGTTTCTTGCTTGACAGCATATTTGTTGATTGCTTTGCTGGTGGAATAATTGCGGAAAATTAAGCGAGACGAGACGCGCTGCAGAAACCAAACCGCCAGTGTTACAAAACTATACCGATCAGATATACCGTCAGAGCCACAGAAAAATACCGAAATTACCATATAATTTTCAAATATACCGAAGAAAATGGGCCCAAATTTTACCTGTTTTGATTTTTGGATTATTAAATTGTGTGCATTGTGTGTGCAAACGCCAGACCCATGACGAAGAATTAGTAGCTGTACACTAATACTTCTCTTAATCACTTTAATAAGTCGAAATTCCAAATTTTACTTTTTATATGCAACGTTTACCAACACTTATGAGTGTCTGAAAAATACCGATACTTAGTTCGTTTTCTTCCTCAGTATATTTACGGTATATTTTATCGATAAGCAGACGCGTTTTTACTATTGAAATAAAATTAATTTAATATTTGCGTATCAAAATGGTATTAATAACGCCAGTTTCCGCGCCGGAACATGGACTGCTGTACACGGCCAACAATATCAAGCTCAAGCTGGGCGACAATATTGTGGGCGAGGGCACCGTTTACATAGCTCAAAAGTGAGTTTGCTTGCCAAAATGCCGGCGTCTGCAATTGTTATTGTCTCGGTTTCAGTTCTCTCTCTTGGCAACCAAGCGACCTACCCGACGGCATATCCATCGACTGGAAGCAAGTGAGCCTACATGGCATTTCGTCGAACCCAAGGAAGTGCATTTATTTCATGCTGGACCACAAAGTGGAGTGGAACGGCGTGTATGGAGGAAATCCGCAGCAGCCAATCGTCAATGGGCAGAACGGTGGCGGGGCAGAGGCAGACGTTGACGAGGGCAACGGAAGCGATGAGCACGATGAAGACGATGAGAACTTTGAGGATGCTGTGGACGAGCAGTTTGAGGAAGTTACAGAGTGCTGGCTGCTGCCCGAGGATATACACACAGTCGATACGATGTACCGCGCCATGACTACTTGCCAGGCCCTGCATCCGGACTCGGCTGACAGCAATTCGGAGGACAGCGACCCCATGGAAGATGCTGGTGGAATGGTCCTGGAGGACCAGGATATGGCCGACGATGCTCTAACACTTGGCCGCAACGGAGGAGAAGTAGGAGGCATGCAGAACTTGACCCTGGACGACGACGATGAGCGCTTCGAGGATGCCGATGAATGAACTAACACAGATACTAAACTCCGTATTTATATTTGGAATCTTATATAAATTTAAGACTAAAGTGTATGAAATGTTAAGATTATATTTGATTAGCTTTTGGAAAACTATATAATAAACGCTGTAAGCGCGCTAAAGAGCTAATTTTCCTTTTTGCTTTCCAGGTTTTGTCTGATTTCTGCCTCCAAATGCTCCTCGCTTATGGGTTCGGACAGCTGCAAGAACAGCGAATATGTTTATATTTGTCACAGTGGAAAGCTTCATGTACCTATGTACTTACCGCCTGGGCCACATCTGCCATGAGCAAAGCCTGTCTGTAGGGATCGCCATTTGATGGGACTTTATCGTAGTTCCAGTAGGTGAACTCGTCAAAAACACCGGTAAGACGCAATTGACGGTCCGCAGACTCGTTCAAAGGCTTCTCGGTCTCCTGCAGGACTAGGCCCTTATAGCCTTCGGGCACTTGTATACGATCGCCCACCAAAGGATATCCGCGCAAGGCATTGGTCAGGATCCCCGATCCGTACTCGGGTGCTTCACGTGTATAATTGCTGAAGTACGTCTCGACATTTGCTTCGCCGTCGCCATTTACTTTAGCTGGCAAATAGTGCAACTGCAGGGGCTTGCTTTTAGCCAAGTTTTTCCCATTGAAATCCAAGGTAATCGACATTATGGATTAGAGAAAGAAATTAAATTGTAAACAAAACCAGCGACGTGCCGCCAAAACTATGCACTCCAAGTGTTGTGAGTCGGAAAAAATAGCCTTTTCCGTGGAAAAAATAGTCAGCTTGAAAACAAATTAAGTAAATTTATTCATAAAGTTCCATTATTTTTTATACTTTGATAAATTCGACATTAGTATCGGACTTATAAGCATATCCATAATTATATGCAGGTAAAATGGTGCTAGCAATCGTACTTTAGAAAGAGCCAGATCTAGCTATTTAATAGCTGATTTTGCAACAGTGGTAACAAGTGCTCAACACGGGCTCTTGGCTGATGAAATACGTTTACCACCACTGAAACACACCAACAAAAATGGCGTTCGTAGAACTAATTTCTGCGATACATTAGTTTATAAACGTGCGCAAAAGCAACGGACAGGGCAGTTAATAATGTAGTTTAACTAATCAAAAAGTGAAAATCCATAACGAATGGCTGCAGAAGCATAGCACGCGCTTTATTAACAAATTCTCGTGGTTTTGCTCCCCTCCGTACCTCCCTCGGTCGTTGGCTGCCTTCCCTTCCGTTGCTCGCGTTCGCCGTGCGTAAAACGAAAGAATATTTATTGCAATCGCGCTGAAATAGAGCACACTACATATAGACGAGCGTACATATAAGCACATGTGTATGGTTTATAATAAATTTAAAGTGAATCGAGCCACCAAATTTGCCTCAATTGATTATTATTGCAAATTTTTGCATCACACACACACACACGCCCGTACAAATACAAATGCAAATGCGAGGCGCACCCATACAAAAGCAGCAGCTAAATTAAAGTTAATTAAACGCCTAGTGGAATTTAATATAATACAATTTATGAAACACATAATAAAGTTAAGCCTCAGTTCCCTTGCCTTGCAAGAGAAGGGCGTCTGTGTCCATGTGTGTGTGTGTGCGTATGTGAGAGAGCGAGACATGTGCGTGTGAATTGTTTTCAAAGCAGCCGCGGCAGCAACAACGGTAACAGCAAAGCAGCAAAAAAATTTCGGGTGAGTTCGTTTTCGTGCATATTTTTGTTGGCTACCTGCAAACCCTGCCCTACCTGTCACCTGGCTCACCTTGCTGGAGCAAAAGAAGGGTGCGGAGAGAAGCGGGCGCTATCAAAATTGTTTGTATAATGGCGAATTTATTGATAAAATAACCTTTCTTTGGTACGGTTCTATTGCAGTTTTGTTAATAACTAACAAATCGGTGACAGCATGCATATTTGTGTGTGCATACAATGACACAAAGCCGCAACTGCAGCTGCAACAACAAAAACAACAACAACCCGCGCCAAGGCTATCGAAAGCAGCAACAAGAACTGCAACAGCAGGGGGAGAGGCAGCAGCAGCAGCAGCTACCTTCGGCAATGAAATTATATTTTGCTGCGTCCACCTCCACTACTACCATCTCCTCCTCCCACTCCTTCCTTCATCACTACTACCCCAGCAGCAGCAGCAGCAGCTAGAGAAACAAACATGCTGCTTGGTCGCCGTCTAATTGTCGTATAAATAATTAATCGGCATACAAAATAAATGCACGTATATTTACAAAAGCAAAACAATACCAATTAAAAGTCGGAAATTATGAATAAATTGGACTATCCACGTCGCAATGGTACACACAAAGTTCGAATAACGAGTAAGTGCCAAAAATATATGTTACACGATCTTAACTTTGCACTAAACATTCGCATTTTCCATTTTACAGTATTGTGTGCTCGCAACTTGGCTCGCAAGGATTTATTTCGTGAGTAGTTAACAATATTTTTTGTGTGGCACTCAAATGGGAAAGTTCTTGGGATTCGTGGGATTCGATCCGTTAGGCGCCACCACGCGTGCTTCATAAACATATTTTCTAGTGGTTTTCCCCTTTCCCCTCACACTCTTTCCGATAATCTACGAGGTGTATGCATATGAAATGAAGTATTGCTAAATTTAGCACTTCCTTTTGTCTACTTTCATTTTTCAACAAATTGCGGCACTACTTTGCCCCCCCATCAAATAAAATGTGTGAATGTCTGAATATCTGAATGTGTGTGTCTGTCTGTCTGTCTGTCTGTATCGTTGTGCCATATCTGAGCTCTTTTTTTTCCATATATTTTCTGTTTAGATATAACAAAAGTGATTATTACTAATTTGCTTTCATTGCGGGCTCACTCGCACACACACACACGCAGGGGCACGAGGCATACATTTTTCTTTCCCAGTATTTTTGTTATTTATTATTTTCGCTCCCTCTCGTTTGCTTGTCCACAATTTTTTTTTTTACACATCGCTGCACTTAAATCACGCTCTGAGCATTGCCCAACCACTGCCTCAACAGCCAATATATAGCATACGCTCCCAAAGATGGGATTGTAGCCATGATGATTCCAATGTGGAACGTGGAACCACCATATCTATCCACAGAAAAGTGTCCAGTCCAGTGTCTTTCTATCTGCTGCTCTTGGCTTACATTCGTGGCGGGGAACTCTTTTTTTTTTTCCTGCCATACTTTTGTTTTATCGACACTTTCTGATTAGATTTGAGCTATATACACTCGAACATTTTATGGGGCGCACTGCCGCCTGCACTGTCATCAGTGGGAGAAACCTTGGAAAATCGTACCTTTTGGGTTTTTACTTGACGCTTTTGCTAATTTTTGACGATATAAATAGATCACTAAACGAATGTGAGACACTATGGCAGTGAGCAATCGATTCGAATGGGGTTTTTTGATGAACCCAGGCCTAGGCACAGTAAGCCTTGCCTTATGCTTATCAAAATACTTATAGTTAATACCCGCCCGACCCACAAGTCGGAACAAATCGGTACAGATAATAGCATCTGGAAAATGATATCCTTACAGCTGCTGCGGCAGCAGCTGTTAAAAAATTACAAGATTTCTCTGATCAGAGCACTTGCGGATGGAAAGGGGTCGTCCCACGTTGGCAAGAATCCCAGCAAAAAGCCACAGGAAAGTGACGAGAATTTGCAGCAACGAAAGGCACCGAAATTTCCATTCGACAAGATCCCACCAACGCCATTAAAATTCCCCGTTGAGGAAGAGAAGGAGGAGCACCAAGCGAACCGCTTGCTCGAAATGTTTAAGAAGCGCCAGGGAAAACTAAAGAAAGATCTGATCGTCAATGATACGAAGAAGATATACGAGTTGAGCAGATTGAAGCCCCTCGCTCACTTCCCAGTGGAGTCGCCAAAGAGTTCCGCAGGCCCGTCCACATTTCCCGTCAACCAAATGCTGCTGGAGACCGAAGACGATCGACTGGAGGAGGTGCTTCATGAGGCTGGCAAGAAGGTTGAGAGGGAGACGCGCGGACGCCTGGCTCGGAATTGGCCTCCGGTGGCACAAAAAGCAAAGGGTCCAGCAGGTCCACCTCCTCCTCCTCCTCTGCCTGCTGCAGCCAAAGGAGGACCCTCGAAAAGAGCACCTCCCCGCAAGGCAGGACCTCTGCCACCCAGTAAACCGCCCCCGGGCACACCCCCGCCACAAACAAAGAAAACATTTGGCCCGCTGGCCGATGCCGATCGCATCTTTACCAATCTTTACGGCCGCCACGACTGGCGCTTGAAGGCCGCCATGAAGCGCGGCGACTGGTACAAAACCAAGCAGATCCTGGAGAAGGGTCATCTGTGGATCATCAACGAGATGAAGACCTCGGGGCTGCGCGGCCGCGGAGGTGCCGGCTTCCCGAGCGGTCTCAAGTGGTCGTTCATGAACAAGCCACCCGATGGAAGGCCCAAGTTTCTTCTGGTCAATGCCGATGAGGGGGAGCCGGGCACCTGCAAGGATCGCGAGATCCTGCGCCACGATCCGCACAAGCTGGTGGAGGGCTGCCTGATAGCGGGCCGTGCGATGGGCGCCAACACCGGATACATCTACATCCGAGGAGAGTTCTACAACGAGGCGTGCAACCTGCAGTACGCCATCCTGGAGGCCTACAAGGCGGGCTACCTCGGCCCCAATGCCTGCGGCTCCGGCTTCGAGTTCGATCTGTATGTGCAGCGGGGTGCGGGCGCTTACGTGTGCGGCGAGGAGACCTCCTTGATCGAATCCCTGGAGGGGAAGGCGGGAAAGCCGCGCAACAAGCCCCCCTTCCCGGCGGACATCGGAGCCTTTGGCTGCCCCTCGACGGTCACCAATGTGGAGACGGTGGCGGTGGCCCCCACCATCTGTCGCCGCGGCGGCAAGTGGTTCGCCAGCTTCGGACGCACCCGCAACTCGGGCACGAAGCTCTTCAATATCTCTGGCCACGTGGAGCGGCCCTGCACCGTCGAGGAGGAGCTGTCGATGCCCACCCGCGAGATCATTGAACGGCATGCGGGCGGCGTCATCGGTGGATGGGACAATCTGCTGGCCATTATTCCGGGCGGCTCGTCCACTCCATGCATTCCCAAGGAGGACGCCAGCAAGGCCATCCACGACTACGACGGACTCATGGCCGTGCGCTCCTCCCTTGGGCACCGGCGCCATCATCGTGATGAACAAGCAGACGGACATCATCAAGGCCATCGCCCGCCTGGCCGCCTTCTACAAGCACGAGAGCTGCGGCCAGTGCACCCCCTGCCGCGAGGGCCTCCACTGGGTGAACCTCATCATGCAGCGCTTCGTCACCGGACAGGCCCGAGTCGGGGAGATCGACATGCTCTTTGAGATCACCAAGCAGATTGAGGGCCACACCATTTGCGCCCTGGGCGACGGAGCCTCCTGGCCGCCCCAGGGCCTCATCCGTCACTTCCGTCCGCTCATCGAGGAGCGCATCAAGGAGCGTGCAGCCTGCGATGCAGCAGCAGCAGCAGCCGCTTCCTAATTGTCACCGCTTTCATTATTCCATTATTGCCGGAGTGTTTTTGTTTTGTTTCTTTTGTTTTATAATAATCCAATAAACAAGAGATGACACACGGCACACGGCATACGGCACACGGCACAATCTTCATGCTAGGCTGCCTGTCTGCCCGTCTGGCCCCTTAGCAGCGAGTGAAAGTGCAGCCAGTCGTGCAACTTCCTCTTCAATGCGACGCGCGTCGCCGACTGGGGCACTGTGCAGGGAACTGTGCCACCTAGCGTAAAGCCAAAAAGGGTTGAAAATCGGACAAGACATGTGGCTGACGCCAGTCGAAAGCTTCTTTCTTTTTACTTTTCGCGCTCTTCGTCCATGAAGTGAGTGTCTGTTCGGGTTGCTTAGCTGCGTAGGGCAAATGTCCCATGAGAACCCTGCCAAACGAAGCAAACAGTGGAGATGCTGAAAGCCCGAAAGAGAGTATCTGCTTTGGCTTTTGTGTGTGTGTGTGGCATGAAATCAATCGGAACAGCTGTATGGCGACAACAGCAATGTACATGAAGGGGAGGGGAGGGATATGCACCTCCGTTTCAAATTACACGAGCCACATAAGCATAGTCAGCGGAAGGTTTACTGTATCCCGCAGCAAAAAATCCTGGGCGATGGGGATACTCAAGACGATTACTCCATTGGCTGTGCATTTATTTAGCTGGGCACTGAGTCTTGTTTAATTCCCTTGGAATGCCCGTGTGCTTAATTTATCAAGACTCCATGCGGGGCACCACATTACACTATCGGCTGTGGGACACGATGATAAGCAGCGTTGGGACAGCGACAGCGACAGCCACAGCGGGTGGGAGGGTGCTTGATTTGATAGCAGAGATTGGCAGATAGTCCCCTGACTAAATGACACACTTGGCCCCAATCATTCGCCCACCGATCTGCACGGTAGATATGTACACAACAGATAGGTTTAGGTTGGAGCATTGTTCAGATTCAGATACATATTCAGATTTAATTAATTTAATTCATCCATAGGGATTGAATGGCGGTGTGGTGGGTATCTGTGGCATGGATCCTTGTCGTGGCTGTGTCCGTGCTCGGAAGCGGTTCGCATCGAATGGTGAGGCTTCTCCTCCTGTGGCCAGGGCCAGGAACAGGGCCACCAGAAAGCCCAGCAGATGCAGCCAAGTGGTAGACATTTTGTGGACTGTTGGAAGACTGTAGGAATGATGCTCCAAACTGCTGATTGTTTCTGCTCTTATATACGATTCTGATCACATGGGGGGGGGATGGCCCCCATTTGAGAGCGATAACCCCTGGCGCCTGGCATCGAGGGGAACCTCACAATCACAAGGGGAACTTCTGCTGCCTCGGCTGCTCCCCCAAACGATTAATCTCTGCCTCTGTGGTGACCTCCTCCACGGGGGAGAAGATTATTGCTGGTGTTGTCCTCTGCTGGAGTTCCAGGCAGAGTGGATTTATCTGCAGACGCTGTGTGAAGCCAGGATGCCTGTGGGGATACGTGTGTCCCTGCAACAGTAGCAACAATAGCAGCAGCAGCAGCAGAAAAGTAACAGACCTGAAGCGATGCATGCTGCAAATTAACTAAAAAGGGAACGAACTTCTGCCTCCATTGGGATGTGTAGATGCAACACTCTCGATGTGTGTTTCCCATTCAGATTTGAGGCACGCAAGCGTACCATTTAAATATATATCATTGACAATTATTGACAATGCAGAAGCAGATTGGATGAATCGTTTAATGGCTAATCTTTGACAATTGTTTTGATTGTTGCTGTTTGCAGGCCTCCCCGATCCCTTTGCCAAGGTCCAGGTGGATGGCACTGGTCAGGTGTACTCGACAGAGATAAGCAAATCCTCGCTGGACCCCAAATGGAATGCGCACTACGATCTGTTCCTGGGCCTGGCCGATGCCATCACCATAACCGTGTGGAATCAGCGAAAGATACACAAAGGCAGCGGCTTCCTCGGCTGTGTAAGGATACCCGCCTTCACCATTCAAAGCCTCAAAGGAGCAGGATGTAAGTATCCCTCACCCTCACCCTCACCCTCTCTCTCTCTCTCGATTCGTTACTAATGATAATTCTTTGGACTTTCAGTTCAACGCTTGGATTTGGGCAAACTATCGCCGGACGACGATGAGCTGGTGCGTGGCCAGATCATTATATCGCTGCTGTCGAAGGATGGCCCCAGCAGTGGCAATCCCCTGGCCATTGTGGGGCCCAGCGGCGATGTGCGTGGACCCTCCGAGGATGACTCCTCGGAGGACAGTCTGCCCGAGGGCTGGGAGGAGCGGCGCACCGACAACGGACGCATCTACTATGTGAACCATGCCACCAAATCCACCCAATGGGACCGACCCCGGCAGCCGGGCGGCGGCGGCACCTCACCGCAGCAGCGCCACCACAATGGCAACAATAGCCACGGCCACGCCCACGCACACGGGGATAGACAGGCGCCGGCGGGTCCCACGCGCTCCACGACCTGCACCAATCTGTTGAATGGCGGCAATCGTAGTCGAGAGACGTCTGGGACGGGGTCGGACGAGCGACGCCACTCCACGGAGATCCTGTCCAGCGTCGGCAAGGAGAACACCAGTCCCACGACGCCAATGGCCTCCACACCTGGCAAGAAATCCTCCTCCACGACCTCCACAGGCGGTCGCACCTTGGAGGCGCGCAGCGGCAACGAACCGGCCACGCCCACAAGCAGCACGACGACGACAACGACGGCGGGGACGGGTCGCCTCCACAGCAACAACGACAATCACGTGAATCATGTGAAAACGCCAAAGCATCAAACGAATGGCCACAGCCATGGCTCCCATGCATCCCCTGGCGAGGGCACGTCCACATCGCCTACGGGTCAGCAGAACTATGTGAACGGAAATGCTCAAAGTGGAACAGGAATAGGGACAGGGAGTGGGAGTGTGGGTGGGAATGGAAGCTTCCAAGCGGCCCAGCCACAAAGCGCCAGCAATGGCTGGACACAGGAGGAGACATCAGCAACGACAGCGACAACGACGCCACCCAGGCATAATCAGAGCCAGAGTCAGAGTCCACCCGCAACGAATGCTGCCACATCCCCGGCGGCAGCTACGCCCGCCGCCAATGGAAACACAGTTCACAGTCCGAATGCAAACAGCCAGCCGGGTGGACAGCCAGGCGGCGGCAGATCCTACACTGCAGCGACCCCTGGCCAGCGTTCACAGCGTCGCAGCTCTCGGCAGCAGGGTGGCGATGAGTCCTCCACGCGGCGTCGCTCCTCGCGCGGCACCCGCAACGGAGGCAGTGCTGGAGGAGGCGGAGGGGGAGGATCTGGACAGAGACTAGCATCGGCTGCCATTGCAGCGGCTAATCAGGCGGCGCGTCCCTTTCTCGATCTGCCCTCCGGCTACGAGATGCGCACCACGCAACAGGGCCAGGTGTACTTCTATCACATACCCACGGGCGTGTCCACGTGGCACGATCCGCGGATACCGCGCGACTTTGACACCCAGCATCTGCCGCTAGACTCGATCGGGCCGCTGCCCAGTGGCTGGGAACAGAGAAAAACGGCCTCCGGACGGGTCTACTTTGTGGACCACAACAATCGCACCACACAGTTCACGGATCCGCGGCTCAGTGGCAGTCTCCTGCAGCTGATTCGTCGGGGACCTGTGCCGCCGACTGGAGCAGCAGTTCCTGGCGCTGCCACACCAACGACGACAGCGACAGCAGCAGCGGCTGGCACACCCACGACCAATCCGACGTCTGCATCCAACCAGCCAGCTACGCCTGGCCCCGCACCTGCCCCACCAACAGCAGCGGCTGCAGGAGCAGGTTCTACGACAGCAAACACGACAGCAACAACGATAACGAACACCCCGCATCGCATTTGTCCGGAGGGGCTGCCGCAGGGCCTGCTCGAGGGGGCCGACTTGCTGCCAAAGTACCGCCGGGATCTGGTCGGAAAACTACGCGCCCTGCGCACCGAGCTGCAGACGATGCAGCCGCAGTCCGGCCACTGCCGGCTGGAGGTGTCGCGCAACGAGATTTTCGAGGAGAGCTATAGACTGATAATGAAGATGCGGGCCAAGGACATGCGCAAGCGCCTGATGGTCAAGTTCAAGGGCGAGGAGGGTCTGGACTACGGCGGCGTGGCCCGCGAGTGGCTGCATCTGCTCTCCCGTGAGATGCTGAACCCGCAGTACGGCCTGTTCCAGTACAGTCGCGACGACCACTACACGCTGCAGATCAATCCCGATTCGGGCGTGAATCCGGACCATCTCTCCTACTTTCACTTTGTGGGCCGCACCCTGGGCATAGCCGTGTTCCATGGCCATTGCCTGGACGGGGGCTTCACCACGCCCTTCTATAAGCAGCTGCTGAACAAACCCATCACGCTGGGCGACATCGAGGGCGTCGATCCGGAGCTGCACCGTAGCCTCACCTGGATGCTGTAAGTGCCGCAGATCAGTCCTTAATCTGTCTTGATCCATCGTAAACCTTGTGTATCTTTTTATTCGTTCTGCAGGGAGAGCAACATTAGCGGCATCATCGAGTCGACATTCAGCGTGGAGAACAATAGCTTTGGGGCTCTGGTGGTGCACGAACTGAAGCCCGGCGGCGCCGCCATACCCGTCACGGAGGAGAACAAGCGCGAGTACGTAAAGCTCTATGTGAACTATCGCTTCATGCGCGGCATAGAGCAGCAGTTTCTGGCACTGCAGAAAGGTCTGTACATCTGTGCATCCGTACATATGATTCGCAATCACAGATCGATATCAATCCCCTCCCTCCGACTGAATCTCTTATTGCAGGCTTCTGTGAGCTGATACCCAGCCATCTGCTGCGACCGTTTGATGAGCGGGAACTGGAATTGGTCATTGGCGGCATCTCGAGCATCGATGTCAACGATTGGCGCAACAATACGAGACTGAAGCACTGTACGAACGAGACGACGCAAGTGCTGTGGTTCTGGCAGGTGCGAAAGGATCTCTCATACCTTGTACATAAAGTAGTAAAGTACTAATGTGTTTTATTGTGTTCCCCTCCATTCAGGTGGTCGAGTCGTACAGCTCTGAGATGCGAGCACGTCTGCTGCAGTTTGTGACGGGCTCGTCGCGGGTGCCGTTGCAGGGATTCCGTGCGCTGCAAGGATCCACGGGTGCGGTGGGGCCACGCCTGTTCACAATTCATCTAACCGTCGATGTGCCCACACAGAACCTGCCCAAGGCGCACACCTGCTTCAATCGGATCGATCTGCCGCCCTACGAGAACTATCAGCTGCTCTGCGATAAGCTGACTCAAGCGGTGGAGGAGACCTGTGGCTTTGCCGTGGAGTAGGGACCAACAGATCGATCGAATCCAGAGACACCGCCCCACACACCCAAACCATACACCCGATCCACGCATATGCAAACACATAGGCACCATTAAATAAATATACACCAATACATATACACAAAGGCACATGCGAGGAGGACGCGTATATCAAAATTCTATGGATCTTGATTCCTGCTGATTATACATACCTTTTTTGACTATTTAATTTGTTTGTTGCTGTTTAATCGTGTGTGCGCTGCGCATTTTGCAGTTGAAAATCAAAAAATCAATTATTAAGCGAGCATGTACGGACTCTCATCTTATACATAGTTACCAAGTGCATATATACATATACATTTATATATATATATAATATATATACACCCACACACAACTCCCTCCCTCCCCTAAAGCGTTTATATATTATATATACATCTGTATTTGTATCGTCTGTGCAACATCATCAGCATGATCACCACCCTCCATACCTACCCCCCCAGGGCCTTTGTTCGGTTACGTCGTGGCGCATGTTATAAATTGTAGTTTAAAATATTACGAAACCAATTATACATACAAATATTATACATTGATTATACATACATACATATATATATCATAGTTGATAATTAGGCATTAAAAACAAATTTTAATTAATTGTAGGCATTGGACCGGCAATTCTCTGTGCTTTTGTTTAGTTTAATATATATTTTTGATGTTTATTAATTACATTTTGTACATTTATAAAAACCAATCGAGAATTCACTGCTAAGTTTTTAATTATTGTTTAAATTTTCCTAAATACGCACCACATAACACGCTCATCGACACACCCACACACACACAAGCATGATTATTTTATAAGTATTGAAAACACTATATGATGGCAAAACAAAACACTTGAAAAATTACTCAATTCGTAAATTAGTTATTTTTTAAATAAATGCAAATTATTTAAATTAAATTACATTTTGCGTTGTTTTTGATTTCTTTATTGAAATTTTCGTTTTGCCCGGTTCGGTTCGCCACTTATGCCAAAATCAAAACAATTACGGATCAAATCGCATACATATACACACGTACATATATATTTACATCAGTTTTTAATCGAAACGAATTGGACAAATTTCTAGAAGGTGATATTAGTGAAAATTTTTAAATGTCTTTAATCTTTAATTGAAGCGAAACAATTGGTAGTTATTTAAGAGCCCCCAGCCCCAGAGCCTCCCTATCCCCCATTCCCTAGCCCACCATACAAACCCGAAATGTGTATTGCATATGTGAAATCTATTGATTTATATAGAAATTAGCCATAAACAAGGTACATACATACAACACAAATCGATCGTTAACTTTTAGCTTTAGCGAGCTGTAGGATGTGAACCACTAAGAACTCTGAAGCAGAAACGGAAGCCCTGTAAACATTGACAAGGACTCTGCTCCGATAACCAAAAGGGATTAATAAATAAATGAGATTGAGCCTTATAAACCATGTATTTAAATTCAAACTTGGAATTTCGACGACACTCAATGGGAAAAGTTCTGACAGGCCCTCAATGCGTAGGTTGACAAAAGCCGACTTTAGTCGTCCAATGAACAACTGCCGAAATAGCTCAGTTGGGAGAGCGTTAGACTGAAGATCTAAAGGTCCCCGGTTCAATCCCGGGTTTCGGCAATGAAAACTTTTTGCTATTTTTATAGTATATACTCTACATGTGTATTTTACTGTACACATACACTAGTATGTATTTTCAAAACCCTAAAAAAATTTAGCGAATACCAAATTGGTCATTTGGCATCGATTTAACATCTGCCGAAATAGCTCAGTTGGGAGAGCGTTAGACTGAAGATCTAAAGGTCCCCGGTTCAATCCCGGGTTTCGGCAATTCTACTTTTTATTTTTTATTATGAAATAGTATATTTCTTTTTTACCTTTAGTTTTTTATCAATATTTTTATTCGTTTTAGCAAGTGAGGTAAAAACGAATCTTTTATAATAGCGCCCAAACAAATAACTTTTAGATTGCTGTATGTTGACCAGCGGATATTAAGTTATTCTGAATCAGTGTTGTAAAACCATCAAATTCATAAACAAAAGCTTGTTATGGCAACAAGACCATTGGTCGCACGAATAGCATCCGCCGAAATAGCTCAGTTGGGAGAGCGTTAGACTGAAGATCTAAAGGTCCCCGGTTCAATCCCGGGTTTCGGCATATCTACTTTTTATTTTTTTTTACAGCAAATTCAAATTTTTTTGTTACACAATTTTGAAATGCGATAAGAGTACGCAAAATTAGATTCGAAATGATTGATTGCTTTTCTAGATTTAATTATTTGCCTAAATTTAGACATTATTATTAGCAAGCCGCCAGTACATTAAATAATACAATCTATGGATAATATATTTAGTTTATGTATACATCTACTATTCAGTTACGAGCTAGTATTAACTAAGAGTGCATGACTATTTATTTTCGGGGGATACGACCCCAAGTTCTATTCTGTATCGTTTATAATAGCTTTACCGGAGTACATCGCATCCAGACGGATATACTAGCAGCTCCATTAAGAATAGAATACCTCTGGCTGTGGGTACAGAAAAGCGGTACGACTTTTGAGCCAAGCCAGCAGACAGTACTAGTACTGTACGATAAATACGAGTATAAGTTGCAGCATTATACATATGTGAGTACATACTATGATACTTTAGGCTATTAAGTTACAACACAACGCAAAATCGTTCGCATGTTACTAAAGCTAGTGCGTGGATGGGCGTGGTGTAGTCGGTGGCTTAACTAGAAATCGGGATCGTAGTCGCGGGAATAGCGCGTCCGACTGGCATGGTTATTATAGCTGTACATCTGGTGGGCATCGGCAAAGGCATCCGGATATTGGTGGCCATACGCCTGCTGATGCTGTTGCGGATGCTGCTGCTGCTGCTGCTGATGGGTATGGGCGGGATACTGATGGTGGCCATGATGCGGCCGCTTCAGGGAGTCGCCCTTCTGCGAGTACGTCGGCTGCTGGTCATAGAAATAGTCGGCATTGCTGTGCGGATGACGGGTGGAGCGCCAGCTGTCGTAGATGTTGGAGCTGTTGCTGCCATGCATCGAATTGGTAAAGCGCTGCAAAGAAATAATTTAAAGTAAAAGAAATGCAATAATTGATGGTTCTAGACCTACCTTCGGTTTAATCGGCTGCTTGGTGTCGTTCCAGGGATCATCAATGTTGTAGAAATCATCCACACCGTAGTTGTCCGAACCACCCATGTGGTTGACCTTCAGCTCGTTCAGCATGTCATTGGTCAGCGGAATCGGCGTCTTCTTGGACCTCTTCTGGCGATTGAGCAGCTGAAATAGAGTAGGGAAAGTTGCAACGCGGAACAGCATGAAAAACCAGCGTTAAGACTTACCACTGTGACGCCAAAGATGATGACAAACACAAGGGATCCCACTCCAATCACTATCACGACTATGGCCCATTGGGGAATGAGCAGATCCTCCTCGGCATACTCCACGTTTGTGTTCACATTCTTGGCTATGACTGCAGCGAGACGGAGGGAATTAGCTGGCGTCGGGAGAGAGAGAGCTGCAGTGCCCATTTACTTACCACTGAAATCGGTGGCCACCGGATCAATGATGTATTTGCCCATCTGATAGCTGGCCGTGACTAGTTGCTCCTCCTGCGGCCCGGACACGCTGTCCGTCTCATTCTCCTGGGCATCCTTGTCGGGCAGCGGTGGGGCCATGGGCTTGGTCAGCGCATCGTGGAACAGCTGACGGATCTCCTGTGTGTCCACATCCTCCGTTATGTTGGCCAGCTCCACGTAGTAGTCGACCAGGACACTGCCCTTGCTGAAGCTATCGATGCGCACCTTCTTGTACCATTTGTTCAGCTGATCGGCGCTGGAGTAGACTTCGTTCAGCTGAAAGGCAAAGGGAAAGGAACGAGCAGTGAGCACTCAACAGATTAAGGCTAAGAAGCGAAGACGAGACACCTACCTGCGCCTCCAGCTCGTGGGCGAGATTCTTCCACTCGAGTGTGTTGTGATCCAGGAGCTCCGGCTTCCAGGCCACTCCATCGATGATCTTGATGGTGGCCGCCAGATCACAGTCGGCCGTGCAGTGTCCCGGCTTAGTGGGCCGCGGTGTGGTAGTTGTCGTGGTGCTCGTCGTGGACGTGCTGGTGCTGGTGGTGCTGCTGCTGGCGCTGGGCGTTAGCAGATCCTCAAAGTTGATGGTCTGGGCATTCAGCTTCTCGATGGACAGCGGTGTGGTCGGGGGTGTGGGCCAGCCGGTGAACTCCGTGGTAGCCCGCGTGGGTGGACCCTTCTTGATGACCACTGGCGGCGTTCCGTCCGATGAGGGAGTCACTGCATCAGCCTGGCCATCGTTGCCGGGATGCGGCGTGGTCAGGCGATGGGAGCCTACTCGCTTGTGGAAGCCCTTCGGGAAGACCACCTTCAGGCCGCTGCCTTCGCCAGCTGGCGCTTCCGTGGTGCTGGAGGCAACCGGCTTGGGCCTATTGGTCGTAGTGGAGGTGGAAGTGGAGGTGGAGGCGGGATGTACCTTCGGCGACTTGAATCCCGGTGGAAGCAGGGAGGCCAGCAGATCCTCATCGCTCGAGGTGTCCGATTTAGCGGTCTCGTTCAGCTTGAAGCCCGGCGGCAGGAGAGCGCTCAGATCCGCTATTTTGATGGGCTTCACACCTTCGGGCAGCTTGGGAACGGGTTCGGCCTTCTCCTTGGCGGGCGCCTTGTAGCTGGGGGGCAGGAACTTGCTCAGATCATCGAAGGGCACGGCCACGGGATGGGATCGGGGCGTGGTCGATGCAATGGTGGTGGTGCTGCTGTTCAACTTAAAGCCGGGTGGCAGGAACTTGGAGATGTCATCCACAGTCGTGAAGGCGGGTCGCGGCGTGCTGCTCACTTTGTAGTCCTTGGGCAGGAGGGCGGCCAGGCTGTCGTCGAACTTGACGCCACTGAAGAGGCTCTCCAGACTGGAGCTGCTGCTGCCCTCGTCCGGACTGCTGATCGTTGTCGTTGTTGTGGTTTTCGGTGTCGTCCTGGGTGGCTTGTAGCCCTTGGGCAGCAGACCGGCCAATGCCACATCCTGCACCGTGACCTGCCCGTTCTTGAAGGAGCGACTGATGGTGCTGTTGCGTCCCGGCTTCCTAGGCGACTCCACGGCGGGCGCTTCCGTCGTGGAGGTGGTGGTTGTAATCTTGCGGTTCTTGTAGCTGGACTTTGCCTTGAATCCCACGGGCAGAAGCCCCGCCAGCTCGTCCATTTCACTCTCATCAAAGTGCTGCACCTTCACCCGACTGCTGCCACTGCTCGTGGTGCTCGGAGCCGGCGTCGTCTTTGGCTGGAACTTCCTAATGTGCGGCGCAAATCGCCCGTTTCCGGATCCGGATGCGGATCCCAGTGTGGTGCTCGTGGCCGGTGTGGAGGAATCCATTTGGCTGATGATCGGATATTTGCCGGACAGCAGGCCGCTGGACAGTTCCGACTGCACGCGGTCCAGCTTATCGATGATGCTTTCTGTGGAGGCGGCCAGCGGCGGCGCTTGGGTGGATGTGGACGAGGTGGAAGTGCTCGGCTCCTCGCTGCTCTCGGGCTGCTTCTGTGGCGGCTGCTGCTGCTGCTGCTTGGAGTGCACCTTCCGCTCCAGCTCGGAGAGCGTCTGTTTGGTCTCCTCCTGCTCGATGGCCGGGAAGGGCAGGAAGCGGGCACCGTTGATGCTGCGACTTGGCTGTATCGATGCCACCACAACGTAGTTCTCGGTGGCATTGGCAGTGTCCCCGCTCTCGGGCAGGGCTTCCTTTTGGACATCTGTCTCCTCCTCCTCTTTCTCTGGCTTGCCCTCATCCGTGGGTATGCTCGGCGTGACCGGGGCCGGGAGCACTGTTGAGCCATTCACCACACTCTTGGTGGTCACCACGGAGATGACCTCGCGGTCTTCCTCGTGCTCGTGGCTGGTCGTTGGCCTGGAGTCCTGCGTTTCTGTCTCACTGGTGGAGTCCTCGTGTTCTGCCTCGCCACCTTCCTCATCCTCGTACTCGTACTCATCGCCCTCGCCCAGACTCTCTTCGTCATCGTAGTCCGATTCGGATTCTCCCTCCTGCTTGGATGATGACGTCTCCGTGGGCTTATCGCTGGGCGTGGAAGACTGAGGATCCTCCTGCTTGGGAGTGGCTGCTTCTGCCTGCTTGGCACTGGCGGGATCCTGCTCCTGCTCCTGCTCTGGAGTGCTCTCTGGCAGTGCCAGTGGCTGTTCCGTGGTGCCCTCCAACAGAATCTCTTCGGTGGATTCACTCTCCAGGCCCATTGGGGTGGTGGCCTTATCCTTATCCTCGTCCTCGCCGTACTCATAGTCATTGCTGGAGGGCAGGATGGTCGTGACCTCGCTGGAGCTGGTGGTCTCCGATGAATCGGTTGATGACTCTTCGGTGCTGCTGGTGCTGGACGGATCCGCAGCCTCCTCCTCATTTTGGGTCGCCGTCTCCGGGACGGCTGCCTCGTTCTGTGCGATTGTCACTGGGGTTACCTCTGCCTCCTCCTGGAGCGGCAGCTTCTCCAGACTGGACGACTCCGAGTGATCCTCTGGGCGCTCCTCCGACTCCTGGTCGTACTGCTCCCCGCTGTCTAGCTCTCCTTCCTGCTCTTGCTGGGCCGCCTCCTCCTCCTCGTCTTCCTCCTGCTCGGCACTCTCAGTGGTGCTGCTGGTGGTGCGGGCCGTGGGACGCGTCAGCTTCAGCCTGCTGGCGCTGTTGTAGTTGAAGGGTCGCTTGCTGGTCACACTCAGCGGCTCGTTCACCTCTCGACTGATGAACACCGGCCGCCGGGGATTGGGCGACTTGCGTCCGAAGCTGGGACGATCCGCGGGTGTGTTCTGCGTGCTCGTGGTCGTCGTAGACGTCGCCTTGGAGCGGTTGCTGCCGAAGCGATTGTACCGCTTGCTGCTCACCTCCGCACTGCTGTCCGTTGTGGATGTGGTGGAGGCTGTGGAGGCGGAGCTGCCTGGCTGGTAGCGATTCCGTGGCCTGTACGGACTTGGCGCTGGGGTGGCCGGAGACTCTGGCGGGGCTGAGACGGCAGCCAGAGGCTGGGTGCGCGTGCGGGTGGGTGAGAATCCACCGCCATTGCCGAACGGACGACTGCCTGCATTGCTGGACGTCGGTCGCTTGTCGTTCTGCAAAGAGAGAGAGAGAGAGATGGGCGGGAGGTTAGCTACGGATTGCAGATTCGTGGAGGTAACTCCAGTGCATTGTTACGATTACGGAGCAGCAGACCAGGCCAGGCCAAGCTGTTCACAGCCTCGACTCTTGCGGTTGTCGTCATGGGAAACTGTTACAGTTTCGACATGGACACGAACATCACAATCTCTGAGCTGAGCTGCGCTGAGCTGTGCTGCGGCGCTGCGGTTCGTCTGTCAATTGTTTTGCGTGCGAACTCTTCTCAGGTGTGCAGCCCCCTACCTGCCCCTGTTCATCCCATCCAATCCAAGCCATTCAACTGATGCTCCAAAAATTTGTCTAAAGCGTTTTGTGCAAATTTCATGGCATACCCCTTCGGCCATCCCCCTCCTTGACATCCCCTGAAACTGTCCATAATTTATGCGCTCGTATTTATTTAATTTTTATGTGACGGCAACCTCCAACTGTCTGCCGGTCTGGGGTTAAGACTTTTCCGACCATTTTCCTCTCAGCAGGTTGCCAAATATATTGGGATCTCGGATCTGGCATCCGTGCAGATGATTGGAGACTGGCACTGGATTGGCATCGAATGGAGCATGTCTCATGGCGAATGAGAACGAGAATGGAGAGGATGAACGTGTTCACATTCACAGATTAATCATGATTGAGAGTCTGCGGCCAATTAATATCCATTAATGACTGAGATTGGGCGCCCACTACCGGCGAGTGTCATTATTGCTGCTTAATCGTGAGCTGATTTGATATTTAAGCCACAGCATTAGCATTAATCACGGCCACACTTTCGCTCGAATGGCCCCAAAACAAATTGCAGCAATTAAACTGAGAAATGTATGTGGGGGGCAAGAGAAAGAGAGCGGCGGAACAATGATGGAGGCAGATCTTTAGGTCCGCTTTGACATTTCAATTATGTTTTCGAATAGCTTCGAATTAAATCTACAAAATGTTTAAGTAAAAGAAGAAAAACTCAAAATGAGATGGAAGATCGGAAGGCTGCTCTTTAAAACTGAATTAAATGAATACTTGTGGGAGTTGTGCAGGATTACGAGCTACTGTTCATAGGACATGGGGTTTTCTTCCGAATGCATGGACTTCAATCTACATCATATGGAACCACTGGCTAGTTATATTTAAAGCCACTAAACTGGTTACCCGCAGTGGCCAAAGCAACAACAGGTGGACGGATGTACCAAAAGTATTCGTACAGTTGAACGGTCCGGTCCGTACTCGCAGTTGGAGCCGTAATGCCCTCTCAGTGCGCCTACCAATGTGTAAATATTTGTTGAGCAAACAGAAACATCTCGAATACAACTAAATAAATATAACAAATAGCTGCCGAAGAGTCTCTTTAACATTTTTGTTGTGGTTTGGTTTTCTGCCAGGAAAGCATTCAGCAAATAGATAATGTGGAGGAACGTGGGGGGGAAGCATGAATTGTAATTCAGGTGAAAGGTAAAATATTTTTGCTATAATTCGATTGAACTTTTTTGTGGTTTTTGGCTATACATTGTTGAGATCTTAGCCAAGACAGACCCGTACCGAACTGGTTCTGAAGTCTCTCTTTTGGCTGGCCCCCAAAACATTTAGCTGGGAAGTTTTGGAAGTCACGTAAGAGCAGAAATGGCTTCCAGCTCCAGCTCTAGTTCCAGTTCCAGCTACAAACACCGAACCGAAGCCTGATATTGGCCAAAATCAGAGCAGAGCCAATTGTTTTGCTAGCTCTTATGCAATGCCAAAACAAAACAAAAACAAAAACGAAACGAAATTGTTTCTTGTTGCTGTTTGGGTTTCTGTGTTTCTTGTTATTCCAATTGAAATTGCTTTTACTTTCCCGATCCGAGCAGCGATCCACACTTCTCTATTTGCTTTCCCTTCCTTTCGCTCTCCTTACCTCACTGAAGTGGGCCAGAAACTGCGTCTGCTGGTGGGGCACATTGATGCGCTGCGTCTGCGTCTGGGTCTGCGGCTGGAAGCCGCCGCTCAGGCTGTTCCCGGTGCCGCCGCTGCCGTTGCGTATCGCCTTGGAGCGTGTGAAGCCGTTGGTCGACGACGACGATGCGGACGTTGCACCAACGCCTGGCGCTGCCCCTGCAGGCACTCCAAAGGGGCGTGGCGAGATATCGTAATAGTCCGACTGGCGATTCGCTGGCGATTTCTGTGGTAAAATGGAGAATGGAACAACATTGTGTTAAGTTAATGCTGAGGCAAAGCAATGTCTATGCTGCTAGTAAATTAGTTTGGCATTTTGTTAGGGGGTTTTTTGTTGTATGATAAAAATAAATGATTAAAGCTGCAAGCAGAATGAGATAGAGACTCCTGCCCCTCCAGAGAGCTTTCACTCAGCGCACAAAAAACATTTCGCTATACAGTAGAATCCCCCACCAATCTAAGAATTCGTTTGAATAACTGGAAGGGGGACTTTTTATTTCTCTAGGTATTGTGTTGCTTCTTTCAACTGATTTGAATTTTGCCTGGAATTCCCAATGAATCATCTAATCCATGAATCAGTATCATTTTTAGATAGATTCAAATATGTATCTAACGCTTAAGGAGATTTATAATCTGAGTACATTTCAAACTGGAGCAATTTTCCATTGACTGAACACCCCCCTTCCGCCATCATTAGCCGAAGAGCAACGTAAGCTGACATGGGTGGGACTTTGATAGAGGTTGAGTTGAGGTCTTCAATTGATACTCCGCTTAAGTGACAGAACTATCATAAGCTGCGACTTAAGCTGCGACTCTGTAGCACCTCAAGTTGACAAAGTTTGTAATAATCTTGACTGCAGCACCCAATCCCGACAACCACTTGGAGTGCTCTGTGCTGTGCTCCCCCTGCTCAACGTGCCGCAGACAATGCCAAAGCGCTTTGGGCCACATTTTGGAAATGAAATCGACGTCGAAAGCTGCAACCAAACAATGAAAATCGATTGGAAATATTTGATTGAAGTGTATCAAGGTCGTTCCGAACCGATATTCAACGACTCACTAATTATCCAGTCCCAGTCGCAGTCCCCCATACACAAATGTCTGCCCAGTTTCGCCTCAGAGTACTTGCTGCTCTCGTTGTTATCCATTATTATTACTTATTAGTATTGTTTGGATATTTTGATTTTTTGAAAGTCGAAGCCAGACCCAGAGCTAGAGTCGGAGTCGGAGTTGGATTTAGACTGCATTGGCTCCGAAATTAAAGTTGTGCTCTGTTAAGCAAATTGCATACAAAACGCGAGTTTTGTTGCTAAAAGGCGCATTTCAATGCATTTATTTTTCCGCTTCTTGGCGGAGTCGTTTACGCATCAGAGCTCTGCTTTTCCTCCACCGACAGACAGACAGCTGGTAGCAATTTGTCCGCCAAAGACAGCGACTGGGGAAATGCGGCCGGCCTCCGCTGCTGCTGATGTTGGGCATCGTTGGACCTACTCTGATTAACAGACATTTAATGGGCGTCTCAGCGCCAACCGACACCACATATCGCCAGTGCTGACGCTACTGCTGCTGCTACTGCTGCTGCTGCCGCTGCTCTGCAAATGATCTTGGATCAAAATTTCACTCCTCCATTGTCAACAGTTGGTCTGATGGAGCTGGAGCTGCATTAGCCGTGTGTTGTGTGTGCTTTGTGGTAGATGGTTGATGGTTAATGGTAAAGAAGAAAGCGTTGGACAGTCGTCAGTCGTTGGACGGTGGGGGAAATTAAAAATACACACATATTTCTAAGGCATTTGTCAATATGGATATGGCATAATGAAACTATGAAAGCTCCGCTCACGTATGAACGGGTGGGTATGTGGAAAGCGGAGAGGAGGGTTTAATGCACTTTCCCCTTGGACTAACATTGAGTCGGGCCAATCAGCCAGCCAGTCAGTCATTCCGTACTATGAATCACAGATTTCCATTAAGCGTGCACATACGTGGCATATATGTAGAAGGATCGTCGTAACAAATGAAGAGTGCCATCTAAGCGGGGATCTATCCAGGAGCACTATCCAGGAGGACTATCTTGTATCTTCTTCGCGCCTGTCTTCATTCATCTCTCGTGCTCTGGGCGTACGAGGCCTACAATGAACACAGGCTGCAGGCTGCATCTGGCCGCGGGCCAAGTTAATTGAGTTTTTGTCTGGGCCAATGCAGCAGGCCATAAAGAAGTCAGTTCCATTAGGCAAATCAGTGGAGTGCTGCAGCAAAGACCGCTTGCTGTGTGCTCTGCTCCGCACCGTCTTATCCCTTGCCGCGCTGGGCCCTCACGGAAAGGTAGAGTGGAGCATTTCAATTAGGGCAAAAACTGGAAATAGCCAGCAATGTGCGTGCTCATCGGGCATTTGAAGAAGCTGATAATAAACAATGTGAATTTACACTTTTTTCAATTAAGCAACACGCTGCACCCCTCCACTCCTCTGCAGTGCATTGGAAGCTTTGAATATTCAACAATAGTCGGGAATTACTTGCTGATTCGTTGATATGCAGAAGCCGATTCGCTTTGTTTGTCTTTGGTCAAGTGAAAGTACGCGTACGCCTTTGGGGCGAATGAATGGTTGGGTTGGGTTGGGTTGGCCGGCCAGTCAGTCGAATGGCTACCGCCATTTCTTTCACGCAATCATTTTATATCCGTAATTTGATTTTCAGTTTTTAGTTTGGATGCCCCTGTGTTGCGTTTGGCTTACGGAAATCGCAAAGGAAAGTCGCGTGCCATAATTTGCAGGCCTACGCCTACCCACCAGCATTTTCCAACTCTAGTTTCATTCTCGCCTGTGGAAATCCAAGCTACATCATCATTCATATGTGGCATGTGGAAACCAAAACTTTGCTTTTCGAATTGGATTTAATTTGATTTCGTTTTTGGCATTGATTGGCACTTGGCGTGCCTGGAAGACCAAACGAAAAACCCAATCTAATTGGTACCGCCCTCCACTCGCACACCACATAAGGAAATGTAATTTAAATTTAAATTTTTGCGGCAAAAACTTACCGCAAACTGTGAGCTGCCGCCAAATGGCGATCCGAAAGGCGAACTGGCAGCCGCTGGCACCTGTTTGGGGCCATTCTCATTGGCTATAAATAAGAGCTGCTCCTGGTAGGAGCCAGGAGCAGGGGAGAATCCTCCGGAGCTGCCGCGGAAGTTACCCAGCGACTGCTGCTGCTGTCGGGGAAAGGCACCGGGCGATGGCACAAATCGGTTTTGTGATGGGAAATAATAGCTGGAGGTATCTGCAAAGAGGAAGGTCACATTAGAGTTAATTGTTTTGTAGGGCCAGGCCAATGTGTCAGCAATCAGCCCACAATTAATTAATTAAAATTTAAACACCCACACACACACACATACACACCTACTCTCCTCTGTGACACCTTTCAGCGCCTTTGGCATCGTTTAGCCATGAAATGGAGCTCTCAAAAACCAAAAAATCATTGCACTTAATTGTGCGAAAAGTGTAATAAATAAATAAATAATATAAGGTACGGCCTCTGGCTGGCAATAAATAAATAAATTATTTCTCACTTTTTGGGTCACAAATTTGTCAAAACATGAGAAAAAAAAGTTTGCCTCTCTTTTGGCACGCATTTGCCAAACAAAAGTGAATGACGGAGTCCCATCTGCTGCACATAAAGCTGGGAGACTTTTTGGTTAATTCCAAGCGACGTTAGAGTATAGAAATATTGATGGCATCTTCTGGCCATAAAGGGTTATTATATTCATGTAAAATAAAAAAAAAAAAATACTGTCTTCGTATTTATGCTAATAAATAAAAATAAAAAATTGCCCAATTTCGAGAGAGTGTACAAGTTTGTCCCATTTTGCACGTTTTGCTTTTTGCAACATCTTCTCTTTATTTTTGTCTGCTATTTGTACAGGATTATAAATGATTGAAAAACGAAAGTGTAACAGACGGAAAGCGGACATTAACATCATTTCGCTTTGTGTACCGCAGGGGTAGCTCTGGTCGGGTTGGCGAAATACATGTACTGCCACGAATGGCAGGCACGGCACGGCATGGAGTGGGTTCACTTCACCCAAAGCTCAACGCTGCTGCAGCCGACGTCGCGTCGTTGCATGCGTCACAATCCTGACTCTTTGACCCACAATGTTGGGCCTTATAACAACAGCAGCCCCAAAGTAACAAGCAAATTCATTTGAAACCACCACGCTATGTTTTTGGTCTTTTCCTTGCCCCCGTTCCCCACCCTGCCGTCGTGTGTCGACTGTCGACAGATTTTGGAGTCACTAATTGAAAATTGAAATATCATATGACCGCAATATTTCAAACGAAACTGCAGCAGCCGCTCCAGCGTCAGCGACAGCGACTGATTGAAAATTTTATCAGACAAATTTATGCAAGAGATGCAAGGGGAGTGGGGAGTGGGGCAACGACAACGCCTACACCGAAATGATCGGGTTGGTGCTGGAGCGCACTGTTGGGCTTCACACCTTGTTTTTTTTATGTTTGTTTTTTTTTCTAAAATGTTTTCAACTACAAATAATGGCCGTTTATTATCGCATATAAGAACGCGACGAGGCGTCGCGTTGCATGTCTGAAAGCTGTCGAAATTATTGAGCTGGGATTAGTTTAGGGATTGATTAATTGCTTGTGGATGTGTCAGATCTTATGGGCGCCTGTTTGGCGGATTTGGAGTCCGACGAAGCGGAGAATCAGCAGACGCCAGAGGAATCCAACAAATTGACGCCGCCAGAACGTCATCACAAGCCCAGCTTAGGAAGCAGCACGCCCACTTCGGGGTCCTCGCAATGTTGTTATTTATAAAAAATTTGATGCATAGTTCAACAGTTATCAACCACCGTCCTCACCGTCCTCAACAACAGCGGCAGAAGATCCCGAAGATTTGGACAACATAGTTAACCCCGTTATAACTGATCATATGCTATATCTTTTTGCAACGATTGATAACAAAATAGACGTGGGAAGGTTGAAAAGAAACATACAATTTTTGGAGCGCCCGGCACATTTGGATGAGATGATGAATGGAAAGATAAACTTACTATCCTCGTTAACTGTGTTTGTTAATCATCCCTTCGTTATCCATTTTGACGAATACCATCTAAAGCATATGGTAAGTGTTTATTTAACTAAGGTAAAGAATACACACTAATAATTTTTAAATATTTTCAGCCCTACCTTAGGACACCCAGCGATGAAGGAGACGTTAAAATGAGGGCACTGGCATTTTCTGCGTCTAACATTGACGGCAGTAATTTCAGATTTGTTTATATTCGTGTGGAAAGTAACAATTTTATTCAGTAAATGTTAATGTATCAAATTTTTAAAATAATCAATTCATTTTCTATGCAACAGGTCCCAATTTATATTGACAGAATTAGAAAAAGACAATCAAAGCTTGGAAGCGAGAAAATTAAAACGGCCCTTGATATCGTTTTAAAAACAATAAAAACAATACAAGGGGCTTATCCGACAATTTGATGGCAATTGTGTCGGATCACAACAAATCAAATTTTGACGCCCTACACGTTGCTACATCAAAGCAATTCCCTGTAATATGGGATATCTTCCATCAGCGGAATATTCCTTCATTCGTACTCAAGACGGATGTCACAGTTCAGAAGTTGTACGAGCTGAATTTTACAGCAGACAATTGGTCAGCTATATTTAAAGGAACGCCGACAAACCCAAGCAATAAAACGGAGGTGGATGGCATACAGAAAATGATACAAAAATACTTCGCGACTGCCGGCAGACCACCATTACAAATAAACCGTATTGACTCAAGCAAGTTCGAAATGCTGGGCCGATTGCTAGCGACTCATATGGCCAATATAATGATGTATGCTACATCACTGCCATTTCAAATGACGGAATTAAAAAAAAACCAATTATATTACGTTACCCGTATTGTCGCCCTTATTTTGTTAATAAACACTCCAAAATTCTCAGCAATTACTCGCTAAAGCAAATATTTATGCTGAAAATAAATTTAAAATTTTATGCGACAATTTTTAAAGAAATATTTTATTTATGTACAATATTGACGAGGAAGTGTGTGTGCCGACCACTCATCTATATACATATTTATGTGGTCTAGTGGGATAAGTCAAGTCGTTCTATCCTGGGCTGGATTACCTTTTTTTTCTAAAGAAATTCTTTTTATTTGCGCCATTTTGGAATAAATGCTGCATTATGCCACTAACCATACAGTATATAGATGTGCCAGTTCATACATCGAAAGGGGCGCAAGCTGAGTGTTCTGTCCCGGCTCCCAGCGCTTCGGCTCTGTGAGGCTGAGACACTCGGGTCGGGAGCCAGGCCATTCGGGTCGGAAGCTGGGCCGTTCGGCATGTATGACTCATGTCGGGAAGCGAAAGCAAGCTGAGAATTGCAAATGTTTGTGTGTAAACAGACACGACAAAATTTTGTATCAATTCTTATTTTCCGAAACCGTTTTGAGTTTCGTTTCCAGGTTACGTAAATGTGTGTGTGCCATGTATTCATACACACTGTGCTTGTGTGTGGGCTCTACAATTGTTGGCCGCTTGAATTGGTTTTTCGTTTTGTTTTGAGGGCTGATGTGATGTAGCGACCTATTCAGGGCCGGATCAACCCTCAACCGGGCCCTGGGCAACCATCAATCTGGGGCCCTCCTTTATTTTGTATTTTTCTCAGTGGCCATTATATTTTGTATTCATTATTTGGAGTTTTGTTTTTTCAACAAAATTTTTCTGTTATTTCTAGGAGGGCCCTAGGCAACTGCTAATCCGGCCCTGGACCTATTCCCGTCGTAAGACTTCATATTTTCTTGGTGTGTTCTGTCGCTCGACTCGACTCGACGCGGGTCGAGGCATTGACGAAGCCGAAAGCAGAGGCAAAGGCAAGCCGAAAGGAGAATGGAAGAAATACTGTATGGTTAGTGATTATGCACAGCAAAATCAAGCAAAGCGTGGTTCGGTGGGTTAAGTCGAGACTTTCCTTTTTTTTTCTTAAACAAATCTTTTTTTTCACAGTTTTACAGTAAAAATTACATTTTAAAATTGTTTTGATTTTTTTTTAAATTTAGCTGGCATTAATTAAATATTTAACTGGTAAAAATTTAAGAAGAGCTTTTAATTTTTGTTGTTTTTTTCCCTATTAAATGTTGAAAAAATACCATATGAAAATTACAAAAATTTTACTTGAAAAACAGAAAAAAAATACTGCAAAAAAAACGTACACCATAAAAACAAAAAAAAAAACGTTTAGCATTTTTTTTGGTTATTTTAGAGAATAGAATATGTAGTTCGTGTGTATTCTACACGTATTCTACTTTCGTAAAGTACTGCTTGCGCGGTCATTCTTACACTGCTTGCCCATAAGATCACGCGGCCATTGGGCAGACGTTAAACGGCTTCGTTTGGTGGCGCTGCCCTCTAAGTTGCGCGTGTTCTGTTTGATTTTGAAAGAAAGAACTCGAGTTCGAGTCCCCCCCCAATTGAGATAATAAAATAAAATATTTAAGCATATAATTTTTCCTTCTGCGATTGGGCAAGAGTTGTTGTGTATTTCCCAAGCCTACAAACTCTAATCCGCAAAAGGTAGATCAAATCGTTCGCTCTCCTCTGCCGTTGACTCTGCACTATTGCTCCATGTCTAAGTGGGCATTGCAGATCTGATGTGAGTGAATACAATTAATTTTCTTTTATTTAAATAAGAAATTTTCTTTTTTCCTATTTCAGATCCATCTCATTAGCATTCTGTGCGTGCACTTGACCCAAAATCGAAAAACGATCAAATTAATGGAGTGCGTGACACATTTACCTATTTCTAGGCAGAAGTTTAAGTTAGGTACGATCACCTTCCTTGGGCTGTTGTCGCATAAATAAGCCGATCGATCGCAATTGGAATTTATTGTAATTGTCTGAGTGGAATCACTGATGGCCCCACAAGGCCGTTACACTTTGGATATGCATATACACACTCGATCGAACATCCCACTGGTTGGTACATCCTTTTATTCCTGTCAAATTTATTCTTTGTGCCCAGCAAACAGTTGGAACATTCTGAGCTGTCCTCCAATGTGGAGACACCAGCTATCCTACGACATGGGTAATGGGTAAAAATTGTAATACAATAAACTAGAACTTTGTTTTTGTAGCATTTGTTAGTCTTTGTTCAGGTCTCAATATGACAAACAGTGGCTAAGCCAGCCCCATTGAAAGTAAGTGCATCGCCTCGCCTGCCCCAACGACAATGGCTTTCAAAATTTGT